CAAGAAGAAGAAGTGGGATTCTAATTAAAAAAAATGGTGGTGGCAGCCGCGCGGCGAAAGCGCGGCCTGCAGGGCCGCGCTTTCGCCGCGCGGCTGGTTTGGCTTTCGCGCTGGTTTGATTTTCGCGCACGCATTTGGTTACCAATATCGCCCTCCGGGCGCGATCTTCATACAAATCGCAATAGCAATACAAATTGGCTCAGCATTACAAATTGAATCTGTAATGCGAATTTACCTAACCAGCTAGATTTGTAATGCATAGCTGCGATTACTACGAGTGCGATACTTTTGCACAGGATATTCAAAACGGCGTGACCACGTTTCTTGAGGGGGCCGAAGAGCTCATATCTGCGATCCACGAGTGTGACATTCAGAAGATTTTGGAGCGGACGCACTCGTATTTGCCGAAAAAACCGGAATTGCCGGACATGCGCGAAGACAGCGAAGAGACGAAGGCGGGCGTGCACAAATTTATGGCGCTCTCAAATGTTACATTCTCAGCTGTTACATGATTTGTCATGCAAAATTCCAATCAGATTCAGAATCGACGCGACCAAGCTGCTGCGCATGACAAATTCCCGAAGGGACAAACAGGATGAGAATCTGTGCCAAATCTGTCATGCAAAAGGCGCAATCCTCCCCCTTTCAGTTTTGCCATTCTTGCATCACAAATTCATGTAACAGTTGAGAGTGTAACAGTTGAGAACGCCATAAAATTCAAGCCGAGCCTGTATCCTCAGCAACAATGTGGTTCCCACACCAGAGTTAGTGTTTATCATGCAGATTTGCAATGACAGGCTCATTTGTTGTAGTGCGCATGATCTCCATGACAGACATTGCCATCCGTGTTTTGGCGTTTGTGGTGCTGTTGAAAAAAGGTTTATCTGTCCGGCGGCTCCTCTTGCTGAATACCACAAACAGCACTACGTTGCAGAAAGATGAAACTTGTCATGCGAGACTCCCATAACTTCGAGAATTGTGTTGCAGACTTCCTATTTTGAGTCTGGGGTGGGGACGTTTTTCCACACAATAGCCAGCTCGGGGAGAGGGACTTAGGCCACTTTGACACGAAAAACTTCAAGAAGGCCGTCAGGGTGTTTCGAGACCGCAACGCAGCAGAGCAGGCGAGGTATATTGATGTGATATGCTTTTCATCATCGCAGGAGCATTATGTGCTGACTCTAGTAAGTTAGTCCACAGGACGAGCAATGTTACGCGTTCTGCCTATCTCCGGCCGGTAGGATAGAGAAGTAGCTTGCATTTTGCTTCTATACATTGGAATTGCGTGGCAGTGGCCACCACCAAAATAAAGTTGTACTAGAACTCACTTGATGTTGATCCACCAACAGGCTCGCTCGCATCGCGGCCCGGCAAGCAGCCAAATCTGCACAACGGTCGGCGAGTCAAAAGTCCCACAGCGAAGAGGGCACCAAAAAGAAGCGCGCGAGACCGAAGCGCAAGGGGAAAGAAGAGATATCCACTTGACAGAGTGTGTCTGAGACAGGTCTATATAGGAGCGGAGTAACAACTAGGGCAACTAACTCGGGATCTCAAGTGCGAAAGTTTTTCGGGCGGCCGAGACTGGTCGCCACGAGTTACCTAGCCACGTAACTCGTGGCGGCCAGTAGCGAGCAGGCAACTCGTGCTGGCAAGGGTCGGCGAGCGCAGCACAGCCGGTTGGTTACAGCAGAAAATCCTTATGCAGATTTGTGCTTTTGTGCATACTATTTTTGCTTTTGGGCCCTTTTTTGAAAATCGGCGGGGCAACGTTTTCGCTTTCTTGGCAACGCACCCGGTGCCTGCTTTGTCATGGCGAAAATTCCTTGCCGTGAAGCTAACATTTTTTTATGAAGCCCAACAATTTTACACGCTTTCCTATGAAGCGAGTTTTTTACCGAAAGCACAAAAATTATGCACAAAACCGCGCGAATTGCATATGTTGTCAAGACGTTAACGTTTTCAAAGCACACCTCTGACCGGAGTCGTCGGCTCCGGTCACGGGTGTCGCTATATAGAAAAACTTTCGCACTTGAGATCCCGAGTTAGTTGGCCTAGTTGTTACTCCGCTCTAGTCAAAATCGCTCTTCTTAGTTCTTTTTTTGATGCAGACATTGAAAATGTAAGTGTAAATCAGTGTGCCAATTTTGACTAAGTAAGACCTCTATCCTGTGCAAAAGTATCGTACTCGTAGTAATCGCTGTCATGCATTACAAATGTCCCTCTTAACCTATATCCGCATTACAAATTCCAATTTTCATGCTGAGGGATTTTGTCATGCGATTTCTACTAGTACGATGCTTTTGCATTTCATAACCTCTCCAGATTTGTTTGCTTGGATTGCGAGAAACCAAAGTCGACGTGAAGCCGTATTGAGAGGAAAAATCCCCCCTCCGCATATCGAAAAGGTATGTTTCCGAAAATTTGTCTTGCTGATTTGAGACCACAAATCGCGTCTGTCTTGCAAGAAGACAACTCCGCAGGCTCTGCCGCATTATGCAGTCGGTTTGTGATGCTGTTGCGCCTACAGCATAGACGTTTCGCATGCTAAGCGCCTACGCCAAAGCCTCTCTAGTATTCAGGCGCAGCAGGAGCGTGCTGTCCTCTACTGCAAGACAAACCTGATTCGTATACGCAAATCCAGCATCAGAAACTTGCTTTTGATATGGGGAGGGGGGATCTTTCCTTGTGATAAGCCGGAAGACGAGACAAAGGACCCCGAGGTATCCCAAGTTAGTAAAAACGTCCCCATTCCGTGGTTGTCATGCAATTCAGGAAACCTAAGCCTAACCCTAACACGTTTCTCATGCGCAGCCCCATGTTGTGGAGCATTTTTCAATGCTACCCGGGGGTTTGTCATGCTGGATTCGGGATAATGGTGCTCGATTTGTGATGCGACTGCGCAGTCTAAAGAACATGACTATGCTGCGAGCAGAAAAAATTTGTCATGCGCAACGCCCACACCCTGCGGACTTGTGTAGCTGCGAAGTTCCATCTTGACTATGGGGACGTCCTCGTGGGGACGTTTTTCCTCAGGATACGACGAGATCATCACGAAGCCACTGATCCCCGCACAGAATGAATTTCAGAAGCTGCTGGGGTTTCCGGGGAAGTGATGCGGGGTAAGTGCAACTCGTGGTGCTTGCTCCTTGTTGTAGCCCGGGTTGTAGTTCCCGTGCCGGGTGTAGTATCTCGTCATCTGTGTCTATCTTTCTAAGCACTACTTGTCATTTTGTGCTGCAGCATCACCTTGTACATAAATAAATCCGAAGAGCAAATGGATGTTTAACACAAACATCTTGACATGCTGAGTTTCCTCTCGATCTCGCCTTCGTATGAGATGGCATGAGGGAACTCTTTCGAATTTGTTTTGCTTTTCGATTTTGTTTTGCTTTTTGTTTTAGTTGGATTGTGTGTCCATACCAGGCACCTATCCTGCCTTGCTCGTGCGCATACGTACGTAGATCTCTGGCACTTGTGCCTCGAGGTTTAGGGTCGGAACGTTCTCAGCACTGCTGAAGCTTTAGAACCAGAAGGGCGGGCCCGCCTAGACGGATCAGAGCAATAGGCTTTACTAGCGCTTTTTATGTAGTAGTCTTACTTTGCCTTCCTTTTGCTTGCTTTTCTCCTCCTGGGCCCTACTGGCACCAAGCAGTGTTTTTTTGGGTGGGTTGTATTATGGGATTTATTATATATTATTTTCAAAAAATGCTTATACTTTTTTTTTCAAAAATGTTGCTTCTACGCCTTTCTCCGCATTCCGCCATGTGCGCCTTCTTCTTCCCTTCCTCCGCGACCTCCGCTACACGTCCCGGTTCCGCAGCCTACGCAGCTCGTCCCTGTGCCGAGGCCTACGCGGCAAGGGTTTCAGGGTTAAGGGTTTGTTTAGGGTTCTTAACATGATTTTATTCTAGAGGTCTCCTCCCCTGTCGCGCGAGCTATGGGTAGTAGTTAGAGCCTCTAATCTCCCTTGGGAAAGGGTACCATAAACGAGAAGCACGAGAAGCCTTACATGATCCAAGCCATTCGATTCTACTGCCGATTTAGCGGCCCAGCCACCATGTCGACACTCCACTTCGATGCTTGTTTCGGTTTGATTTAACGATGGCACGGATTGGAATTTAATTTCGAAACATTAAACGGGATATAATTCGGATCAGGGGTAAAAGGTACACGTAATTGTAATTATTGCATATCATATGCCTATCGCTTCGGTCACATGACTCATGTCTAATGCCTACCATGCCATGCAAATCAAAAAACAAATGAAGACTTTGATCAGGAACTGAATCACAAGGGACTAAAACACAAGGGGCATCGTACTTCACGCATTTGTTTACCACATCAAAGTCGAGGATTGTTAACCACGGAGAGGACACCACATGGAGGGGATTTAAACCGAATTTGTTACACAATCGGGATTCATTATTTTGAACCGGGGATGAGTGTAAGGCGAGATTTTACAAACGGGGGTGCACTTTCTGCAGATGCAGCTGGGGGTATGCGGTACTTTCTTAGCATGTCATTATATGTGTCTATCTTTCTAAGCACTACTTGTCATTTTGTGCTGCAAGACGAAGCGCTCTTCCGCCTACAAGACGAAGCGCTGCCGCTGATGCGCGGCCTACCAGGGGATCATCGCGGTACAAACCTACAAAAAAGTGGCAGGCACTCCTCGGTCTTCTTGGAGGGCGCGATACACGCGCACGCCTAGACTCGGCACCAGAAAGATTCATACTCCTTTCATGCATGACAAAAAGTTTTCATTTGGAAACTTCGCAGCACAAATTTTTGCAATTTTAGGGGTTGGGGGCATTTTTCACTGTAATAACTTGGCGCAGAAAACGCTACTGCTTCTGCTTCTTCGTCTGACGCAATTAACTCCCAGAAACAAGTTGAGACCCGGAGCAAGTTATGCATTGCAAATATGTCTGCGTCTGGCTCTGGAAGAGTGCGCGATTTGTCATGCTCGGCTAGCATAACTCTCGAGCGGCCTGTCACTTTGTGCTGCAGCACTACTTGTCATTTTGTGCTGCAGCGTGAAGTTCGCGACAAGGAAATAAACGCTGATCAATAAAGTAATTCCTCCACACCTGAGCGGGTTATACCTCAAGCACCCAAATTCCCCCTACCGAGATCAGCCCCTATCCTGTGCAGAAGTAATATCGTACCAGTAGTCGTAATTGCATTACAAATTTGATGCTTGGCGTGGCAAATTGGATTTGTAATGCTGTTTTACCTTCAGGAAATGATTTGTAATGCATAGCTGCAATTAGGAGTACGAGTGCGATATTTTTTTGCAATCCATAGCCCCCACTACCCGACCATTTCCTCAAGCCCTGCTCCAACACCTCCCCGATTCTCTACATATCAAATGCAAAAATGTCTGGGTCTGGAAGATTCCGAGATTTGTCATGCTGATCTGGCATGGCCCTCAAATCTGTGCTGCGTGACCACAAACAGCCTCTCTCGCCTGTCATGCAATAACGCAGTTCCTCATGCGGAATACGCAGCACAGAAGCACGAAGCAACTTGTCATGCTTGGCGGCGCAAATACAGTGCATTTGTTATTGACTGACTTGCATCACATGTTTCTAAGCACTACTTGTCATTTTGTGCTGCAGCATCACCTTGTTCGCGACAAGGAAATAAACACTGATCAATAAAGTAAGTAATTGAATTCCGCCACTTGCCTATGCCTTGTGGGCGAGTGCAACAACATCTAGTGATCTGGCACTACCGTGACCCGGCTCTTGAAAAAGAGCGCGGCACAGCTGTGTTACTGAATGAATGAAGAGGAAAAAGTGCACAGGAACAAGTTGTCAATGCATTTGCAACGAGAACAAGAACATCAGGCAGTTTCGTCCGCTACTAAAACGTCGAAAATTATCTACTCTAAAAAAACAGCTGTGCTGTTCTCTTTCAACATCGAAACTGCTGCAAAAGTTAAAAAAAAAACAAAAAATGACCATCAAGATCCAGCATTTCGAAACGTGATTCGGTTTGTAGTACTACAGATCCTCCAACCGTTCTTTCTACTGACGACACGCTACGAGGATGAAAAATGACAAAGATCACAAGAACTTCGGCTGGAGAAATGATCAATAAGAGCACCACAGATGATATATGAAGCTCCTGCAACCTTGAATATTCTGTCGGGCGTATAACTAAGAAAATGATGTAGCTGTGCATTGATGAATGTTCCATTTTGGTGCCTTGGTTCTTGGTGATACAAGGTTCCAACGCAGGAGAATGTTCTGATGCGAATAGCAGTACAAACGCTATTAAGCTGATGAAAAAAGAACATCCTGCAGGTTGCTTCTTACTCAGTTTTCTTCGCACCTCGCATCTAGCTGAGTGTTGTAAAATAACTGGCAAACATCAACTATAACATCTAACTACCTCTACGACTGTCACTCAACAAATATTTCGAACACCATAACTCTGCTTCTTTTCAAGCTCGACTAGCACACAGCATCTCCCTACAAGAGCGTCGAGTTCCGAAGCTTCTTGTTTAATGCAAAAAAAGTCAACAGTTTTTACATCTTCACGACATAAAAAATAAGGAGGCGAATAGTATCCTCTTCGTGGACAAGAACATTCAAATCTTTGAACCAATTGAAACCAAACCAATGCTTCGCTCCACGGTTTTGTTGCTTGCTGCGGCAGATCATGTTGCGGCTGCGTCCTCTCATTTTGGTGCGGCTCCTGCTCCGTACGTGCATCTTCGAGGGGCCGGGGGTTCGCCCTGGTTGACGGACAGTTCCGGTCGTCGCGGCGGAGCCGACACCAGTGGTCCTGCTTTATCTTCCTACGGTAAAGAGATGGAGATGTTACAACGCCCCTCCGCGGTCACCAGCGTCGGAAAGCAGGCGCTCCGTGGTAGTCGTGGCCGCCCCAGTGCAACTCGTGGCGGCAGAAGTAAGCAACAGCGAGCCTCATCCTCACGTGGTCAACAAGGAGCCGGCGCATCGAGCCGCACTGGTTCCGCCCCGTCGGTCACCGAGATTGCTGCTGCCAGTGCGGGGACTACTAGTACTCCTAACGAGCACGCTGTCTGGAGCAGCCTCGACAAAATTTTCAGTGGCATGCAGATGACGGACGCGCAGGCAGCCGCGATGGAGAGCAGCTACGAAAAATGGGCGAAGTTCGAAGCCAAAGCTGATTTGGCCGCGATGGCGAAAGACGAACAGATCCTCAAGGTTCAGACCGACATTGAGAAGCAGCTCCTGGACCTCCAGGGGCAACAACAGCATGGATCTGTCACGCCCGACCTCGACCAGGTTTTCGTGGACGCGATCAATAAACAGATTCAACTTGGCGCAGAAAACGCCACTGCCTCGTCGTCGGACGCAATTTTTAACTCCCAGAAACAAGTTGAGACGCGGATCAAGTACTGCAAGGCCTACTGGAATATCCTCTGCAAAAGTATCGTACTCGTACTCGTAGTAATCGCAGTCATGCATTACAAATCTCCATCCCAAGGTAAAAGAGCATGACAAATTCCATTTGTCGCGCTGAGCTAACTTGTATTGCGATTACTACTAGCTACGATACATTTGCAGTTCATATGGAACTCTGTTTCCCCGACGGTGCGCTACGTGTGGTTGTCAACGAACAATGTAAACGAGGTGTGCACCAACTTCGGCGACCTGTCGGGGCTGCAGCACGGTGACACCCCGATGAAATGCACGCCCACGGGCAAAAAATTCGGGATTCCGAAGGAGCAGACGTGGGACACACAAGGCATATCAATTGCAAATGTGTGTGGATCTGGAAGAGTCATGCTGCTTTTGCATGACACAGGAGGCCTGCCATGGAAGCTCTAGCATCACAGGTTTCGAGAAGCTTCCGCAATGCCGAGTCCGCATTACAAATGCCCCATTCTGGTGACAGAAAGTGGGCACCTTTTGCTGCCTGTGCATGAGAGATTTTTATGGGTTGCAAAATGCGCATCACAAGTTTGCATTCTTCCACCAGACCCAGACGTATTTGCAATGTATAAGGCAATACCCTCCGCAACGTCTTGGGGTGGTTGCCGAGCCAGTGGCTGTGGGTTTCGGTTGGGTTCAATGTGCTGGTGAATATCAACGTGGTCAAAGGCCGTAGCCCGGAGGACCACGGCGTGGCTTTCCGGAATCTGATGCTGGTCCTCCCGTTGGCGGTCAGTGAGAAACTTATCAAGCCGGCGCTGGTAAAGACCCGTCTTTATCATGAGCAAAAATCCCCCCTCCCCATATCGAAAACGAAATTTGTGATGCTGATTTGTGACCACAAATCAGCTTTGTCTTGCAGTAGAGGACTGCAGGCCCATATCGTGCCGGAGTCGAGAGGTTTTGGCCTAGGCATTTAGCATGGGAAACGTTTACGCCGTAGGCCCAATAGCATTACAAACCGCCTGCATAATAGGGCGGAGCCTGTGGCGTTGCTTTCTTGCGTCACAGATGCGATTTGTGGTCACAAATCAGCATGACAAATAATTTTCTGAGTCAATATATGGGGAAGGGGGATTTTTCCTCGCAATAGTCTTGGACCCGCCACCATCCGACCGCCCGGAACCGCGATGTGCACGGAGACGGGACACCGGAAGCCCGGCCTGGTGTCTATGCTGTGTAAAATTGTCCCCACCCCGTAGTCAAGTTGGTAAATCTGCAACACAAATCTCTAAGTCTTTGGAGTTGGGCATGACAAGTTTCCATCTGCAGTGTAGTTCTGGTTAGCAAAGGCAGCCGCATGAGAAACCCGCTTTCTCATCCTGTTTACAGCATTACAAAGTCCATAAACACATTTATTGGAAATTGTAATGCTAAGTAATGGCTCTCATGGCGATGCGCATTACAAATGTTCCTGTCGTTGCGCATTTGCATGACAACTCAGGGGTGGGGACGTTTTTCCTCAGGATACTGTCGGGCCACTCCTTCGCCGCGGTCGCGGTCCTTATGCAAACGTTTTGGTTCAACTGGTTGCCCGCGTTCCGGGCTTTGAAGTCCTCGCCTTCGCGCGCCAAGAAGCACTTACGGAAAACGCTCGACTATTGAGAGGAAAGATCCCCCCTCCCTATATCGAAAAGGCGGTATGTTTCCGAAAATTTGTCTTGCTGATTTGAGACCACAAATCGCGTTCGTCTTGCAAGAAGACAAGTGTAGAGGCGGTCCGCGCCATTATGGAAACGATTTGGCATGCTGTTGGGCCTAGGGGGCAGCCGTTTCTAATGCTAAACAACTAGACCCTGACCCAAGCGCCCCTGCTCCCTAGGCTGAGGATCTGGCTGCGATGCCGTATTGCAAGACAGCGCGCATTTGTGTACGGAATTCCAGCATCAGAAACTTCGTCTCGATATGGGGAGGGGTGATTTTTCCTTCTGGTATCGACGTCATGGTGGCCATCAAGGTCGGGCTCAAGCTCGGGTGGTTTATCAAATGCAAAAATGTCTGGGTCGGGGAGAATCCGAGATTTGTCATGCTAATCTGGCATGATAATGATTCTGAGCTCTGTATTGCGCGGCCGCGAACAGCTGCTACTCCCTGTCATGCAAAAACGCAGTTTCTCATGCAGAATACGCAACTCAGAAGCATGCAAAAAACTTGTCATGCTTGGAAGCGCATTACAGTGAGCTCACTCTTCCCTTCCTTGCATCACAAATTTCCCGACCCAGACATTTTTGCAATCCATATGGTTTTCCCAACGGCAAATCGTCTCCTGGTTCCAGGCGTACTACGAGAAGCATCAGCTACGCGGAGGTCCTCCCGGAGTTGTAAACATGCCGGCCGAGGAAGTGCATAGGCTGACGCTGGGCGTCCAAAAGAGCGGCGTGCTGGTCTTGCCGGAGGTGTTTTTCCAAAGCCGCAGGACGGTCGGAACTTGGGATTTTGAGTACGAGATCCGCGAAGACGGGAGCATCGATCCCGCGCCGCGTCCTCTGCCCGACGAGGACGTGTTTACGCACGCGATGGAAGCCTTCGAGAACGAGTTTCTTTTTGCCGACACGCAGCGGGACGTGACCCACGGACGCGAAGTTGCCTTCGTCAGAGCAATCGGGTCACACCGGTGGACGCGCGACGGGAAGCGGGCGTTTGTTACAGCCATTCGCGTCTACAATATTGTCGATTTAATCTTCCTCTTAATGGTCCCGGCCGCTCGTGTGATAGACGAAGACCACACCATCGGGCAGGCGGTCAGTGGCGGTGCCGCTGGTCTCCTGTGGCTGCCGACGACGTGGTTGGTGGCGACAGGGGTGAGCGAATTAGTCCACCGACTCTTCCCAACGTTCGCCCAAGACGCGGCCGGCTGGTACCGCACCTGCGGGGAGCGCATGGACGGCTGCTGGACACGCGTCGTGGAAAAGATCACTCGAGCGGTCGTGCACGAAGATGGCCTGCAGGAGGAACTTCAGGCACCGGACGCCGGCAACGGCGCAGAAGGTGCCGGGCGGCGGGTTGTCCCTGCGGAAGTAGCAGCAGGGATGCTGTGAGTGAAAGCAAACTGACCACTCAGTCTTCACATCTGGAAGGACCAACTTCACTCTTTTTGATACGCATGCCGGTGCGAGCAAAATAGAAGGCTGCTGCTACGTGGAAAAACCAAGACTCCATGTCTTGAGCCTCGTTCGTGCACCAATTATTTTTTCTTTTATCGAACAGGCACTGTGGCGACTTGCTTCAGAACGCCAAAGCGCCGCGGCTAGGGTTTTTCAGGTAATGTGGCATAGATTTTATCAAGCACTATGTATGATATTATTGCTGTACATGTACAACCAGTGGTCGTCGACACTAGGATCCACTTGTCGTACTAGTGGTCGACATATCAAATAAAAAAATGTCTGGGTCTGGAAGATTCTGAGACTTGTCACGCACGTTTTGCATGTGGTATGATGTCCGTGATGCATGCCCTAGCGTCACAGACTTTTTGAGGGCTTCGTGATACTTACCTATTCCGCATGACAAATGCCCTCTCCGCGTAGCCAAGAACAAAATTGCATTCCATTACTTGCTGGTCATGCGATACAGATTTTTTTGGAATCCAAGTGCAGCATCACAAGTTCGGATTCTTCCAGATGACCCAGACACTTTTGCATTTGATACGACATCATGATGTGTAGTGATCTAAGTGCTTCTATATGAATTTGTTATCTGTTTCTGTACTATGCGAAAAAAGGAAGCGGAGAAGGTGTAGGAGTGGAAAACGAACGGTAAATTTCGGAAAAAAAAAGCATATACCACTGTACGAGAAAGTAACAAATGACCCTTATGTATTTGAAAAAAAATCTTTTGCTCGTTTTGACTCTGATGCCGCGTCAACAGAAAGTGCAAGAGGAGCTTCTGTGGTCAACTACAAGGGTGCTTTGCGAAACTACAAAGAACCACCGTAGTACTTCAACATCACAAAGACCACTTTTATGCAAGCAGCACTGGCCAACATACAAAACTACTTGTACCAGAACAGGATCAAGAAACGACTACCCGTTCTCTATGTATACTCGTCTTTTTCGTGTACTTCCACTGTTGTAGAATTGACTTTCTTTTATGTAAGGATATCTTAAAAAAAATTGATTGTAATTGATTTGATCGACGCATTATATGTCGATCAAAATGTTGACTTTTATATCTACTGCAAATTATGACATCATGGTCAAGCGGTAGATGTACAATGTCAGTCCTCTAGTACTACGCAAGAAGAGTAAACCAAATCTTGATTCAAGACAACAAACGAAGCTGGAGGAATAAAACAATAAAAGCATGCAGCACAGTAGTAATGGTACATCACGACCAAGAGCAGGGCACCACAGTGTGGACCAGTAGTAAGTAAGTTCATTTTAGTATCTATCTGTCCCTGCTGAAGATGTGTATAATGATGTTATACCCAACATGTATGATTTGACTTTTTCTTTTTGGCTCTGACGTCATCCCGAAAAGCAACCAGATCGCCAAAGCCTTATGCCAATGAATCTCGAAAAAAAAAAAAATCTAACCATGTAGTTGAGCAGCTCCATCTGTATCCATGAGTTGCTTTCCGATGTTGTTGTTCCCTGTCGTGAAGATCCTCTGTCTGCGCGGCGAGGAGTAAAAGTTCTTTGTCGAAGCGCATGCCAAAACTGAGAGCGATAAGTAAAAAGATGAATCACTACAAAACAAGAGTGTCAAGTATATTTTTATCTGGAATAAAATGAGTAGCACGACAAGATCAAGATGGACCGCAAAACCAGGCACTCTTCGCTGTTGACGTTGCATCTCGAGCGGCAGCACGCGGATATCTGCCGCGAGGTCGAAGAGTACCCCTTCTTCACCACACGGCGATACGACCATGGGAGTAGGGCGATCGCGTCCGTGCGCTGCGTCTGCCAGGAGTGTCGCCAGTTTGTCTCGCGTCGTCAGGCCAGGGGAGCGAGGGCAAGAGCGGCGTCCGGGTCTTCTTCCGTTTCAATTCCAGACTCGATTGATGGTGATGATGTTGATGTAGGGTGCGAGTCAGATGAGGACTTCGTGCTTGAGGTTGGTGCTCGGGGTGAGCCCAGCCCGGTAGCTAGACTTGTCGTGCAAACTTTGAAATATTAGCGCAACTTTATCTTGATTCGTGTAACGGCACTCGCGTCTTGACCCTGGGGAGGTGAGGATGCTTCTACACAGGATACAAGTTCCAGCTGTGCAGCAAGGCCTTTCGGAGGAATCCAAAGCCGTTCTATCTAGCGCAAGTCATCTGCGCGACTGTTGGTATTCAGTATGATCAAATATCTCCTGTTTACTTGGTCACTTTTGAAGGCTGCATTGGTATCTGTCGCGCCTGAAAATCGAAAAGGAAAAGATGACTGTGCTGAAAAACATCAAGGATGCCTTCGAGGTCCAGGAAGCAGCGGGAGCAAAGACGAGTATTCAGGTTCGCGTGCCGAGTGAACTGCACACCCTGCCGCCGTCCGACTTTCAGACCAAGCGGTTCTGCGTGCTCGGCGGCGGCAAGACGGGAATGGACGCGGTGGTCTGGCTTCAGCGCGAGAAGGGGGTGAAACCTGAGCAAATTTCCTGGGTGGTTGGGAAGGAGACCTGGATGCTGAACCGGGAAAACCTGGCATCCCCTGGCGTGCTGGCGGACACGGTTTTGGATGCGATGTCGAAATCTGGCGTGGCGGAGACCGGCTACCTCGAAACCGCATTTGACGAACTCGCCAGAAAAAATGAAATCCGCATGGTCGACCCGACGCATCGGCCTACTGAGTTCAGGTTCCCCATTACCGACTCCGAGGAGCTGACTTATCTCAGAAAACCGAGAATAACCAAGTACCGACAGGGCTACGTGGCAAAACTGGAGCTGTTCATCAATCAAGCATCGACGGAGGACGATGGAGGAGATGAAGGTCGTCTGCGTCTCTTCGAGGAAGGACGATAGCATCTTTCTTTGAACGTGAGCCCAGATGAAGAAGTTGCGCGACTAATAGAAGATAGATTCCCTGTTACAATTACTACCAGACTAGATACAAATTGACATCTTTTTACCAGCTAGATACAAGCTGATGCCAAAAGAGAGGAACAACATGAGAAATCCTTAAGCCTGATGCTCTTGCACGCTTAAGATGTACGATATAACTCACTGATCCTCTGCAGGAAGATGCTGACGAAGGAGCAAGTTGCAGGCGCAGTTGTACTAGTAACATAACCATGAGTCGCACGATATAGAGGAGCACTCTCAGAATAAAAGCAGTCCTACAGAAATCTTGAAGCTGCGGGCAGTCGTTCTCCTCGTAAAACAGTCTTGGCGGTGCATTTCTTGCCATCGTAGAACAATCCTCTCGGCGGCGGTCGAGGAGGACGCAGTTGCGGTCGAGTCGAGGAGGAGTTATTTTTTTGTAGCTGCAGTAACACATTGTGAATTGTAGGTACTCTAAATCAAACACTGTAACAAACACCACTGTCGTGGTCGAGTGCAGTGCCGCACGACGTGCCATTATGGTGGCCCCGAACCATGTTGAGCTGCTCCTGTATCCATGAGTTGTTCTTTCCCGATGTTGTTGTTGTTCCCTGTCGTGATCCTCTGTCTACTCAGCGAGTGGCAGATTTATATAGAAGTGTGTCTGAAAAGGAAGCGGAGGTCAAAACTGAGAGCAATATGGTAAAAAGATGGAACAACACTCACAACTGTCAGCCACATACTCATCTGTAGCACGACAAGATCAAGATGGACCGCAAAACCAGGCACTCCACCTGGTATGAGGAAAACGCGTCCCGTTGGACCGCAAAACCAGTATTTTGTATGAGGAAAACGCGTCCCGTCCTCCACCTGGGACGTCTAAGATGTACTAAAGCAAAAATTGTCCACGCCCTACATTTAGGTTTTGTAAAAAGCAGTCGAGAGGCGTCTTTTTAGAGTTGTACTTAAGCTGAGTAACAGCATCAAGTGCTCCTAGTTGGTTACAGCAACACTCGCTCGTATTTCCCTTGACTTCAGCCGCACAATAGGCGCAGACCACGTTGATGCATCTAGTTTGAATAAATGCAGTTTATACAACCCCATCTTTCTCTCCTCCACCCCTCCCAATCCTCCCGTCGCCGCTCCGCCTACTCCGTACTACAGGAGCGCGGTATGTATTGTCGTGCAAACGAAGAACTTATTTGCCAAATGTATCCGGGGACTATTCTTTTCAGCATCATCAGAAGCATCTGGTTTTGTCACGAGCGGACACGTGGAAAAGTGGAGATACGCGGCGCCCGAACCGTCAGCATCGTGAACAGTCATGTCGGTAGCGCAGTCTGGATTTGGGGGAAGGTTGGTAAGCCCCAGCTTCCACTTCGTGGCAGCATTCGCAGATATGGGAAGCGTTGCTGCCTCTTGTGCCTCGTTGTATAGCAAGGCAACAAACTTGTTCAGGTTAGCCGCTGCACTGCTGAAGTAGCAGTTTGAAATTTATAAGTAAATGCAATTCACACCAGTACGATACTTTTGCAATTTATAACCCGTCGGCGCCGTCGCGGACGAAGGAACGAAGAGAGACGAGGACGAAGTGGCAATCTAGCACTATCTGTTCTTCAGCGTGTGCCATAAATTTATTCGTGTACGATGACCGATTTCATCTTCTAAAAATCTTCTGTTCTCCGATACTACGGATGGCATGTTCACCTCCTGCACAAGTGGATTCATGTACGAATAAAAACGCGCGAGTCATATGCTATATCATCTTCATGGTGCGGTAGTCGTAGTTGCTTTTGAGCTGTGCAGCCAGGGCTCTTCTTGAGTCGGTGTCGGATCCCGCTAGACAGAGCGTACATTTCACCAGAAAACATAAGTACTCACAAAGGGAAACATCAGAATGCAGTTTCTCCTCCTGGTGCCAGGATCTCGAAGGAAATGTAGGACCACCAGCAGAACGCAACTCATCCCACGTGGATGACGAACAAGAATTTATTTATAGTAGTACCACGATCCCAGCAACGACGCCGCGCCTCAGCATGACAAACTAAAACTTGTTCGCTGATTATACGATGGACACACGTTTAGCACGACAAGATCAAGATGGACCGCAAAACCAGGCACTCAAGCTCGTTTTCTCTTGATTTTATGGTCTAGTCGTGCCATTGATTTGCGCTTCTGACTGCAACACAGCTTTCGCTGTCTGCAGGATTGTAGTTTTTGTGCTTAGTAGTGTGCTGGTCGTGCTGCACGACAAGGCAGAAATAAAAGAAGGAGCAGGCTAAGCAGGGGCATTGATATTGAAGAAGAAGATTCGAAATCTACTCTACGGGAGGCGACCTGCGAACTGCTAAGACTGCTCTGCCGCACCTCCAAAGCGGGCGCAGCTTCGTTTCGTCTAGGCGAGCGCGGGGACAGAAAACGAATTCCTCCGCGTCTTGCAGAAAACAACCTCCATACGAACAACAAGCCCCTCGTCATTGAATCACCATGGCCGCTCCTGCTCCAGAAAATGTGGAGCACCGGCAGCACTACACGCCGCGACAGCCCGGCAAGCCGCAACCCCTGCCCCAGACCCCCGGATCAGCTCGAAGCAACCGTGGAATTCTGAATACCAACAGGATGATGCAGCTCGATCTCCCAGAGCAGGCTCTCCTAATGCTGGAGGAAATTGCCATAGAGCGGGACGAAGTCGAGCGACAGGCAGCAGGAGGTGCTCAACTACAAATAACTGGCGCGACGGCATCCTATAGTACTGGCGCCAACAAGATGGTAACTACATCTGCTGCCCCGACGAGCTCCTCCTCGCACCTCGAATGGTTTGAGTCTCTCCTGAAGGAGTACCACGCCCGCTTGCACACCAAAGAGGGCAAGACCTTCACCAAGGTGACCGCACGGCTGAAGCATATCAAATGTAAAAATGTCTGGGTCTGGAAACTTGTGATGCCGTGTGGCGTATCATGAGGAGGCGACAATTGCTGGCTCAGCATGACAAGTTTCTGAGCTTCTAGGTGTTGCCTATTCTGCATGACAAACTACGTTTCTGCATGACAGAAAAGTGGGGCTCTTTGGTAATGTGCATGACAGATCTAAGAGTCATGCCAAACAAGCATGACAAACTTGCATTCTTCCAGGCCCAGACATTCTTACATTTGATAAAGCAGTGGGAGAGACAGAAGTCGCTGGCCAGGCTGACCGGGGCGATCCGCACGTATGAACTGCAAAAGTATCGTACTCGTATGAATGCATTACAAATTTCCTCAGCATGAGAAATAAGATCTGTAATGCGGATTTCCCTATAGGGAAAAGATTTGTAATGCATGATTACAGTACAAGTGCGATAGTTTTGCACAGGATAGCACGGCCGGCGGTGCGACGTCGCGAACGCCCAGGAGTGGACGGCACAGCGTGAAGTCACAATCGAGCTTTTTCGCCTCGTCAGACAACGATGAAGATGCGCTTACCGAGGGAGCGGCTACCCCCGGGTCTGGCTATGACGAAGCAGGGGGAGAGGGAAAGCAGAAATACGCCGAAGCAATCCGCACTGAAAGTAAGAACAGCACCAAGCGCGAAGTCGAGCAGCTGCGCAAGGAGATTTCCTTATGGATGTGTCAGGATCGAAATCGACAAAATCGAAAAACTTGTGATGCATAAAATGTAGGGCACTGAAGGCCTGTATTGGGGAGCAGGCAAATGAGGGCGATTGTAAGCCTGTTTAGAGGTATACAATGTGCTGCCAGAGTAGCATGACAGAAGGAGTCTTCTTTGCCCGAACAGCATGACAGACTGGATTTGGGTGCTCCCAAAATTTGTCATGCGCCACTTGGAAACTGAGGCTCCAACTGACATCAATTTTTTGCATCACAAATTTTTCGATTTTGTCAATTTCGATTCTGACACTTCCACATTCCTTCGCTCTCTTTACACGTGGAGGTGTAGCCACTCCCATATCAAGTGCAAAAATGTCTGGGTCTGGAATAAAGTTGGAACTTGTAATGCTGGCCTTACATTCTTGTGAAATCTGTATTGCATGACCAACAAAACAAGCGGCAGCCTCTCTTGTCATACAAGAACGCAGTTTCTGATGCGGAATGCGTATGAGAAAGCGTTCTGCAAACTTGTCATGCCTTGCTGGATAAGAAAATGTTTCCATCATGCACATTTTAGCATCACAAATTTCCAGACCCAGACATTATATTTGCAATGCATATCCCACCGCGGGTAGCAAAAACGCTGCAGGTGCTGGCGAAGCCGGAGGCGAAGTCCTCGACGGTTTGGATGGCGTCGTCCTGCACGAGGATTCAAAAGAGCTCAGCAATGCAGGAGGGACGAAAGCACAAATGGAAACGAAACCACCGCAAATGAACTTCTTCGCCCCGAAATTTACGAAGCGAGAAAAACTGACCGCGCTTGCCGCATTCCTGGTTTCCATCTTTGCAGTGGTGCTGATGTGCGTGTGGAAACCGCACCAGCCGAGCGAGGTCCTGCACACCACGCGACTATGCTCTGCAAAAGTTGCGAGTAAGTACCTGAAGAAGAAGATCGGACGGATTTTTGATGTAATTTTTATTCTCGCATCATGGCAAATCATCTCGTGGTCCCATACAACCCTTGTGTCGCTGTTTTATCCAACATTGCACTTCCGCACCCGCCGCACGTTCATCTTTCGACCATGAGATTAGTACAGTAGATCTACTTTGGCCTTGCGACAATGATTATATTTGTCATGCAGTTATTCCACCTGACTGATGTTGGTCCTGGTGCTCCCTGCTCTCCTTTTGCGCTGCATACCGGCTGACGAAGTACAACTCTTTCATCACCAGTCCAGTCTACACCATTTCGGAGTCGCAGCCACTGGTTATGCCTTTGGAAGACCACAACAACCACGACTCCACCCACGTAGAGGTGATTGATTTGAAGATGTTTGCGGCCCAGCAGCCGCGGACCGACAGCGACTCGGTCAAGGAGAAGGTGCAATTATGAAATGCAAAAGCATCGTACTAGTATAAATCGCATGACAAATTTCTTCAGCATGAGAAATCGCATTAGTAATGCGGATTTAACTTGAGAAAGAAATTTGTCATGCATATCTGCAATTAGTACGAGTAGTGCGATACTTTTGCAATTGATAGCAGTGGAAGATTTACAATTCCCTCAACGAGGTCGTAAAGTCTGGGAGCCTATCAAGTGTAAAAATGTCTGGGTCTGGAAGAATGCGCGACTTGTCATGCAGATTTTCCATGACCCATAAGGTGTTGAATGCAGGGCCTAGCATGACAGATTCCGCGCGATCTCTGTCATGCCTATCCTGCATGAGAAACTCCCTCCCGACTTGGTCAAAACTGGACGACTTTTGGTAATCATGCAACACAGATTTTCACATGCTTCAGATTTAGCATGACAAGTTGCGTTCTTCCAGACCCAGACATTTTTACGTTTGATAGAGCCTGCTGCTTTCGAAGGACGAAGAAGTGGAGTATTTCGAGACCCTCGATGTGGAAAGTCTCCATCCCGTCAAAGCCGAATTCACCCTTACGCGCGAGACGACAGCCGGCGTCGCCCTGACGGGACACACCGACTTTCTCGGGTTGAAAGTGCAACTCGTCTGCTTCACCTGGTTGGGCAAGTGGCGACTGTACTTCGCCGTGATTTTGTTCCTCGGCACCTTCGCGCTGATCATCTCAGAGGTTGTCCACCGTGTGTACGTCACCTTGGTCGCGGCCACGATCGGGTTGTTTCTGAACTCCGTGGTGCACGAACAAATTCACTTGAAAGAAACCATAGCGATGATTGACTTCGGAACCCTGCTATCCACTGCAACAATATGTGTCTGGGTCTGAATTTGTGATGAGAGATCTGTTGAAGAACGCCAAGATCATCTGTGATGCAGGAATACGAGTGGTCAGCGTCAGTGTGTGATGTTGTGAAACTTTCCTCTACCTCCGTGTCTGTTTCATATGACTTTTCCGAATGCATCTGCAATAGGCCTCTCGGAAAATTTTTCATGCTGTTATGCAGTACAAGGACAAGCCGCTTTTACAACCTTTGCGTTGATGCGATCCGAGCTTCGGCAGCAGAAATTTCCAGACCCAGACAAATTTCCAAATCATACCTGATGCTCCTCTTCTCCATGATGATCAATGTGAATTTCCTCGCGCAAACGGGCTTCTTTCAGTGGTTCAGCTATCCTGGTGCAAAAGTATCGTACTCGTACTTCAATAAAATCCCAGTCATGCAAGGCAAAGCTCTTTTCGAAGCTAAATCAGCATGACAAGAATTCAGTTTGTCGAGTTCAGTTTGTCATGCTCCTGAGCCAATTTGTATTGCAGTTTTTACTACGTAGTGCGATACTTTTGGGTTGCATATCATCGTGAAAATCGTCATTTTTTCGAAATGTGACGTACGCAAGCTGTTTTTCCTCCTTGCCAACATCACGGGCATACTCTCCGCTTTCCTCGACAACGTTACCGTCGTCATGCTGATGGGACCGCTCACTTTATCCTGTGTAGAAACGACCTCGTGGTCTCCCTGTACTAGGTAGCAGATTTGGCATGATTACTTATGGCGATTCGCTACCATATTACCAAGACCAATTATGATGCGTCTCCTTAACATTTTTCATTTTGAGTGGCATTTCCCCGCTCCGCGGAGCCAGACTTGTCGTGCAAACTTTGAAATATTAGCGCAACTCTATCTTGATTCGTGTAACGGCAGTCGCGTCTTGACCCTGGGGAGGTGAGGATGCTTCTACACAGGATACAAGTTCCAGCTGTGCAAAGCCTTTCGGAGGAATCCAAAGCCGTTCTATCTAGCGCAAGTCATCTGCGCGACTGTTGGTATTCAGTATGATCAAATATCTCCTGTTTACTTGGTCACTTTTGAAGGCTGCATTGGTATCTGTCGCGCCTGAAAATCGAAAAGGAAAAGATGACTGTGCTGGAAAACTAAGTAATCCTATTCCTAAAAGTCCGCAACTACACGACTGCAGGTGGCACCTCGACCCTGATAGGCGATCCCCCCAATATCGTTATCGGCTACAAGCTGAAGATATCAAATGCAAAAATGTCTGGGTCTGGAAGAGTACAAACTTGTGATGCGCATTTCAAGACACAGAAAGATCTCTCTCTCATGCATAGTTAGCAAAAGCTGTCCAGTTTCTGCCACCAAGATGGGGCGACATTTGTCATGCGGATTCGGCATTGCGAAAGTTTCTCGAAACCCGTGATGCTAGAGCTCCCATGCCAGACCTTCTGTGTCATGCAAAAACAGCATGACTCTTCCAGACCCAGACATTTTTACATTTGATAGAAGGTTGGCTTCGTCGATTTCCTGATCTACAACGCCCCCCTGATCGTCGTTTTGCTTCCCCTGTCTAGTTATGAACTGCAAAAGTATCGTAATAGTAGTAATTGCAATACAAATTAGCTCAGCATGACAAATGGAATTTGTCATGCTGTTTTGCCTTGGGATGAAGATTTGTAATGCATGACTCCTGCGATTACTTACTACGAGTACGGTACTTTTGCACAGGATACTAGTTACCTGCTGTACCGCCAGTTCCGGGAGGAGATTCTTGCCGGAGATATTCCGAGTAAAAACATCCCCATCCCAGAGTTGTCATGCAAATTTGCATGCCAAAAAAGTTTCTCATGCGAAGCCCCATGAGAAGCTTTTTCTAGTCGTGTTTTGGGATTTGTGATGCTAGAAATAGCATGATATGCTAGATCTGTGATGCTGCTGAACTAGCTAAACAGGACTCCACTACGAGGACAAACTTGTCATGCGAGACAACCAAAGTTGGCCGATTTGTCTAGCAGATTTTCCACGTTGACTCTGGTATGGGGACGTTTTTACTCAGGATAGGAGAGCCGGATGACGAGGTAGAGGATCAGGATGATCTACGAAGAATAAATTTGCAAGAACAGGATGAAAACCAAGCGAAGCCTCCGCAGCTTCAGCCAGATGGTGCCATGGCTCCTGCAAAACAAGCCGATGCGATCGTGGTGACCACTGCAACGGAGGATGAGAAAGGCCATATGAAGATGAGCGTGCGCAACTTCCTATACCCCTATTTCCTCAGTCTTCATGTCCAAGTCCAGTGTAAGTGACCCTTGAGCAGCAACGGAAGCACTTGTAAGAACACTACGAACACCAGCTAGTAAGTATGTAGCCTGTGCATAACGTGACTACATGCGGTGACTGCAGTACGGTCTGCAAAAGATCGCGCAGGATAAAGTCACGATTTGCCTTTTTTTGCATGACGAATGAGAGGCACGAACAGGGGGTGGATTTTTGCGCCGTGATATGCCAAGAACCCCTGCAACTTCCAATAACGCAAAGAGATCACGCAACATCATCAAACATCGCCGACGCGGCCGACTCCAGAACCTCTCAGGAGGCTGTTGGGCAGCGAAGCACCCGGAGCAACGCGAGCTATTCGTCATCCGCTTCCTCGAACGGGGTGGTGTTTGTCGACTTGGAAAAACTCAAGCGCGACAACCGGATCACCGATCACTACATGCTCCTCAAAGTCACTGCGGTGTTTGCGGGCATTTTCCTGGCCCTCTGCCTTTCTATCAAATGCAAACATGTCTGGGTCTGGAAGAATGCAAGGTTTGTCATGCTTGTCTGGCATGACTGAACAGTTTGTGATGGTGCGTGTCCAAGAAGAGACACTCGTGCGTGTCATGCAACAACGCAGTTTGTCATGCGGAAAGCGCGACACTAAGCAGCGCAGATATTTCTCATGCTTGGCTGTGCATTACAGAGTCTGCGCTATTCCCCACCCAGCATTACAAGTTTCCAGACCCCATTTTGCAATGCATACTTTCCCCGGTGCACCAACAAGAGGCAGCGTGGTTCACGTTCTTGGGAATGCTGCTGCTGTGTTATCAAAAGGAAAAATCCCCCCCCCTACCGAAAACGAAACTTGTGTTGCTGTATTTGAGCTACACAAATTGACTTGTATTGCTAGAACGCCAAGAGACGCAGTTGTTCCCTCTTTTGCAGGCAATTTGTCATGCTGTCTGCTTTTCCAGTTGCCTCCTGTCATTCTGAAGACGCAAGGCTTTCCTACGCCACTCAGCACTACAGTCCGCTTCTTTTGCCTTCTAGCATGACAAAATGATTTGTGGTCTCAAATCATGCTACACAAATCGCCGTCTCAGTATGGGGAGAGGGGATTTTTCATTTTGATATGTGTTTTCTCCTCACCAGTCACGAAATCCACCACGTTTTGGAGTCCGTGGAGTATCCTGAGTAAAAACGTACCCACGCCAGAGTTGTAATGCAGATACAGATTCGCAAAGACAGGAAGACTTGTAAAAATGCGCATCCCCATGATAGCCATTTCCAATTGTGTTTTGGAATTTGTGATGCTGTGAACAGGATGAGCAGCTGGATTTGTGACGCGGCTGCACTTGCTAGCCTGCACTACACTGCAGTGCGTTCAACTTGTCATGTGTGACTCACAAAACTCCTAGGTTTGTGTTGCAAAATCCTCATTTTGATTCTGCTGGTGTGGGTACGTTTTTACTCAGGATATGGAGTGGGACGTGCTCATGTTTTTCGCGTCCCTTTTCGTACTGGTCGAGTGTCTATGCATTGCAAAAGTGAAGTCGCACTGTGCGTCGATTGCAATTACAATTTTTTATTTCAAGAAGAAATTCGACGTAAGTTCCCACGCCAAATTGATCAGGTAGGAGGGTTACGTTATGAAACTTGTCATGCCCATAAATTGCAATTTATTACATCTTCAAATGCGATATATGAACTTTTGCAGCGGATAGCGTCTCGCCGAGCTCGGTTTGATTCGACTAGTTGGCGAGTGCATTTCGAACGTGATCTCGTCCATCGATGACGAAAGCGCCCGACTTCCGGTGGCGATGCTGCTCATCCTCTGGGTGAGCTCGATGGGCAGCGCGTTTTTGGAATCCCTGCCGTACACGACGACGATGTGCTACCTGCTGCTCGCGCTGAAGACGGAGGAGGACACAACGAATAAACTGGGCTTCGAGGTTATGCAATACAAATAATTTTCCGTACATGTACAAGCGGCATCACAAATTTCACCAGTTTGGAGTGCTGTAAGTAACACGACGATAATTAGCCAAGTCGCGTTTTTTGCGACTTGGCTAATTCGAATTTCCGGGCTGTTTGGCTACTCGGGCCTGTCCATAGACAGCTTCTGGGCTCTCGAATTAGCCAAGTCCGGGAGATACTTAGCCAAGTCGCGTTCTTTGCGACTTGGCTAATTCAAATTCCCGGGCTGTTTGGCTTCTCGGACCTGTCCATAGACAGCTTCTGGGCTCTCGAATTAGCCAAGTCTGGGAGATAATTAGCCAAGTCACGTTTTTTGCGACTTGGCTAATTCGCATTCCCAGGCTGTTTGGCTTCTCTGACCTGTCCATAGACAGCTTCTGGGCTCTCGAATTAGCCAAGTCCGGGGGATAATTAGCCAAGTCGCGTTTTTTGCGACTTGGCTAATTCGCATTCCTGGGCTGTTTGGCTACTGGGACCTGTCCATAGACAGCTTCTGGGCTCTCGAATTAGCCAAGTCCGGGAGATAATTAGCCAAGTCGCGTTTTTTGCGACTTGGCTAATTCGAGTTCCCGGGCTGTTTGGCTACTCGGACCTGTCCATAGACAGTTTCTGGGCTCTCGAATTAGCCAAGTCCGGGAGAATGTCATGCTAAACTAGGATCGAGCCCCAGTTTTGTCATGCAGAGATGGCATTTGTACGTCGTGTACGGGAAATTTACTGTGGATAGTGGTCGAAAACTTGTCCTACGCGCTCTCGGTTGGCGCTTGCATCGGGGGGATCGGGAGCATCATGGGATCTAGCGTTATGCTGTGTGGAAAACCACTCAATTTGCAGCTTTTTTATCTTTGCTAGTACTAGATCGGCGTCGGCGTACTCGAGGGCAAAAAAACTTTGTCTTCATCATCATCAAGAATCTCGAACGCAATTTCTCACACTGAAATGACTCAGTCCCACATAGAGAGCCTCTGCTTCCAGGATCTGACTTGAGCATGTTCGTCGACGTCCTACAACGCCCACTTCTAATCTACGACTTTTGATAACCATTGCGCTTCCTTTAGAAGTTGTTTTCCGACAGCTCGTGCATACTTGCTAACCTCGTGGCGATGGGGATCTGCTCCAGGTACCTTCCTATCAAATGTAAGTAAAAATGTCTGGGTCTGAGAGAATGCAACTTGTCATGCTAAATCTGAAGCATGCAAAAATCAGTGTTGCACGATTGCCAAAAGTCGTCCAGTTTTGACCAAGTCGGGGGGGAGTTTCTCATGCAGGATAGGAATGAGAGAGATCGCACAGAATCTGTCATGCTAGGTCCTGCATTCCAGACCTCATGGGTCATGGAAAAGCTGCGCGACAAGTCGCGCATTCATCCAGGCCCAGACATTTTTGCTCTTCCCTGTGCTGTACCATGGTCTTGCTTCCAGACAAAACACCAGACATTTTTGCACTTGATACTTCCCGCAGACGCCCCCCTGCACCACAAGATCCAGGGCAAGGACTTTTTGAAGTACGGCTTTCCCGTGTTGCTGATCTTGACGGCGGTCAGCTCGGTGTACCAGTATGTGATTTTTTCAGTGGTGCAGTAACTCTAACTTACTACATTGAGAGCGAATTATAACTCCAAGGCCGGTGCTGCGAGAAAAGAACTTGAAGATCATGGTGCTGGTGTTGAGCAACTCCTTTGGCAATTCTTCTGCGCCACTCCTTTGGCAATCCTAATTTTGGAAACAAAAGGAAAGAAATGGTAACTGTAGACGTAGAAATATCAAAATCAAACTGAAAGAAAACAATTGGATTTGCTTAGCGGTACTCGGATGTGAAGTGGTAAACAAGCGCCAGCAAGCATCAGCGTCATGATCCATAGCAAGAAAGTAGCTCGGTCGTAGAATGTAACATTGTGATTGTCTTGAGCGTCGTGGTCCCTCTACACCGACACCTTCTTGGTATGAGTATTTCTGTTTCTCATTCCATTTGGAAAAATAGACTGAAGGTGAAGATGTTATCGGGGTCCGTTGACCAGAATCCAATATATCGGTTTCTGTTTTTTTTTCTTGGCTTTCAACGTCGGGCTCGGGAGCGCAATGGAATATGGAGACGGTCTTTTTCAGCGCTTTACCCCAGAAATGTCGGTTGTGGGTGGTCGAGTCAATTTGTCGTGTAGTTTTCGGGTTAAATAGAGTGGAACTAAAACCGACCTTCCTTGCAGTTCCTGCAATTGTATCTCCAGGTAGGTGACGATGAAATTCCCAGCAGTCGTCGATATAAGTAGCCCACCACTTTCCCTCATCAATATTCCTCCGTGCCATTTTCAACATTCCTTGTTGTTTAGAAGCTGCTCCGGGACGACCTTGTAGTACCCGTTTTTTTTTCTGTACGACCAGCTGCACGTGTCCTGGTGCAACAACTCGGGGTTAGTAGCTCCGGGTAATACAAGTGAGTGTCTCATTTTGGCGCATTATCGAGGCTCAAAACGACGCTCTTGAGCCCCGCTCCGCAGTCTAACAGAGTAGGTAGGGGGAATTTGATTGCTTCTACGTTTATCGTTTCTGCGAGCCAGCTGCACTGCATTCTGCTCACCAAAAATGAAGTCATCTGTTTCCCCGTCCAAGGCCCCCACCTCCGGGAGGAAAACAAGCCACCACCGCGCCCCCTCCTTGGAGTTGCAGCGTGCGGGCCTCACCGCTTTGACCTCCGGCGGTGCAGCCGATGTGCGACACTGCTCACCGCGGTTGCAGAGGGCAATGGCGAATTTCCTTGTGCCGGCGCTGCTCAACAAGAAGGGCAGTGACCCGGAAGACGACGTGAGATACCGAAATCAAAACAGAAGGCTGAGGACCGACAAGCACACGGAGTCGGCGCCGGTCTTTCTTCCATCATCAGACGAAAATGGATCTTCATCCGCGACCTCGAGCTACACTGGCGGTGGGCGCGCCGGTGGGGCACTGCTAGATCGAGGAGCAGGAGCAGCGCCGGGTAAAAGCAATATGCGAAGCAGCGGCAGTCAGAACTACCGAATAGGAGGTGGGAGCAAACACCTCTACCCCGTGCCGGAAACCCCGAATATGAAGATACCGTCGCCAGTATCAACCGGAATTAAAGTGTTAAAACGTTGAGAACTCGGAATATGTGATGCGATAAAACATTCAAAACCAAAAGCAAAAGGATGAAGAATTATAGTACACTGTCACTGATATTTGTATTGCTGAGCACCCATGATGAAAGGAAAAATCTGTCATGCGTGATCGTACTTACATAGTGAAAGCATCAAAACCGTGAACGTTAAAACACCTTTGCGAGTGATAGCTGGCAAAAAGGGTAGATCTGGACGCGCACCAGAAGTGGATGCAGTATGCGGAGCCACCATATCCTGTGCAAAAGTATCGTACTCGTATTGCAATCATGCATTACAAATTTTCTTGTTAAGTCAAATCCGCATTACAAATTTTGTTTCTCATGCTGAGACAATTTGTCATGCATTTATACGAGTACGATACTATTGCAGTTCATACACCACGTATAAAACCAATATGTGAAGAGGAGGACAGAAGTTTGATGGTTTTCTTGTTGCAGCTGCATGACAAATCGCTGTTCTGTTGCTGTTTCCTTTGTGTTTGTTATTCTATCTATCGATAAAGTGATCTTATCACACTACAGAGGGCCACTTCCCCCACCCCACGAAAGCGAACGAGAAAGGCTTGCCGTTTTCTCCGACCAAAAACGCGAGGGACCACCTCAAGCACCCGAGTTCCCCCTACCGAGATCAGCCCCCACTACCCGACCATTTCCTCAAGCCCTGCTCCAACACCTCCCCGATTCTCTACAACTGCTTTCACAAAAAGGACACCACAGACGTGTACGAGTGGCAACAGCGCGAGTTTAATTGGTTCGTCGAGGCGCAGCATAAGTTCAACCAGGAAGTCAAGCACTTGCTAAACCCCAACTCAAACTGCCGCGCACCGAAAAATATCCTGTGCAAAAGTATCGCACTCGTAGTAATCGCAAACATGCATTACAAAGCGTGCTCTTAAGGTAAACCCGCATTATTTGTCGTGCTGAGGAAATTTGTAATGCATTTATACGAGTGCGAAACTTTTGCACTGCATAAAAAACTACATGCACGCGACCACGTACAGATTTTTGCTACTCCTGCATGATCGCGCTTTGCTTTAGCTTTTAATACGCATGACAGATGCAATTGAAAACCGTATAGAGACGGTTCTTACGGTAGCACTTTTCACGGCGCAACATCCTCGGCCTCTAAAGATATCCCCGTTGCATTCGGAACGCAAAGAAAGGCTTTCCACATGTTATCACCTCTCGGCACTCGCCTAGCGGAGGGTTGGCGGAGGGCAAGTTGCAGTCGATCAGATCCAGAATTAGCTGGGTGGAGTAGTAAAAGCGCAAAGTGCTTACTTTTTGACAGCAGATGTCGTTTATTCTTAAACTTCTTCTACCAGGGCGGTACTGCGATTCTGCATGTGCCGTCTACACCCTCCGCCACCCCTCCGCAGTTGCTCAGCATGTTCCTCATAGCGTGCTGAATTTTGAAAAAATGCAAAACCGACAAAAAAGCGAAAAACAAAAGGAAAAACCCATAAAAAGCTTTTCAGCATGCTATCACCTCTTGACAGTCGCGTAGCGGAGGGTGGGCGGAGGGCAAGTTGGAGTCAAATAGACCCAGCATCAGCTGCGGATAACACTAAAAGTGCAAAGTGCTTACTTTTTGACAACAGATGCCATTTATTCTTAAACTTCTTCTACCAGGGCGGTACTGCGATTCTGCATGTGCCGTCTACACCCTCCGCTACCCCTCCGCAGTTGCTCAGCATGTTCCTCATAGCATGCTGAATTTTGAAAAAATGCAAAACCGACAAAAAAGCGAAAAACAAAAGCAAAAACCCATAAAAAGCTTTTCAGCATGGTATCACCTCTCGACACTCGCGTAGCGGAGGGTGGGCGGAGGGCAAGTTGCAGTCAAATAGACCCAGCATCAGCTGCGGATAAAACTAAAAGCGCGAAGTGCTTACTTTTTGACAGCAGATGCCATTTATTCTTAAACTTCTGCCAGCAGGACGGCACTGCGATTCTGCGTGTGCCGTTTACACCCTCCGCTACCCCTCCGCAGTTGCTGGGCATGTTCCTCGTAGCATGCTGAATTTTGGAAAATTGCAAAACCGACAAAAAAAACGAAAAACTAAAGTAAAAACACATAAAGAGCTTTTCAGCATGGTGTCACCTCTTGACACTCGCGTAGCGGAGGGTGGGCGGAGGGCAAGTTGCAGTCGAATAGACCCAGCATCAGCTGCGGATAGTACTAAAAGTGCAAAGTGCTTACTTTTTAACAGCAGATGTCTTTTACTCTCAAACTTCTGCTACCAGGACGGCACTGCGATTCTGCATGTGCCGTCTACACCCTCCGCTCCCCCTCCGCAGTTGCTGGTCATGTTCCTCATAGCGTGCTGAATTTGGAGAACTTGCAAAACCGACAAAAAAGCGAAAAACAAAAGTAAAAACACAACAAGAGCTTTTCAGCATGGTGCCACTTCTTGACAATCGCCTAGCGGAGGGGTGGCGGAGGGCAAGTTGCAGTCGATTAGATCCAGAATTAGCTGCGGATAGTACTAAAACTTCAAAGTGCTTGCTTTTTGGCAGCAGATGCCATTCATCATTAAACTTCTGCAACCAGGACGGCACTGCGATTCTGCATGTGCCGTCTACACCCTCCGCTACCCCTCCGCAGTTGTTGGGCATGTTTCTCATAGCATGCTAAAATTTGAAAACTTGCGAAACCGACAAAAAAGCGAAGAACAAAAGTAAAAATACACAAAAAGCTTCACGGCATGGCAACACCTCTTGGCACTCGCCTAGCGGAGGAGGGGCGGAGGGCGAGTTGCAGTCGATTAGACCCAGAATTGATAGCTGCGGATAGTACTAAAAGTGCAAAGTGCTTACGATATGACAATTGAAATTGAAAGCCGTATTATAGATTGATAGAACATTTTGGATAACTACAAACCTCTTACGGTGCGTCATTTTGATTTTCACAACTACTTACAGGAAACCGCTGGGGCGATTGTACTTCGACAAGCACCGCCCCGCGTTTTTATCGAAAAGAAAATTATCGGTTTTCGCGGAGTTTTGGTTTTCATCTTCATCGGCAAACAGTTGTACTAGTGTTCGCGACTCGACATGTTAGTGCCTTTCATCTTGCATAAATAGACAGGTATGAAATACTAGAAGCAACAAGAATAGCTTGTGTTGCATCCCACGCATGACAAACGAAACAGCTGAAACCTCACTGTCCCACATTTCCATACTTGCAGCTGAGCCAAGAGCAGGTCGACAAAATGATGCCGCCGGGGTACTACAGAAAACGAAACGGGTATGAGGTATGGAATAGAAAAACTTCAGAGCAAGCGGCTACTGATGAGGGCCACAGATGCTCTTCGGCTTGATAGAAGAAATGCAACTCTATTTTTGGCGTCATATAGTTCCTGATCGCATGATGGTTGTAAGTAGTGTGATTTTCAGTAGTGCTCTCGATGTTTTGAATACCCGTTCTTGCATTTCAGCAATGATTTTGTCCTGACTTAGATCATGTGCAAATGTCATCCTTCGGACAGCACACCGACAAGCTTCAAGAGCGAAGGCATGTCATTTCCAACTGAGTTTTTCTTTTCATACCTGTTCTGGAGATGATGTCGATACAAGTCGAAGTCCATCACTTACAACAAAAAGGAAAAACGCAAACATAGCAATCATGTCCTCTATTCCGTCTCGGTATTTTTCACCAAATGTAAGCAAAAAGCCATAAATCTGCTATCACCTGCAACTTCACAAAAACGCAGCATCTTGCTCTCAAGCTGTCTGTACCTGTAGTAATTTATCATCCTGCAACGAAAGCTAACTGCATTAGCATTTGTTTTGTCTCTAGTAGTTGTAAAATGTGTACACGTAAGTACTAAAAACGAACACTGTACAATATTCTGAACTGCTACAACGCATGTACAAGAGAATGAAAAACTTGGACGAGTCAGTATGAACAGTAAAAAATAAAAAGAACGCCTAGTGTATAATATCAATCGCTCAAAAAAAATTCATCGTACAATCGGGCTCCAGCATCGCCACGTTTATCTCATGATCCGAATCCGTTGTTCCTCATCATGGTAGGTTGTCGATTGCAACGACAACAGCAACACAGGAGAGTATCGGGCTACCACCCGTCGTGGTTTGTTTTATTTGGCATTTAATCTGAAAGCCTGACCCTGAGCCTGATTGAATGATTGGAGGAAGCACCAGAAAGCTTCAGGGCGAAGGAGTTCCAGCATTTGTGAAGACACAAGTTGAGCGAGGCAAGAGCTCAACCTCGAAGCCGAGGCAATAGTTCTTATTTTAGAGGCTTGTAGCTGTTTGCGCCTCTATTTCCGCATGAAGATTGATGATCATAATTCGTGAGCATAGCGCTAGGCGATATAAGTACTCGAAGACAAAAACAATGGCAGCCGGCTCCTCTGTGTTCCTGCCGGACGGACGGGCGGCCCTTTCCCGAGTTCTGCAAGAGGCAGAGCATCGGACGATCACAATGCTCCACACACTCAGTGGACCCGGTTGCGCGGGTGCTGACGCTGAGCGACCAAACGGCCCGCGCCGACCTGCTGCGTGATCTCGAGGGCCCGGAGAGCCCATCTCCGCGGGCAGATACTAGCCCCCCGACTATCGAAGGGCGACGCGTCGGACCCCGGTGCCGAGTGGCCGCCCGCCGGCAGGTGATGCGCTGCCGTGCTTTTCCCGAGACGGAGAGCGCCGCCGCCTGCAACCCCGGCAAGTACGTGCGTACTGCCGTGGCCAAGCGGCTATAACAATGGTCACCGACTTGGCCGCCCTGGTCTTGCTCCGTCCTCGCTCAGCGTGGGCGGTGAGGGTGTGGGCGCCTTCTCAAAGTTGAGGCCAAGCGAAGTGGGCGGCGAGAAGTCCGCGGCCGTTGCCCTTGGGCCGTGCGCAAACTCTACCAGCCCGCCCTCACTCTTGCGCGCGGTGCGATTGTCCGGCGCCTTGCGCGCCGTGCGTTGGCCCGCTGCTTTGGTTTTTCTCGCCCGCGCGAGCGGTTGGGGCGCCCGCCCGGCCTCTAGGCCGAGTCCGCGCTCTGAGTGAATCTGTGGCACCCTCACGATAACGAAAGGAGAGAAGTGCTAGAATGCCACTCTGGTAGCTTCTTCCTTCGAATGCGGGCACATTGGTTAGACAAATGGACGCCATGTTCCTCTTGCTAGTTGAGGCCTGTTTCAATTTCAAAGCCAGAGGGGCTGACCTGAGTGATTGGTGGCACCGTGAAGAGTCAGCGAAAACGAATTCCGGATGAGAGTTATTCAAAATTTGCGGACACCCGGGCAGTGCGGTGGAGCTTGGTTTGTTTGAAGTAGGCAATAATAAAACCAGACTAACTTTTCTGCCTAGGTCACGACAAGGCCCCGGGCTTTTGGCAAAGGTGCGCTATGCAAACTTTGACATTCACGGCGCAGTATCTTCGCCCTCTAAAGATAGATACACTGCATTCGGAACGCATAGAAAGGGTTTCCGCATAGTGTCACCTCTTGACACTCGCCTAGGTAGCGGAGGGGAGGCGGAGGGCAAGTTGCAGTCGATTAGACCCAGAATTAGCTGCGGACAGTACTAAAAGTCCAAAGCGCTTACTTTTTGACAGCAGTCGCCACATATTATCAAACTTCTGCTACCAGGGCGGCACTGCGATTCTGCATGTGCCGTCTGCGCCCTCCGCTGCCCCTCCGCAGTTGCTGCGAATTGTTCCTCATAACATGCTGAATTTTGAAAACTTGCAAAACCGACAAAAAAAACGAAAAACAAAAGTAAAATCCCATAAAAAGCCTTTCAGCATGGTATCACTTCTTGACACTCGCCTAGCGGAGGGGTGGCGGAGGGCAAGTTGCAGTCGATTATATCCAGAATTAGCTGCGGATAGTACTAAATCTTCAAAGTGCTTGCTTTTTGGCAGCAGATGCCATTTATTATGAAACTTCTGCTACCAGGACGGCACTGCGAGTCTGCATGTGCCGTCTACACCCTCCGCTACCCCTCCGTAGTTGCTGGGCATGTTCCTCATAGCATTTTGAATTTTGAAAACTAGCAAAGCCGACAAAAAAAGCAAAAAACAAAAGCAAAGACGCACCAAAACCTTTTCAGCATGGTGTCACTTCTTGACACTCGCCTAGCGGAGGGGTGGCGGAGGGCAAATTGCAGTCGATTAGATCCAGAATCAGCTGCGGACAGTACTAAAGCTTCAAAGTGTTTGCTTTTTGGCAGCAGATGCCAATCATTATTCAACTTTTTCTACCAGGACGGCACTGCGATTCTGCATGTGCTGGCTACACCCTCCGCTACGCCTCCGTAGTTGTGTGGCATGTTTCTCATAGCATGCTGAATTTTGAAAAATTGCAAAACCGAAAAAAAACGAAAAACAAAAACAAAAACATACAAAAAACTTTTTAGCATGGTATTACCTCTTGACACTCGCGTGGCGGAGGGTGGGCGGAGGGCAAGTTGCAGTCGAATAGACCCAGCATCAGCAGCGGATACTACTAAAAGTGCAAATTGCTTACTTTTTGACAGCAGATGGAGTTTATTGTTAAACTTCTGCTACCAGGACGGCATTGCGATTCTGCATGTGCCGTCTACACCCTCCGCTACCCCTCCGGAGTTGTTGTGCATGTTTCTCATAGCATGCGGAATTTTGAAAAATCGCAAAACCAACAAAAAAAACGAAAAACAAAAGTAAAAACCCACAAAAAGCTTTTCAGCATGGTGTCACCTCTGGACACTCGCGTAGCGGAGGGTGGGCGGAGGGCAAGTTGCAGTCGAATAGACCCAGCATTAGCTGCGGATAGTACTAAAAATGCAAAGTGCTTACTTTTTGACAGCAGACGCCATTTATTCTTAAACTTCTGCTAGCAGGACGGCACTGCGATTCTGCATGTGCCGTCTACACCCTCCGCTACCCCTCCGCACTTACTGGGCATGTTCCTCATAGCATGCTGAATTTTGAAAACTACCAAAACTGACAAAAAAAACGAAAAACAAAAGCAGAGACGCATCAAAAGCTTTTCAGCATGGTGCCACTTCTTGACAATCGCCTAGCGGAGGGGTGGCGGAGGGCAAGTTGCAGTCGATTAGATCCAGCATCAGCTGCGGATAGTACTAAAAGTGCAAAGTGCTTACTTTTTGACAGCAGATGCCATTTATTCTTAAACTTCTGCTACCAGGACGGCACGGCGATTCTGCGCGTGCCGTTTACGCCCTCCGCTACCCCTCCGCGGTTGCTGGGCATGTTTATCATAGCATGCAGAATTTTGAAAAAATGCAAGACCGAGAAAAAAAGCGAAAAACAAAAGCAAAAACCCATAAAAAGCTTTTCAGCATGCTGTCACCTCTTCGCTGTCGCCTAGCGGAGGGTGGGCGGAGGGCAAGACGCAGTCGATTGAGTTCAAAATTAGCTGGGGAAAGTAGGTAAAATTGCAAAGTGCTGACTTTTTGATAACAGATGGCGATTGTTGTTAAATTTCTGCTACCAGGACGGCACTGCGATTCTGGATATGCCGTCCACACCCTCCGCAACTCCGCCGCAGTTGTTGGGCATTTGCCACATGGCAGCACTGATTATATGCAATTTGCAAAAACTAAAAAAAAATTCAATCACGCATATACAAAATTCTTGTATTGCATTGAATCACGTGGTTGGTTTCGCGCAACGCGGAGCTGGCGAAGTAGTATTAGTTGATGAAGAAAAATTTTTGAAATTGCTCTGGAGGTGGATTCTGCCATACCTATCACTTGTAAGTAGAACTAAAAGCGGAAACTGCATAACAGTGATTAGTATGTTTCTGATGCGTGTTTTCATCGATTGCGACTTCGAAACGAATCTGCGTATTATCGTGTAGCCGATCATTCTCGATTGTTTAGCAAACTTATCGAAATCTTTGTGACCCTGAGGTTGCGAATGAGAATGACAGCTGAAGACGAAAGAGGAAAACAAAAGCAACTCGACCGTAAAAAGGATCTCGCAGATTAGAACCAAGGGACCTCGTTCGAATCGATTTGCAAGTCCCTATTGGACGGAGATGGAGCTCGACGTATGAAAGCGTTGACGTTGTATTTTAGTATCGCGCTCGTCACTGAAGCAATGTTTATCTTGCTGAAGATCTAAATCCATATTGATACATAGATAAAATTGCGCACTCACGAAATAAAAGTGAAAAGAAAACGTGTGGCGAAGTGTGTTCTTTTCCGTCATTATTTGTTGTTTTTACCACGACTGGGACCAGGAAGCGATGACGCAGCATAGACTTTGAGTACCGGCGATTCGTCGGATGTTTCAATTCCTCGTGTTGCGTTTGGTCGCCTAAAGATAAACTGAGTAAATTTTGACTATGATGGCCATGGCAATGCAAGCCATCGGTGACCGTCTCCGTCTCCTTTGTGGTGCATTGTCGTTCTACAGCCAGCTGTGGAGGTCTTTGAGCAACTACGTCATTACCGTCACCGACTCGATGGACGCCTGGCTCCGGACCCTACTCATCTGGTTAGCAGCTGTTCTCAGAACCGCTCTCGGGCATGGATCAAACCCCTCCTGGAAAGCAGTTCTGACATTGTTGCAACTGGCATTTTACGTTCTTGCAAAACTCCGATCATGTCATTATCAAGACGTTGAACGAACATGCATTCCAAAAAAAGCTGTTTCACAACTAATCATGCTGGAGTGAAATAATGATACGCATTTATTTGATTCTGCTTGTATCTAGTAGATTCTTTTGTTTCTGAAAAATCGGAATATCACACCCGCATGAAAGTTGCAGAAGCAGTATCATTTTCCTTGTTACTGTTTTCTGTTCTTGATCTTGGAGGAAAAGTAAACGCACTACCGTTGAGTAGAAAAGCTGCCACCATTTGGTAAGAGCGGGGTCACAAACTCATTCGTTAACTCCCCACCGGAGTTACGGACCAACCGGCCGGGTGGTCCTTAACTCCGGTGCCCCAAATGTTGCTTTAGAGAGAGGCAACAACGAAATTAATCCTTATGCGCCCCCCCGGCGGATAAGCCGGGGGTGGGCCCCATCTTATCCGCGCGCCGACGGGCCGTGCTGGTGTAGCCTAGGCAAAGTGACCCGGCGCCCTCATTGCCTGGAGGGCCCGGATATGCCCACAGCATGCCGTCGGTCTTTGTGGTGTTTAAAAGTAACAGGCCCAACATTTGAAAGCGCCACACTACCGGGGTTGCTTCAGACTAAAGGGCGACTGGGCAACATTTGGGGCGCGCTTGGGAAATTCGCCACGCAAGAAACTGCCGCGCAAGTAGCAACGGACACGCAGTTGCAAGATCAGAGCCAGAATCTGCCCCGCAGAAACTGCTGCCATATGTAGCGCGAGGGCCAAGGAGCTTCCTCGCTTCGCGCCTTCAGGCTATTGGGTTACTTGCTAGACCATGTCGACGCCGCTTTGCCCTTGGGCAGTGGCCTAGGGTCCGAAGCGAGAGGCGCCGCGGGCTAAAGCTTTGCTCTAGCCTGCGCGCGCGGCCCCCTGAAGGGGGTTCGCCTGTGCAAACCGATGGCCATGGCTGCCCCTGCTTTTGCAATGGGTTCACTCAAAAAGACAGCAGGGCAGCAATGCCCAGGGTTGCGCACCCAGATTCCTACCCACTCTTTTAAATGTGGAGCGCCGTCGTTGGTAAAATTCCCTCCGGTGGTGTGCTCAATTTATATCATCGCACGGCAAACACGACCACGAGGGGGGGTAGCCATTTTCTGGGCCCCGGGCCGTGTTGTCCAATGTTTGTGGAAGCGCAAACATTGGCAGCGAGCGCAGCCTCCGCCGCGGCCGTAGTATTTATTTGGGCCGTGTAACTGACGGCCCCGCGCGGTCCACTTTTGTTTTCCGGCTTTTTCATGCCACCGCCGACCGACGTGCTTTAACTCTTCGCATCTTCGGCGCGGCGCAAGTGTTCCTTCGCCCGAAGTGCAGGAAGGCAGGCCATGGGGCCCAGTGAGGTTTTCTCGCCTCGCCCGGTGTTGCAGCCTACTTTTGGGAAACCCGCGCGCGCCCGTTTTGTGCGACGGGTTGTGACTCGCAGCCAGCAGTCGTCGCAAACCCCACACGCAGCGGAGTATCGCAGCCACGTAGTACGTAGCAGCGATGAGCTGGCTGTTCCCGGTTTTGGTGTAGCAGCGATGACAGTATCGCAGCCACATGACCGGGCTGTTTCCGGTGCTGGTAGCAGTGATGACCGGGCTGCTCCCGGTTCTGGCGATAGCACTTTATTCCGGGTTGTTCCCGGTTCTGGGGCTCACCAGATAGTACGTAGAGCAACATTTTGGGCACCGGAGTTAAGGACCACCCGGCCGGTTGGTCCGTAACTCCGGTGGGGAGTTAACGAATGAGTTTGTGACCCCGCTCTAATGACTTGATAAAAAAGCTTTTGCTATGTATGACAATACAGCCTGCTTCTACATCTTAGCCATCACGGTCGCCGAGAATACCATCCTGCAAGTTCCGGCGTCCTTGTGGTTTCACCGAGGAAAATCCAAGCACGACGTGTCCATCCTGCGCGATGACGGTCTTCTCGTTTTTTTTGACGCACGTCGACAAGTACGGCGAGAAAGCTACGTTTGCCGAGCAACGATTTCGGAAGGCGCTGCTATGCTGGAAGAGAAACTTCATGATGACTTTTGGTTTACGAATTGCTGCAACTATGATATGCTCCTCTTGGTCAGGAAACGCACTCGATTTTGTCATTGATTCCGGTTAATGCATTTTCCATTTTTCACTCATATCTTATGCAGATCAGCACTATCTAGCTAAGTAGCAACCCAGAAGAAAAATGATAACAACGCATGCCGAAACAGAGGTCTGTAAAGCAGCCGAAGTCACTGAGTTGCTTCCTTGCAATACCTCCGCTGGCGATGGTTGCCGATGCAGTTTTGAGGGGATTGATATATGAATTGCAATTACAACACGTCGTGGTCTGATTACGAAGTGCGACTCAAATATTATACATGTTTGCTCGCGTTGTAACCTGACAGAAGTAGAACAATCATCGATATCCCTTTGCTTATGCTGCTAGTGCATCCGTCTGGAATCGACCACGACGTGAGGATTATCGTGGATACTGTTGCCCTCTGTCTCCTTGTGTTTTTCCAAGGAGCCCTCTGCTGCAGGACCGGGTCGGTGTGGCTCAGCCTCCACGTGGTGCCCATTGACCCGCCACGTGTCGTGGTCGGAGGGCTGCTCCGCACCGCTGCAGCGTCATCCTCGGCACAACTGCAGATCGAGTTTGCCTCCGCAGTGTTCCGGCGCCTCCTTCGTTTGCTGCGATCTTCCTGGGCCTGCAGTTGTTGTTTCTTCACCTTTCCCTACAAGCTGTTTTCAGTTTCACTCTGTGCCGCGTCCTGTTGCGGGAGAAGACGGAGGATGTCTATCGCCAGCGAGACCACCGACATGACGTACACGCAACGACCTCGGGTGGCCGTCACCGACGGAAACATCAACAGGAACCGGCAACAGCACCTCGCTCCCCGTGTACGGAAAACAAGCGAAAAGTCGCAGTACCGGGGACCCGTCGACGTCGACTTCTATGCCGGAGGCGGTTGTTTATCCGGTGAACAAATAGATGTTAAACAATTAGTCTTGCGGCTGGACTAACAATACAGAAACCTGCTGTCCATCCGTTAATTGCTGACTTTTCGTGGTACGGCTGGTTGTATCGTTCGGGCACAGTAATTGCCACGATAAAACTGCTACCACGGAGAGCAAAATACGTAGAAATGCATCACCGTACGACGCCATGCAGTTGCAACTTTTGCTATAAGAACTACGTGTACAGAAACAGATACAGATGCAGACGAAGAAGATGTAGTACAGACAAAGTCACACAACGACCTGATTGATCAGTACGCATGCTTAGCTGCTTGTACTTGCAACTGTTTTTAGGGAAGAGATGAAACCAATTTGAATTTGAACTTGTCTGGCTCTGAGTTCGTCCACGGAATGAATAAAAGAGTCCTCCTACCTTCTTGTCATGCGTTATCCTTATCGCTCTCGCTCACATTCTGCATGCGAAGAAGCGCATGATCCGGGCAGCAGGCTTCCTTGCTGTCGAAGCAGCGTCGAGGTCAAGATCGCGAGCGTACGTTATGGAGTTCTCAATTACTTACATTGATATGATATGTGATGCAAGAATAGCAAAATCGAAGGGCCGAGTTTGTCTTTCTGCTTGCACGTCTTGCATTACAAACCTGGAATGGCAGTGGATTTTTGCCATTTCATTCGGCTCTTCGATAACTACTTGTTATGCGAGCTACCTTGAACTTGTTCTTGATCTTGGCGTGAAGGCTGATAGGAACTGCGCATGACAAGCTATGTGCACAGCGGGCAGTGTAACCCTTGAGAATCCCATATACGTTCCATAAATTTTCTTGGGCAGTTTGCAACTCCCGGAGGACAGTGACGCGCTAGCTCCAGGGAAAGTGCTAAAGACGGGCGAGCCGACTGAGTTCGGAGCCTCGGGTCCCTGGCAGCAGTTGTTGGTCTCAGCGACACTGCAGGTTCCGATCGATTCAGCAGCCCAGCGAAATCTGGCCACAAGGTTCCAGGAGGAAGCTCTCTTCCGCGGCCCGGACGGGTAAGATAGTACGCATTGGAAGTGTGATGTATTTGCATACAGAAACAAAAAGAAAGATTTATTTTCTGCGCTTTAGAAATACAATCACAATAGAAAAAAGTGAGATAATAAAAACGTACAAAAATACAGAATCAAGTACCGAGTCCTGCTGCTAGAAAAAATTCGGACGCTAAAGTCGGACCAGCGTTTATGTCTTGCGAATCTTGAGTCAAGCAGGGTCAAAGCAAAAGTTTTTGCAAGAATTAGATAGATTGCTACATGGCGTTTAACCTTAACTAGTAAAGACGATTTTCTATACCGGATCCGGACTGCATTGCAGCCTAGAAACCCCAAACTGCAGAAACCAGAAGTCCATTGTCATGATTATTGACTTTCCAAGTTGGTTCTGGCGGCTCTGTTGCGTATACGTATTTGCAAGAAAATCTGATCATTTTTCGTTTGCTTTGGTCCCAACTCCAGAGTCTTTCACATCCATAGGGCCTACACGAGATGGTCTACCGACCACCGGTGTCGTCTGAAAACTTTTTGGCGGAACAACGGGCACAGGAATCGGAGGCGGCTCTGTTATGATAGAAAATCAAAAGCAGCTATCATCTGAAACAAATAATATAGGTTTTGGTATTGGTTTTTTGCGAATCAAAGAAAAATTTTGCGGCTGGATGATCTTCGGCAACCGATGCACTTGTATTGGGGCTGAATTGCGACTCCTCGTCGTGCACTGGAGTGCATGGGCACGCGTCTTCATGTTCTCTTTCTTTGTATGCCCGTCGCATTTGCAGGGCACGAGAGTCATTTTGGAACATCGATAGCGCTGTTGATTTTCTACGTGATTGCCGTACTGGCGGGCGTCTTCGTGGCAGCGCGTCTTCTCGCTGTGCGACAACGACTGCAGCGCGCAAATCAAGGAACAGTACGACAAGAGGATGGCCGAAATCGCAGATGACTTCTCGGTTCTGAATCACGACTACCTAATGGAAAAGGAGCTGCTCGCGAACTACGGGCTTCTCGAAGTCCGCTTCCTAGCAACGGGCGAGTTTCACGTCTACCTGGACGGGGAAATGCTGGGCAACCTGCGGGACTTGCGGTACTCTGACCTGTCCGTTGGCGCTATCGACGAAAAGTGGCCCGAGTTCGGAATGCAGCAGTTAAATGTCGACATCTTCAACCTCGCCGGCATCGAGCATCGACGTGGCTTCGACCCGGACCCGCATGGAGCAACATCGATGCCGGGGGAATCTGGCGGAAAACGGTACCTCACCTGCCAGCCAAGACACGAAACCCCGTCCCCTGCCAAGCAGTTCCGACTGCCCGGAAAGTCCTGGATCCAGCAGGGCAGGAACGAAGTGCAACACTCGGCGTTCTTTGAGAAGGACTGCGTCCAAAGTAGCTTGGCGACGTGGTGCCGGGCTGCAAACAAGAGTCTTGCCCAGCAGTACCGCCGTGGTTTGTCCGCGACGCCACTGTTAACGGAGAAGATGGAAACCTGTCCCTTCGTGAATCAGTACTACACGGAGCAAGAAGTGCGGCGAGCTCGCATTGAGCACGGGTATCCTGTGCAAAAGTATCGTACTCGGAAAACCTGCATCAACTATGTTGCGCCGTAAGAAGAAGTTTTCTCATAATTCTCTAATTTGTTTTATCCTGGTCTAGCATGAAAGTTCCACAGACAGGCTACGTGTTTTGCACAAGTATTTCGCGATGGATTTCTTCTTGACTTCGGATGCTATTTGTTGTACTAGGACTAGAAACTACGAGGAAGACGAATCTTTTGCAGTGCATACCATTCGGGCGACGGCCAAAATCTTGGACGACTTGGAACCGCAGAGCGACTGGCTATTTTCGTCGAAATTCGGCATGGAGTGCAACCACCCGTACATACTGTTGACGCGTCAGCCCCCGGCTTCTACCGAGGACGAGCACCACACGATGAGCATCATGGCGTGCCTTACCCCCGAATCCAACCTACTGACCGTCAACGCGCTTACGAAGGAACGGTTTGACGCGGAGTGTCGTCGGCGCCGCGAGTATGTGGCGGATCTGTTGAACGCGCACACGATGCAGTGGACCCCGGCGTTTCAGGGGCCCCGCCTGGATCCGGTCCGCGACGGGATCACCGAGGAAGACGTGCGCATCTTCAATGCCGACCTGCTATCCATGGTAAAGACGCGTGCACCGACTCAACTATTCCGATTCTTTCTGTGGCGGAACACCCATTCCCATAGCATTAATTGCAACTGGACAACTTCATTGCAACACTTCTGGTTCTGCATAAAAACTGAAATGACAATTAGGAAAGTCGCATGTAGACGTGGAAGGCTTTTCTGGGTTGCGTAAGTATTACGTTCGCGTTGCAGACGAGCATAGAGGGTTGCTTTTCATCCTTTCTGCCATGAAACGTTCTTTGCTTTGTGCAGACCGCTGCGAAAAGTATACCGTAGCAGAAACGAATGGATAAGATGATCATGCACCTATTTGACCATGGATATCCAAACGCACAGTATCCATAAAAAGAATTCAAAACTCGATGCTAATCATTGACACAAAGTGGGTATTTCATTCAAGCCACACAAAGGCCTAGTGATACATAAGCGAACCCGAATAAAGCATCATTGTTCATTATTCGAACATATAGAAATTTCTGTTTTCTCAGCCTACGGCTTCATGTAGAGCGGGCAAAAATCCGAAGCTGGTGTGGAAATGATATGAATAATTTACAACTTTGTGTGGCAATGAACGCCCTGGGTTGGTGATATCTTTCTGACACGATAAGCAGCAAGCTGACCTGCAAAATTTGAACGGCCCGCGCGAGTGGGAAGTAATTGCTGCGGGTGCCGGGGTCGACGCAAACAATCTGGTGTTGGTGAATCATCTGCTGGACAACGACTTGCTAGCCATGGACGTCGGCGACCATGGCGCCGTCGAAAATGGAGTGCACGAACTCTAGATCATCTGCTGCAACGAAGGAAGACCAAAACGCGGGCGTCTACGACTGCATCATGACGAGAAGTATAGGTATAGCTGACACTTTTGATATCATTTATCTGCACGAACTCGATGCTGATGTAAAAGGATAAGGAATAGGAAGTGACTCATCTGATATATAGATACATCTGCATTTCTTTGTAGCTGCTCGCATGGTATTGGAACGGATGAGGACTGGTGATGACTCCGTCGCAAGTAGTTGCTTCTTGCATGATAGTGATGCAGTAGATGCCGTGGCTGTGCGCCGCATGGTTTTTTTTGTTGTTTTCGTAATTGTACCTATACGAGATTAATACCGTACGAACCGAAAACAGATCCGTTGCCGCTCCTTTCGCAAGTTGTAAAGGATCATGTACCTACGTACCATGAAAAAACTCGCTTGTGAATTTTCGCCACGACGCCATTGCCGGATGGTTCTTCGCGGCAGAGCTTACAGTAGTGCAGAGGAAGAGTTTTCGACGTCGAGCTCCTGGACAGTATGCCAAAATTGGGCATCCTATCATAATCTCGTTATCAGTATCAAGTGCAAGTATTTCCGGGTTTGGAAAGATGTCGAGTCTGTAATGCAGCTTTTGCATTTGCCCCCCGGCCCCGTCAGGTCACGTAGAAGATCCGGTTCCGGAGTATGCATCGTAGGTTTTACGTTACGTCTGTGAGGTAGTGTTATATTAGCGCCACACGTTCTTTCGGTTTTACGAGGGCCACGTAGTCCTTACTCCGCATGAGAAACAAGCTCACTACTCGCCTAGCAGCAGAAGAGTGATTTCTGCTTCTTCTTGTCGCGCAAGATAGATTTTTTTCTGACTGAGAGAGGGCTTCACAAGTTTGCATCCTTCCAGAGCCGGACACGTTTGCCGTGAATATATGCCTATTGAGTTGACAACATTGTTAAAATCTTTTGTGGCATTTCTTGTCATAGTTTTGATTTTGTTTCTCGTTTCAGTTTCAGTTTCAATTTGCTTGTTTGTCCTCGGACCAGAACATTGCCAATCAGATCGAACCAGAACAGCAATCCAATCTCTGTCGTACTAAATGTACCCCCTCGTCTACTTGTAAGATACAGTTACAGCCCACCTGTTGTCAGATCAGTACAGAAACTTATTTCGTGGAATTTCATGTGTTGCGCCAAATAATCTTAATCTGCCGGCAGAGTTTTCTACTTTGCATCCGCCACAACGCGGCAGCTGCCCATGAACGAAAAATGACAACGAGCCTGACTTTGAAAATCGTAGCCCCCCCTAAATATAGCAATTCGCAATTTTGTATGATCAATTGTTCGATTCCGCTTGTTGCTGTAGAGATACCTCGCTTTGTCCTTGTCGACCAACGCCCTCTGATATCCAATGCAAATGTGCCTGGACTTCGGCTTGCAGCGAAGGGAAAGAATACAATCCACGACCCTGGGTTTCAGTTCTAGCAAAAGCCAAGTGCCAGGTTTGGTATAGGTTGATTTTTGCATCTAGAACACCAACAACCACGTTCCATCTTTGTATCTAGACTGAGGGCCAATTCCAAAAACGTGCTCGTCCTCGCATTTCTAACAGACTTTCAGCATGGCGAAGGAAGTTCATGATATCACAGATACATGCTTAAGAGAAGCGTACAGCACTAGGTTCACAACTGTGAGCAGAGCCGGGCAAGAAAGTCCAAGGCATGTTTGCAATGCATAGCAGAGGCCTTGCAATCGTCAGAATACGGCGCTACTTCTGGATTGCCTTTGCTTAGAAATATGAATATCTTCTTGCATCTACAATTACCAAAATTCGAAATGCAACTGTACTTACGTGCTGATTTGCAGCAAAGAAGTAGCTTGATTTTGATATTTTGCAAGGCAGATAGCTGGATGATGGATTGAAATCGATGTCTGTGCTAGCAGTAGTAACTCCACCCCTTTACATAGTGACAGAACTATTGCGCTACGCAATCAAATGACAGCTGCAATGTTCACGCAAAGCAAACAGGAATCCGCTTTGCTCGATGTAAGATAAAATGTATCACACGGCTTTGTGACGTCCTCTTTTGCTGTACTTCAAGCGCAAGCCCTGCCACTGCTACTCGAATGATCCGCAGGGAAACGAAAAATACAAATCCTAGATGTGTATTTGATGTTGGTCGTGGCTCTTTGCCTCTAGTGCGTTGATTTTCAATCGCCAATAGCCGCTTCTTGCTATCTGCCCACAGAAAGGAGAATAGCTACGAAATAAGAGGATAGCAAAATCTTCGCTCGGTGCGGCTGTCCGACAGCGGGCGCAGAATGTGATCGCAAGTTGCACACACCTCGACGCGTGATAGCTTCTTAATGCAGGCCCCGCAAGCTCTATGCGGAACTGCTCCCGGCACAGCTTGGCCGCTGTTTATTGAAGGCTCCCCGGCCTCTGTTTATGTAGGCCCGGCGGAGGAAAATCCGCGCTGCCCGCATTCGGGCATCACAATCCAAAAATGTGCCACGAAACTTAAACCGCGAAAAACTAAAGGGCAGGACAAAACAACGAACGACAAACGCTTAGAAGTTGCGCAACAACCCTACTTCATCTTTCCGCGGGCGGAAAGGGGAGGGAGGGGGTGCCCTCCACCTGCTTCGGATTTTTGGCCAGCACAAAGAACCGAACTGAGGTCGCTTCTGCGGAAGAGGTTGGGGGGGCACTCCCCCCGTCCCCCGACCGGTGGAAAGGGGTAGGGCTGTTGCACAGCTTCAGCGACAAAATGAGCGCAAACCCTTCGCGTCATGCTGCTTGCCCTCTACTTGCGGCGCAGCTGCGATTGCCCAGATGAATAAGGCTACGGCAGACCCAAAGATACTGCCGAACGCCGACCGCGCTAGCTCCTTTGTGCTATTGGCGCCACCACTCAACAAAGCCAAAGCAAAAAAAAATGCATTGCATGAAATCGCCACTGCTTTGGTTCTCTAGCCAGCACTGCGGATCATCTTGAGACGTGGATGGCGTACGTGCTTCGATATTAAACTTTAGAAATACAGACGTCAGTGGCAGTGCAGTGCTCAAGGGAAGCGAACAGTGTCTGTGTTCAAGTACAACCAAAATACATGGATAATGGTGACGTGGCCTTTGGCTATTTTACACTCGTGTGACGGTTCGTGTTTGCGTTATTCTTTGTGGTGCTTTGTGCCTTTTCCATATTTTGGTTGTGCAACGTTGTTGTTACAGCACAGCTCCAGGCGGATCCACATTTTAGTTTTACACGACACAGGAGATATTACAACAAGTGTAGGACTGTGTCCTGGTCCTTCGAACGGGATATAATCCAAAAAGTCCAAATAGCGTTGCCATCATATGGGATTCTCAAATGTTACAGTTACGCTCTCAACTGTTACGACATGCACACTTCCTATCAACCCCCTCCATATGGACATGATCCAGTACTTCGCATGACAAGCTCTCAATGCGCCTAACAACATGGAGATCGAGATCCGTTCCACCAACTTTGTAATGCAAAACGCGCAATCTTTGCATTCCCCTGTCCCTCTGAAAAATTCATGTATCATTTGAGAGCGTAATAGTTGAGAATCATTTGAGAGTGTAATAGTTGAGTTACATTTACATGTTGCCGTCGGCGCCAGCTTCGCGTTTTTTGCGGTAAACTTGAGTTCCACAATTCGTCTACCGAAGCCGCCGCTCTGTTTCTTTCCACGAGTCAGTGGCCAGTGTCAATAGGGGACTGGAATTTTCCGGACGAACTCCAGTCGGCGTGTCTGGCGGGAGGAGCCAAAACCGATCGAGCCTTCACACGCGCAATGGGGGTCTCCAGGCTCTTCCATAATTTACTGGCCGCTTTCATACGGAACAATCAAGCAGAGTATTGATAGCGCACTTTCAACATTGAAGATGGCGCGGCGACCTACTTATCCCGACTAGCCCATCGAATGGGGCGGGTGCAAAGAACTGCTGTTGAAGCTTGTATGTAATTCGATATATTGCATGGCTCTTAATCTTATCTTTTTCCATGGTTTGTACTGCAGCGCGGACAAGTAGGAGAAGCAAGTAGCATGATATATGTGCTCTTCGAATGGCCGAACCCGAAGGGCAAATTTGATTTGTCATGCCGCTCGTCTCCAGGAATGACATTACTTGGCGCCCCCTCGCTGCTCTGGGTGGGCAGAAAGATGTTTTAGCTCGGTATCTACCCGTGCCCGAACAAACCGGTTTTCCAATAGAATACATTAATAGCCTGCAGCACCACCAATACTCTGTGCATGCATAATGTGGCGATGCAGACCTCTTGTCTTTTATCGTTCTGCTGTTATGTTTGTGACATTACAGATACAGTTCTCGTCTGTGCCTGCGATTGTGCAGCGTTGTCCAGATGATGAGTCTCGACTTACTTGCAGCGCATTGGCCTCAATTTGCTAGTGTTTAATCATGTAGGAAAGGCAGAACCGCGTGCGCCACCGTCAGGGCCTCGCGATTCTGAGCCATCTGTGCTAGCGTATGAGCAGGATTTCCTCCTTGCGCAAATTTTTGGAAAAAATAGAAATAGAGTAAAACAGGATGTCGTCTATTGACAGTTTGTCTCTAATTCAACTCATGTTGAGTAGTGTTTTTATTTCATCCTGTAAGCATAAGCTGCAGCTGCTTATAGGATGAAATAAAAACGAGCAGCTCTAACAAAGCCGAGACACTTCTTGCGTGCTACAGCTGAGAACGTCACATCTGAAAACCCATACTCCATCATTGTGCTTGTCGCTGCTTCGGTTCTGGGTTCGCTTTTGGGTCAGGCTCTGGGATATGGCAAGTTCCTCAGAAATCATTCGGCGGAGGACAGGAATCTCAGCTATCATATCCCCCATGATGATTCCATTTGCAAATACTTTTTAAAAAAGCTGCTTGACGTGATTGGCTTTAGCGTGGTCCCGCCGTCCTCTTGCAATTTTTCCATCTATTCGCGGAGCCATGAACGTCAGCGACAGTGTTGGCGCGACACGACATGAAAATCATCAACAAGAAACAGCGTATCACTCTCGCTGAAGATAGCTGAGTACTTATTCTCCGTTCTGATTCTGCATTTGATTTCTATAAGGGGCCGTGCTGCCTTTCTTCTTGCGCAAAGTATTGCAGATGCAACGCGCGCGCAAGTCGGGACGCTTCTTCCAGCGAAGAGAATGCTGCGCTGCGCGATAGCGATCGACGTCCTAATGCACTGCAACTCCTAAATGGGGCAACGAGCAACCTGGGTATCAGAGTGAAAACAAAAGCGAACTTACCCCAGAAGAAAGAGGCAACTGAAGAGGGGCGGAAAATGTATATTCAAGAATAGCACTCTCTCCATCTTGCGCAATGCAATAATGGTATGACTCATGAAAATAACACGACCACCACCCAATGCAAATTCCAATTTGGCATTCGCAGTAAAGATTCAAATTTTGAAGATGGGAAAACTAGTATCATGACATATTGAGTTATATTTTAAATTATTTGTGGAGGTAAAAATCGTTGCGTTTTGCACACAAACCGAAGTACCCCTCGGTCATGATGTGTCATGTTTCATCTACATAGTTCTCCTAGCATCGAGTTCGAAACAGAAAAAGAAAAACTTTGCAAGATTGTGATACAGAGAATTTGCAGTTGAAGCCTGAAACGCCTAAGTACGCTAGAAGTGTAACAGCTTTATTGCTGTAATCTGTAGTGAAAGTAGAGGCATTCTGGGGTCAGCGCGACTGTTTTCCTGCTGATATGGGAGGACAATGCGTCGAGCCGCGTCCTTGCAGCCGCGGCTCCTCCTCCTGGCAAACAACGCCTGACGGACATCCAGCAGGAGCACGAGAACAGCAGTGGTTCCGGTGAGACATCCACTCCTGAGGACCCATACGCAGTTCTTCTGGATCTCCAAAAGCAGCTGTCGGATGTGAGTGCGTCGTTTGCGAAAGTCGACCACGAGAACCGCACCAAGGCACAACGGGAGAAGACGATGTTGGACCAAGCGGAAAAACAGCGTGCCGCAGACCGTGCCACAATCGAAGCCTTGCAGAAAGACTTGGACTCGCTCAAACACGACCTTAAGCAGAAAGACGATGCCCTCAAGAAGGCAGAACAGGAGAAAACCTATCTGGCGGGCCAGCAAACAAACGCGCACGCTCTGAACCTCGAGGAACAAAGAAAAAAAGACCGCGAAAAACTGCGAAGGGCGAATGAAAAAATTTTAGAAGTCACGGCGGTATGAACTGCAATAATATCGTACTCGTATAAGTGCATGGCAAACTTTCTCAGCATGACAAATAAAGTTTGTATATGCGGACTTTCTTCAAGAAGAAAATTTGTCATGCATGAATGCAATTACTACGACTATGGTACTGTTGCACAGGATAGGTGGAAAGAGATACCTTGGGTGCCTTTTGGAACGACAAAGAAAAGTGTCAGAGTGCACAACCCCCCTCGCCCTCGTTCTTTGTATTTTTGCACAAACAGGAATCAATGCAACCACAAACACCTCCGACACGCGCACGTGTGGAGCCTGTGAACGACCAGCTCAGGCACCGTGTCTAGTACTGTTTGAGCTTTTCAAGGAGTTTGTTATGCAAACAGTGCCACAGGGCAATTCAATAACCAGACTTCGCATGAAAGATGAGGGGGGGGGAGTTGTGCACTTTCATGAACAAAACTGGGAAAAAGCCGCAAATTCTTACGAAGATGAATTAGAAGAAAAAAGTATGGGGATGGAGGTGATTAATTTTCCCGACGTCTGCTGGCCCTCATTAAAAAATCTGGTTTGTCAATTGTCATTGTTATACGAGTTTCTCTGCAAAGTGTGCAGCACGATCGCACGAAATTTTTGATGAGATAGCTATCTCAAAGAGTGGGCACCCCACTCTTCATCCGTCCCGCGGCCGGGGGGGTGGAAAGCGACACGAGCCCCCCTTTCCTCGGACCACCGAACCGGCCTTAATTTTTTTGCGCCGGTTCCCGTTCCCCTGGCCTGACGGTGGCGGATCTGTCCCATCGTTCACTCGCCCGGCCAAGCGGATGCCTACTCTTTGGGGTGAGTTGTTACCTCGCTCAAAAAGAGCGGGGCAACAAAATAAAATAGATATCAAAAAAGACGGGCCTACTAACGTGGAGAAACTCTGGTCCGCCCGGCCAGGTGGACAAGAGTTCCCTCTCTTTTGCTCCCGGAGTTGACGGTTCGCAGAGCTGCCCCCATTCCTCGCCGCGTCAGCGGATCGTCGGCTGCAAGCTCCCCATGTTGCTTAGCTTTTCTTCATCGTTCATCGTGGCGGATGGGGGTTGCAAATTGAACCAGGATCAGGTTTCCGTGGTCGCCGGAAAAGTGTGACGGCCCATCGTGCACCGTGTGGTCGCTAGATTCAGTGCGCGGTTGCGGATTTTGCGGTTGCGAGTTAAACGAGGCGCGCAACCTGCGGGCAAGGCCGCAGCGGAGACCTGTTCCCACGCTACTCACCTCTACGAGGGGACACTGAAAGCTCGCGGGTGTACCACCACACCCACCTCGACGAAGGGGAGCTGAAAGCAATGTCTTCGTCGACAGGAGGAACTTGCAGTCGACGATCCGCTGACGCGGCGAGAAAACGGGGGGCACTCTGCGAGCTGACGTGTACCAACGCATGGCAAGTCCCCAAATAAGTAGGCATGTTGTAGTGGGTTATCAGTGGGCCAGCAATGCTCCACAATTTTACCAATCACCTCCCTGCTATAACGAATAAAGAGATTGAATCTCTGAGGCGGAACGCGGCGACAGCAGCACCGGAAGCGCGGCGTGACGGTAACCCCGAAGGCGACGGACAAGCTCGCGCCCGAACAAGCCTGGATGGTCCGGGTACACAGGAGCAGCCATCGTATGAAAGTGCACAGCTCGGACCGTCTTTCGTCATACAAAAAAAGGCGCAAAACCAAAAGAATCTGTTCTGTCCACCCTTTCCCTTTCTTGGCAATAAAATACTGATATTGCGTACACGTTGCAGCAACCTCCAGGTGGGGGCGATCACTGACATGCTTCACGAGAGGTACAAAACGAGCGAGCATTTGTCATTCAGATCTACATGCACAAAGTCTACTTGCTGCTTTGCAAAGTAAGAAGAAAAAGGGCGTCGACTTGTGCGTTTTATACGCCGGCGTCGACGACCGCCAACAACGGGTCAACCCAAGACGAACCTGCGGAAGCGGGTGCCAACAACGTGCCTGCAGTGTCAACAATCACCAACGGGACCGCTGCGTCAGCAGCGGGGGGCAACACCGACGCAGAACTTGTCGCGCTCACAACGCTATCCGCCCAGTTCCAGACCCTCGAGAACCTTCTGAAGGATCTGGAAGTATGCTCCAATGACGAAAAGGAGAAGGATTGCAGGCAGAAACTGGACTCCCTGATGAACTTCTGCGCGAAGAAGCTGGAGGATTTGGAAAGCCATGACAAAGTCGCGGAGGATTTGGCGCGCGAGCAGGAATATCAGGAGGCGATCAAAGGGCTCAAGCGCCTGATCCAAAGGGCGGAGCGCATCTTCTGGCTGTTGTTGTACTTTCGGGACGTCTATACATTGCAAATAAGTTCTTGGGGTCTGGCTCTGGGCCGATGCTGACTGTTATATATGATGGGCACTACTTCAGATTTCTCAAAATCTTCTTCGCCCAAGCACAGCAAAACCAGTGCTCTGTCTACTTTTTGTCGTCGAAGTCTGAGCGTTGTTATGCAGGACCCTAGGAATCGAGCGCGCCAACGTCTGAAAGTATATGGACCGAATGCTTACATACCAGGGCTGCTGGTGCTGCATGGACCGCATGACAAACTAACACCTCCACCCATTTCCAGACCACCCAGAAGTATTTGCATTTCATAACGTCCTGAAAGAGTACGGCGGGCTCAGTCGTTGCAATCACTCATCTGCTTGTGCTGCGCGAGCTTCTCTAGCCTCATCGTGCTGCGAAAGAAAAACGATTCGTGCACCCCTTACGGTTTCAAGCAGGAATACAACTTGTAAGTACGTATTTTCCTGCAGCACAGTTTTGGGCTCTGCTCTTCTAGTACATAGGCATAATTATAGCAGAGCCCAAAACTGTTAAACAGTTGGCATTGTTGTCTGATTGTAGTGCCTGAGCACCCTACACACACTTGCACAAGTTAGGGAAAAAAATTTCTGTGATTGCTTCAAAAATTCGACCCCGCCAGAACACGCAAAAAAAAGCGGTTTTTTGGGGGTTTTAAGCGATTTGGCAGCCCGCCCTCGGGCCCCGGAGCCCCGGCGAATTTGGCTGGCGGCTGTTGCGTTTCGCATAGTAGGAACTGCGGCCGAATGAAGCCATTGGGCAGGAGCGAGCGGCGCCGCCGGGCGCTCGTCCTCGCGTGTTTCTCAGGTTCCGAGGGCGGCCACGAAGTTGGCCCGGCCCCACCCCCGACGCAGCCCGGCGGGCGCATCAGGTCCAGGCCTGTTGTGGCCCGACCGACCGAGAGGGAAGCGTCAGGCCCCGGAGCTCACACGCGCCAACAGCAAGTAGGAGCCCCAGAACCCACCCCGAAAAACGATTCCCAAAAGCGACCCCCTTTCCCCCAGCAGAGTCCGGCGACTTGAAACACCCCCAAAACCAACTCCCCCTAGCCACCTCCCTTCGGGGCCGGGCAGGGCGAAATCTGCGGGAGCTTTCTTGTCCTGTGCAGCACTCCCGCCTTGGGGACCCGTAGGCGCCGTCGACATTTTCCATGAGCAGAAGTCTTGAAGCCTTGCCGTGAGCTGCGCGCCCGCAGCTGAGATTTCCTGCCCTCGCGCGACCGGTTCATGTAGAGCACGACTGAAGGGCTCCCCGCGGTTCGAAGGAGTCACACATCACGGCTGCCCAGGCGGGCCAAAACGATTCGGGTGGTTTTTGCGCAGTCGCTGACGGCGTAAAAAAGCGAAAAGCCTATTTTCCCAAAAAAAACAGTCTTCTTTTTTGCATGCTCTGGCGGGGTCGAATTTTTGAAGAAGCAATCACAAAACTTTTCTCCCCTAAACAAGCTCGGCCGCATCGCCGATGATAAAACAACAGACAAGAACAAGTACGTGAGGATGCATGTCGAGGTAATAAAACCTATCCAGGGGGACCGGAAAAACAAACTGCAAAGCCGCATCAGAACAAGCGAAGTCGGTCGAGCAGATGAAAAGAACGAGCTCAGCACGGTGTGTTCTTCTGCGGTCATATCGATCCTCAACACGCTTTACGTCGCCAACTCGGAGTCTACCAAATTGAAAAAGGCTCTCGCAGAAAAATTGACGGAGCAACCGGAGAACGCGGCTGGCACCCGCACGGACACGGAGGAGTCAGCCACCCAGGGGCTGCATACAATTGTGGATACTGTTGCTAGCGCCACTCGTATTAAATGGTAAACCTAAACTCGACTAGGCCTTCGCATTCCGTGCACAATGGCCTACGACTTCTGTGTGGGGTCGTCGTGGGGCATGGAGAGGAAAGAAAAAAGAAAACGCGATGCATGAAAAGCCTTGCTCTTTCTTGTTGTGTACAAGTTCCAGTCAGCGCAGTGTCGCACGAAAATCAACCACGAGCAGAATGCGTTGCTTTGATATATATTTTGACAAGCCGGCCGTCTTGTGGGCCAACAATATTTTTACTCGGTACTGGTTCTGTACATAGTTAGTTTATTGCTCTGCGTGAGGAGGTCCAGTCGGGTTTACTTTTCCTACGGATGAACCCACACTCAACGTAGCAAGGGGCTGCATGCTGCAGACGGTGTTGCTGTTCATAGCATTTCAGTGTGTTGAAAAGCAAGAAAATGAAATAAGGAGGGCAATCGGTGTGTGATGCGCCAGAGAAATAAGAATTATGAATGCAGAAGTTGTACTTATTAGCTGCTCGGTTGCCGTTTATTTTAGTTTTCCTGGACCTGAAAGCCATTTCTTTGATACGGCGTTGTCTCCTGCATGCTCGGAAATCCGGAAACGCAGAAGGCCGCCAAATAAAACCAACTTTATGCATGGGCCGTGTCGATTTTGGTAGTTTCGTTCGATGTTGCTTTAGGATTGTAAGCGGAACTTCAATGCTGGGCACGCAAACGGCAACCAATTTTAGTTTTGAGTGTTATGCATTGAGAATAGAAGTTGTAGTCGGGCTTTGGAAGAGTCCAAGTTTCTATATGCTGATTTTGATTTGCAGTAATCAGAAATCTGTATAGCGTAAGTGCTAAAAAGAAAAGCGCCGCTTTTCGGTATTAAAAAAGCAAGCTTTGTTTTCATGCGGGGTGAGCATCAGCAAGCCTTCGCAAAGCTTACAAAAATGCGCTGCGTGCATTACAGCTTATCTAGCTGCTCCAGAACCAGAACATGCATGATCATGACAAAAAAGCGCACTCTTGCAGACCCGGACAGATGATTTTCAATTCATAAGTGTTGAGAGGAGCTGTAATTTTCCGCACGAGCAGCTCTCTTGCTACGCCTCCGCAATCCGGAACGCCTGCGCCGGAACAAAGCACAGCGACATCAACTGTGCCTGGCTCCTCCGGGACTACGACTGGCACTGGAGGTGAACCTCCGTTCCCTACTGCTGCATCGGTGACACTTATCACGGGAACGCCTAGCGCGAGCACGACCACGAACCCGGCGACCAAAAGTACGGCCACGAACCTCTTCAAGGACATCAAACTGCCCCCCGTACGGGTCCCCAACGGCGGCGCTCCGTCCCAGGATACCCATACCTCAGTGAAAAACTATATCCCGGCGGAGCAAGGAGAAGGCGAGCAGTAAATGTGCTCTCTTGTTTTTCCCAGTGGGACACACACACAGCATCAGCATGAACTATTTTACAACAATTGTTTCATGTCATTCGGGAACTGAATAAGAATGGCACACAGAAGCAACTACGGCTCGTTGGTTGGTACCGTACCTATCGGCTGTAGAAGCAACTTAGCAAAAAGAAAAAGATTTTTCATATATCGAATTCATAAAATATTTGTTCATTTTTGCCGGGCGTTTTTTCACTCCGAGCAATGCAAACGGACAAGAACCGTCCTCGTCCATACTAGCTGCAGGTGACGAGGATCGCCAGGCGGAGGTGAAAGTCAACAAGGCTGACACACAGTGTACGGAGGAAAACCAGCTGAACGATCAGGACGGCGAGCGTGGAAACGCGGAAGACTCGCGCGGCGAGGACTCGGTGGACCCGGCGATCTCGCCGCCGGCCAACTCGCCGCAAGAGGGCGCGTCCACCACCGAAGACGAACCCGGTGCGGAGCGAGAGCCGCAACAAGGAACATCGCCAGAGGCGTAAGTCTACCGCGACGACGAGGGTGACAATCTCTATTTGGACCAATAGCACCGTCAGCATTGTGGTGCGGGGGCGTGCAGACTTTTTTATAGAAAAGGACGATAAGAAAACGACTTTTCTCATACGAGATCGATGCTCTCAATGCCGGCCAGAAACACTTTTTCAAAAGTCTAAATCTTACTTCAACTTGCGTCAAGTTCTCGATCACACGAATGCATCTGGCGGCTTAGAAAATATTTGCAAGTACTTCAATACTGTCTATGGCGTTGTTGACAAGATATGCTGTTTATTAAGAGTCTTTTTGAATCAACGACATCGGAGCTATGCTGCGTGAACACGTCCCCACCCTAGAGTTGCCATGCAGATTTGCATGCTCAGAGTCACCATCGAATGTCTGTCATGAGCAGCTCCATGGGGACCTTTTTTTCATGGTATTTTGGAATTTGTCTTGCTAAAGTCAGGATAAGCTCAGCGATTTTCTACTCGGCTTTAGTGCTAGCTAAACACGATTACATTGCATCCCCAAACTTGTCATGCGCCACAGCCAAACTTTGTCGATCTATGTAGCTAAGTACCCATCACTTGCCTCGGGTGGGGACGTTTTGACACAGGATAGGGGTAGCGGGATTTTGAATTGATATTATTATAGGGGTTCAACGAATACGAATGGCAATTAAGCGTTATCATACGACTTTTTAGAGTGTCAGCATATATCATCTTATCTTGATGTAAAGTTAAAAAGGAGACTGCTCTGACACAAGCAAGCCCTGGCGAGTTGGGCTACGTACTGACTTTCCGCCGTGAGCCAGGAGCTAGTTAAGGCCCACAAAGATGCCAGCTCTTTCTATTGCTCATGCTCTGGTTCACGCGAGATGTACAGCCTAGAAAAAATCTGATTACAATGAGGGGCGGGGTCACGAAATGTGCGACTAGGTCCTCAACGGAACTTTGACCCACCCAGCTGGGTGTGCCTTAGGTTCCCTGACCCAAGAACTAAGCTATGAATCCACGACAGCTCCGGATCGCGAGCGTTTCAATTTTCTTGCCTTTGTTTTTTATTTTTTTATTGCGTCTAGATTTCCAACTTTGCGCCGGGTGTATTAAAATGAAAAGCAGCGAGGAGCTGTGTTGGGTTCATAACTTGATTTCTGGGGCGGGGGACCTAAGGCCCACCCGGCCGTGTGGGTCGATGTTCCCCTGAGGACCTAATCGCACACTTTGTGATCCTCCAAAGAATTACGCCTCCACTTTCCAATGGAAATAGGATCGCTTTCGTTTGTTTAAAGTAGTTTTTCCTCATCAAGTTCAATGAAGTAGTAGTATTCGACAACGATGTGGCTTAGATAGATTACAGACGGCTCGGACTACCGCGTCACGGAGTCCCCAGCTGAAAAATGTAATTTTCCTGGAAACGGTGACGGGTTCTCGGAAGCAGCGCCCAACAAGAACGCAACTTCGAGTGGAGGAAGCAAGCACTTGAATTCCTGGTCGTGGCAAGAGCTCGGTGTCGCCCAACGCAACAGGAGCGACCGCAAACGTGATTGGAGAGCCGCTGTCTGGCGTCAGTGGGCAAGATCCTGCTGTCGCCATTATCCGATTAAATTCTGGCCACTTTGGCAACAAGCACGATACTTGGACCAGTTGCGCGAGTACAAGGCGCAGGGCGGAATGAACCTCGTTGACATCTTTATTTAACATATCGGGTGTTTTTCTCATCTGGAAAGAGAACATGCTGCTGGTGGTGGACATCTTCTTCTTCACGTAGAAAAAAGATAAAATCTTCGAAGAGGTGTATGCTAAGTAGGGGGCTGAACAGCTTCCGCCAGGTTGGGACGAAATACGATTTGTCGTTTTCTGTTGGAAAAATAAGCATTGCAAATCCCACTTCCAGGAAAAAAATTCAAAAAAAGGAACAAACACGGCACTGCGCATTTCAAAAGGCGCAGCGGAGGTCAACGCGCAATATATCATAGCCGGAAACACGGCGCAAAAAAGGGGAAACAGTAATGGGGCTTAAGGGGTTTTATATATTACAATGAAACATAAAAATTCAAATTTCTGCACGGTGGGCTGGACTCGGCGCACCTCATGAAAGCTTCCGCTACCCCTGCGGAATGGCCACCAAAGACAAGCGCAGCCTGCTGAATGCACTGTTTTTGATTTTGATTTCAAATTGTTGAAAATCAACCCTGAAATCAAAAACAACATTCGCCGCATGGTACGGTGCCAGTGGTCGAGCCCGGCGGAGGGGTAGCGGAGGCCACATGGCAGAAAGTAATAGTCCAACTTAGGTCGCGCAAAAAAATACTTTCGCGCATTGTGATTTTTTGGGCCAAAATCCGCAACAAAACAAAATAGTCATTTTCCCCACGCTACGCTGATTTCGCCGGACCTCCCCGACCCCTCCGCTGCCCCTCCGCAGTCTAGGCCAATGTCTACCACAGCATGCCGAATAGTGGTTTTTTTGATTTTGATTTCAAATTGTTGAAAATCGACCCTGAAATCAAAAACAACACTCGCTGCATGGTACGGTGCCAGTGGTCGAGCCCGGCGGAGGGGTAGCGGAGGCCACATGGCAGAAAGTAATAGTCCAATTTAGGTGGTGCAAAAAAATACTTTCGTGCATTGTGATTTTTTGGGCCAAAATCCGCAACAAAACAAAATAGTCACTTTTCCCACGCTGCGCTGATTTCGCCGGAGCTCCCCGACCCCTCCGCTGCCCCTCCGCAGTCTAGGCCAATGTCTACCACAGCATGCCGAATAGTGGTTTTTTTGATTTTGATTTCAAAGTGTTGAAAATCGACCCTGAAATCAAAAACAAGATTCGCCGCATGGTATGGCGCCAGTGGTCGAGCCCGGCGGAGGGGTAGCGGAGGCCACATGGCAGAAAGTAGTAGTCCAATTTAGGTCGTGCAAAAAAATACTTTCGCGCATTCTGATTTTTTGGGCCAAAATCCGCAACAAAGCAGAATAGTCACTTTCCCCACGCTACGCCGATTTCGCCGGACCTCCCCAACCCCTCCGCTGCCCCTCCGCAGTCTAGGCCAATGTCCACCACAGCATGCGGAATATTGTTTTTTTTGATTTTGATTCAAAATTGTTGAAAATCAACCGTGAATTCAAAAACAATACTCGCCGCATGGTATGGTGCCAGTGGTCGAGCCCGGCGGAGGGGTAGCGGAGGCCACATGGCAGAAAGTAATACTCCAATTTAGGTCGTGCAAAAAAATACTTTCGCGCATTGTGATTTTTTGGGCCAAAATCCGCAACAAAACAACATTAGTCACTTTCCCCACGCTGCGCTGATTTCGCCAGACCTCCCCAACCCTTCCGCTACCCCTCCGGAATGGCCATCAAATACAAGCACAGCGTGCTGAGTGCATATGATGCACTGTTTGCTTTGGAATATTCGCAAACGACCGAAAAAAATCTAAAAAGAGCAGCAAGCACGGCACTGTGCATCTCAAACGGCGCAGCGGAGGGCTTCTCTTGTTGTAACAGTGGGGATTGCAATGCTTGTGCATGTCATGATGTCATAGTGTAGTAACCTGTTGCGCCCGCTCTCTGGTTGCGGCGCAGTGTGCTCGAGAACCGCGGGAAGGAGTACGCGAGCTACTCTCCGGGCAAATTCGTATTCTGCCCTGAACCAAACAACGGCTTGTTAACAAGGACTGCGCCTAGTGCACGATATGGCGGAGGCAGAGGACATCTTGGACAAAGTGTGGGCCTTCGCTTGCCATGTGTTTCCAGTGCTCTTCGTCGCGATCATCTATGGCGCTGTCAAGCGTTACCCTGTCCCTGATCGCTTTTGTGCGGTTTTTGCTTGGTAGGTTTGCCATGCAATATCAGCAGAAGCAAGCTGGGCTCAGGAATGTTGAATAGTGCAAGATGATTAGCAGGTGCGAACTCTGTTTGCGCGGTTTGTGATGGAAGATTGAATGGCATAAGGAAGCAGAAGTGTAGACTCTCTGTGTGACAAGTTTAGCATGGATCTCTGATGTGCTGTTCAGCGCAAAATAGGTAGCTCTAGCTTGATCGTGCGTGCAAAATGTCAAAAAAGATTCTGTGTGAAAGATCAATAAAGAAGCCAGCACCCGCACCCCCAGCGATCAATATAACGCTTGAAAGCACCATAGTTTCCTCCTGCATGATGTGGCAACCTTGTCGTGGTCCTGGGACCTCCTGGGAAGCATCTTCCTCTTGGCGTGTGGAGTCGCGCACCTGTATCTTATCGAACGCACATACTGGCTAGAGCTTTTATTCATGTGCAAACGCTCCTTAACCCGTAAGTAGAGTGGCTGCATGTTCGCGACTTCTTTCAGAGAGTCTACTTTCGCACCAAGCCGTGTCCCCATCTGTCAGGCTTTAATGAACAGTCGCACAGCCAATCAGATAGAAGGGCTGGCGTCTCTTTGACAACTGCCGGTATGGCACAACCCCGCTCGAAGTGAGCTTGATGCGATCCAGCACCAGATGCTGCAGTGTTGTAGTGAACGAAGAGCACGCAAGAAACTTACACCCGACGTTTCGCCGCTTCGCAATCTTCCCACATTCTCGCGGGGTAAGAAAAGTTGCGCTGAATAACGGGAGTGCAGGAACGTAGTTTGTGATCTCCCGCGCAAGGATTTGCAGAAGCTTCACACCGCGACGAAAACTCGGGAGTCGCAGAAACCAAAACAGGACAGCCGGGAAACAATCGTCGAGAGCATCATTGAGCACGTCGCGCCGGCAGTTTCTACAGCAGCAGCTGGTCTTTGCCGTTCGCTTCGCTGGAGTGGGTTGCTAACAGGACTTTTTTTTGGTCTGGCTGCCCGGCCGTTGCTCAACTTTGTCGTTTTCGTCGCTGTAGCGTGGCTGCAGGCCTCCGACGATGTGCCGCCAGCGACAGGGGGCGCTGGAACCAACTCCACTAACTATTTCCGCTATTTCGATGGGGAGTTTGGTAAGCTGCATATCGGATTAAACAGCAGTACCCGCTCACGGTGTCGAAAAGCTGCGAAGTACGGTTGTATGTGGCGTAGAGTCACTGGCCTGCGTTTTATTGCGAGAAGATTAAGTAGGATAAACAAAGATTTCTTATGCGTTGCCAAAGTTTACGTGGACTCGGACTGTTCTTGCATTTCCTATAATGCTTTCTCTTGTATCACAAACAGGCAAAAGATATGGCGTAATTGACAACAGAACAACTGGCTATTTTGTTCTGGCAATGCCACGCCTTCGTGCGGGAAGCTTCATAATACCCAACGGCGCTCTCATTGATTCTAGTTCTACGCCAGATTTATACAAAAAACCAGTTCGCAAGAATCAGAATTCAAGTGCACTTCGTGGCAGGAGATGTAATTCGTGCCTTGGGCGGGCAAACCTTTTTGAACGCGATGCAGCCACTTGGGGAGCAGTTCGGAAACGAGACGCACGACTTCCATGATGGCACACAGGAGATGGATCCAATGCTTGAAGTGGAGGCGCGCATTCATGACTTCTTCGCTTTGCTAAAGGCAGCGTCGGACCGAAGTTCTATCAGGTGTAAAAATGTCTGGGTCTGGATGAAATATGCAAGATTTGTGATGCAGGTTTTCCATGACACATGAGGTCTGCGTCTGGAGTGCGAGGCCGGGCATGACAGATTCTTGGAGGTCTCTAACTCTATCATGCCTTTCCTGCATGAGAAACTCCCTCTCAACTTGGTCAAAAGCGGACAGCTTTTGGTACTCACGCAAAAGAGATTTTGCATCATTCAGATTTAGCATGACAAGTTCTAATCTTCCAGACCCAGACATTGATACATTTGATAAGTTCGCTTCTGGAACAATTGAAAACGGCTCGGCTTGCCGTTATAGCACAATACACAGTCTCTGGGACGACTGGACAAAACATGCCCGCGACGGCATCATCCTGGTCTAACGTGTATCAGCAATTTAACGCCCCCTGGCTCCTGCCGAACACCAATACCACAGCACTGGCATTGTTACCCTGTTGAGAGTTGCCCGCTTCGCAACAACTATACATGCTGTAGCTGCAATCCACCTCTTACAGCCATGCGCCATGGGGTCACCAGTCCTGGTGCGAGCACATTATGTGCTCCCTCGACGGCTCGCCGTCGCGCCTTGAATCAGCTTAAGCCAGTGACGAATGAGTGTGCGGGAGGCAAAAAAACTGCAGCAGCAGCAGCAGTAAAGTGGTTTTATATAAAGTAATTGTATTTGCACGGTTATTTTTCATGATTTCTTTTTTCCACACGGCAGAAGAAGGGCCGGCTCTTCTAAGTCAGCCTGTGTGCAGAGCATGTTTACGCCTTCAAAAAGAAAACGCAAAAAAATGGCGCGGCGCACATTCTTGAAAAAACCAAAAAAGCCTTCGGCTTTGGTCTTCTGAAAGCGCGACCCTCCCTGAAGGTGATACCTCAGCCACTTCAAAGCTGGCGAATTTTCAACGTTCAAAAGCGCGCACGGCCCGCGCCAATAGGATCAAACGCAAGAGACGCCCGAAGGAAGGTCAGACCCTTCTGATTCTCGTTTCCCTTTTTTTCCAGAGTCTGTTTTTTTTTTCGTCAACCAAAAAAGCTGTGACCTTCTTTAGAGACTCGTGCTAGTCTTCGGAAGGGAGATCTACTGTTTCTGTAGGGGTTTTTTGGCCATGAGTCAGCGGTTGACTTTTCTGTACAGTTGGCATCTTCTTTCGAAGCTTCTGAGTGAAGCTTCAGAAGATGCGTTTTCGCTGCAAAATAGCAGCTCAGGTTGGACCAGCTGGGGGTGGAGGCTAGACACGGTGACGCCATACCCCTCTCGAAATTGCGCCTCTCCCATGCGAAACTGTTCCTGGGTGTCGCTTGCGTTTCGTCTATTCGAAAATTCCGCCTGCCCAGGCGTCCGCGCTGAAAACAAAACTTCCAGAGAATTGCAAGCGCAGTCATAATACCTCGAGTGATATCTTCTGTGTGGAGCGGGGCCGCGATTACGTTATGCGCCGCACTAGTCGCGCGAAAATTAAAAACCGCCGAAATAGTTACTTCACAGCAATAAAAAAAGGAAGATCGGCGCACGCTTTTCCCTCTTGCAGACCTGCCTCGATTTCATCTCGTGGCCATGTCTTTTTCTCAAATTTTGGCACGCCCCGCCGACAAGCACCACTGCCACCTTCGGATAAGTTGGGGCACCGTAACGACGAACTGCGTGCCGCCGTATTCTCCGAAAAAACGACGAAACCGAAAAAAGGAAGCGAATACAAACTCTACCTCTTTTGCTATTTATGACCCGGCCCCGCCCGGAAGTGGTGTTGCAGCTCAGTATCTAGTTCACAGCAATGGCAAGTCTCCCCTCAATATCCGCCGATGGAAACTACACTGCCGCCGTTTTATGCAGCTTGTAAGGACCCCCTGCCAGCTTTTCTTGATGTAGGTTTTGGCCGGGTGCCAATCGAGCCCAAGGCAAAGTGATCTTGTCGCGTCCGAGTCGGGGTCCGGTCGTTGCACACGCTGGCCCCAGCCGCCGGAAGGCCAACGGAGGCGGCACGTCCGTGTCGTGAATTGCATTGCAGATCGCACTACGACTGTAGCACGCGTGCGTGCGCTGAATTCATCTTTGACCCGGGTCAGTGGCCTGGCCGCCTTCGATTATTGTGCGCGGGGCCGAAGATAAACATTCTTGGAGGAACTAAATAAGCATACTAAACTTCTACTAAACTGGTGCAACTCAAAAAGGAAACCAAGAGCCACTCCTTCCCGCACAGAGCGGCGACATACTCATCTCCTGCCCGCACAGACTCTGTAGGGCGAATGTGGTGAGCCCTCAGCCCAGAGCGCGACCAAGATTGCCTGCTCTGTGGCCCGAGCCAGCCGGAATGAGCACCTCGCCGTGTTGGTCCGCGATTCTGTTGTGGGCGAACCCCTGCAGCTGTCGAAGGCGAAGGCGGTTGCAGCTCCCCGTGTTTTGTTCCCTTTTGTCAGTGCCAGCACTATTGCCGCCGCGTTGACTTGGGTCCGCCGCGCGCCGGCGTGTACGAGCGGTGGATATTCGAACACATCGCAGCCCACGTGCGACGCAGGCATACCTACTTCAGCGCACTTAAGTTCGTATGGCTGACTGAGTCAAGCGCGCGCACGGACTAAGGCGAAAATGTTCGAGCGAACGACGCCCCGCGCAGGTGCCCTGCGTCGCTCCGGATTTAACAAGCTTCTGCGATGTTGCCTCCACCCTTTGCCGCGAGAACAAAAGGCCGGCCAGTGTGCCCCACCCGAGTAGCCGCCCTCAGGAGAAAATGTAGCGGCGGGCATGCGACACCGCCGGCGCGCTCGTTTTCGCAAGATTGTGGCGTGCGGTGGTCGCGCTTGGGCTTGCGAGTGGCAAAAGCGCGGCCCACTGCAGCGGCGCTGCGCACCAGCATCGTTGCTGCGGGCCGGGGCGCGCTCTGATGTGCTGCGCCCCCCTCGGCTTCGCGCCCGCTCCCACCTTGGCCGGTAGGTTGTGTTTTTTGTGTATATGCAAGGCCGCCCCGCCCCCTGGGGCACGCTCGTGCCGAGACCCCGGCACATGAGTCAAAGTATCAAGAATGAGCAGGGGGCCCTTTTCCTTGCTCATAGTTGACTTCCCGCGCCAAGCTGTAGCACGCGAGGATCCATAGGCCTTGCGGCCTTTCTCCGGTGCCATCGGTACAAAGCAGTCATCCGCAGCTATCGACTTCTATGAATGTGCAGAGAGCCCTGCAAACCTCAGAAAAGCATGAGTCGGCCCCGCATACAGCTGCGCACGTTGCAGAGAAGTACAGTGCAGCTGGGTGCTTTTTTTATATGTGTGCAGGCTGGAGAAAGCAACATCCACAAGAGCGCCGCTGCTGGGGTTGCGGGCTGTTTGCCTTGTATTTTTAGTAGACATGGTAGCGGCTCAGCGTGTTGGCCTCATGTCCGCCGCCTAGTGAAGAATGCCTTGTGGTCTGTCAAAGTCTACGCGGGCGCTTCCTATTGCGTGGCTTTTTGACGATTTCCCACGCGAGAGAATCGCTGTAAATAGCCGCAGGCTCATACTGTATGTAATGCCCTCATATCATAGCTGTGGGTGGTGCTAGGAGGTTTCGTTTAGCGCGCCCATTGTGTATCAAGTTGGAACTCCTGGGAAGTCAAACTGTCATGCAAAAATGGAGAAGGTCTGGGTCAAGTAGAAGAACCTCGGCCTGCGGCTGCTCGTTGGAGCCCTTTTGTATATGCTTGGCTTCAGTCGCAAAAAACCACACAGCAGATGCTCGCGCAATGTTTGAGAAGATCTTCAGCGCAAAGCACTATTCCTCATCCATTGTGGCACCCTTTTCCTCGTGAGTGTGATGTATGAACAATGTAGGGTTTCTATTCGAGGACAGCACTATGAAAAGTAGGGACGAAGAGGACAGACCTCCTGCGGCCTCCTCTAGTTGTCCGGCGCTCTCGTCGGAATGGATGGCAGCTGGACATAAGTGCACCCCTCCTGTTGGACATTGGCCGACGCTGCTGCGGCCGTTTCCGCTGCATAGCTGCATCCTCGACGAACTTTTCTCGTCGCTACGCAACTCCCACTCCACCCGCCAAGGAAGCGTCGCGCATTACAGTAAACGAAAACACGAGACGGCGAAGGCCGTTGCCCTCGTGTATCTTTTTCGCCCTGTAGCTGTAACCAAGACGCAGAATAGGGACGCTCCAGCCTTTCGCGTGCGCTTTTTTCTTACAGCGGGCGCCGCGTGGGGACTGAAATGGAAGTCCTGACGGTGTACCAACTTCAAAAGCACGATCGTAGGCCAGCGCCCCTGGGCGATCAGCGTGGGCTATTGCACCGGGGCCAGTTGGGGTGGCTAGCGCCTTGAGCCGCGGGTTGGCTTTTTTCAGCCAGGTGAAGGCAAGCTGCCGGCCGAAGCCCAAAAGCGGCTCGCGGCCTGCGCGGAGGCCTTTGTTTGACCCAGTGTAGTGGCGCTTGATGGTAGCTTTTCAAAGATGAGCATACAAGCAGATAAAAGCTGCGTGGCGCGCTAGACTGTCGCACGGCCCCTTTTTCCAAAAAAAAAAGGCCGAAAGGAAAATCTGAGCCACGCTACGCCGCCCAGGCAATGCCAGCGAGTTCTGCGAGGAGCCAGCTTCTTGCTCCATAGGTTTGAAGAATAACGTCGCGGACCACCGGCCCGACTCGCGTTCGCCGTTTCTTAGTTCCGTGAATGGCCCTGTTTTGGGCAGTCTGTGCTGGCAAGAGGGTTCCTGGACCCCCGGAGCGCACTATTGTAAATCCTGAAACTTTTTTGAAAATTGGCAAAGAAATTTCGTCGGTATGCTTATATTAGGCTATGTCCATTTCGCGTCTGCGCTTCCGGCTTGCGTTGGTTTTGGGTTTTGAAACTTGAAAACGCGCAAAAGCCCGGAGGATTTTCGAAAAATTTTCGAAAGCACGCTGGGGCGCCGGTTTGGGGCAATTTGTAAAATTTTTTCTGGGTGATTTGCGCAAAGCCCTCTTCTGGTTTTTTCGGAATACCTTGCAACAAGAAGAACCGCCCAGACTCTTACCACAAAAAAATTTTCAAAAATATTTGCGCTCCGGCATCAATCCAGATCCTGGGCTCCAAGGGTTCATCGTTTTTCCGCATCACCCCAGAAAAAACGCGCTGGCCCTTTCGTTCGGGTGGCCGGAGTTGTGTTGCATAATTTCCGTAGCGGTGGGCGGTTGGGCGGAATCCTGATCGCGCAGGGCGCTGGAGTAGTAAGTGCTTTAAATTGCAGGCACTCGAAGACGCAAAGAAACTCGTCGGTCAGGGCAGCTCTCTTCCATGAACTTCGGGCCCCATCAGCAAGCTGGTGGGTGAGGGTGCGCCGTCGCGTGGTGCCTTTAGTGTTAGTATATATAAATGTTATAGCTACGACGGAACGGCCACTACCCGCAAGAGGGTTCGCCTGTGGCAGTCGATCTCGATTGACATACAATCTCAATAGGTCATCTCGTTCGTGTGGACATGGATCCAGATGCCGATGCAATTGCAAACGCGGGGTGCATAAACAACAGCACCAACAAGACGACGCGTCCATAACTGTTGCGCGCGGCGCCGGTTGCAGACCTGCTGCCCTACACGCTGACGCATGGTCTTGACCTACACCTACGCCAGCGACTGCATGCTTGCCGTTTCGTTGCGCTTGTTCCTTTCGGTATTCCGTGTGGTGACCGGAAAGGAAATCGCACGGCAAACTCAGCGAGCACCGGCCGTTGCGGTGTCAACATGGTTCCGCTGTGTGGTGGACAGCATTGACAAGGCGCAGCCCGTCGCAACGGCGGCAAACGGCACGACGAGTGAATTTCTATGCGTTCGAACTGCCTGCCCCAGCCGCCCCTGGCTGACGAGCTGCCTCCCGGGCTTCCCGTCAGATATTCGGCTGGGGCGCGATTGTCTTGAAAATGGCGCCAAGCATGGCCAGGCTGGGGCGCCCCACTGTTGTGCACATCCAGTAGCAACTACCGCTGCAGCTGTCGCCCCCCCCCCCTGTTGTGCACACCAGTAGCACCCCTGCAGGCTGCGGCGGCGGCCCGTATGGGCCTGCGAGGGTCTGCGGAGGTCATGGAAGCAAAGGCAAGGGGGGCAGAGTCTTAGTGCCCCCGTCTCGAATGCGCCCAGGGAGGTCTGCCGACACGCGGAGGCAAGCGGCGCGCCGTAGTGGGCAGCGCGCTCCACCCGTGTGAATACCGAGTAGGGGGAGAGCTCCTCACGGGGCCCGCGCGCTTAGCGAGTAGCCTCCGCGACCTCTCAGTTTTGCCAGCACGCAAGGGCCCCCGGAACGCAGGTTAACTGGGCCGCGCAGGTCAGCAGGTGCTACGCCTGCCCCTTCCCTGATGGCTGGGCGTGCACCAGCGCGGCCGCCGGTGTGTTTGCCAGTTTTTGCCAGGCCCTGTCCTCCCGGTTGTCTGTGTGGCGTTCTGTGTCGACCGCGTGTTGGAAGCGCATGCTAGTGCGCGCCCCCACTTGGATGCATTTCGCCCGCCGATGGTCGCGCGGTCCTGTGGGTGAGGCCGGGAATTCGCAAAAGGGCGGGCGCAATGCGTGGCGCGCCGAATTCTCCGCGCCCCTGCTGGCCTGCGTGCCTTGGGCCATGTGTCCTGGCGCTGTCTTTTCCCCTCCCAGTCCGTGTGGCCGGGCTGCTGCTCCGGCGCGCAGTGACTGCCATTAAGTTGGGCCGGCTGCGGTGGAGGGCATCGCCCGAAAGGATGCGAACATCGCCCCCCCCCGCAAGAGCCAGCATCGGTCTCCGTAGGAATCACCGCGGAGGGGCCGCCAGCAAAAAGACTTCGGGCAGGCCAGAAACGCCAGCGCATAAGCCACGCGCCCTCGCGGGGGCTCCAGGATTTATTTGCGCTCCTTTCGGCCCCCGCGCCGGCGCGACAGGTGCAAGCAAACTACAGAAAACACCCGGGGCGGCGCACCCACAAGCGGGAGCGGTCGGACGGGCCGGCCCAGAGCGCCGCTGCGAAAGAAAACGCGCCACAGCATGGCCGCGGCACGCCTGAAGGCACTGTGTGCGGCAGCTTGCTGCTAGCATGTTGCGCGCCGTCTCTTGTTTTTCCTTTTTATTTCCCATTGCGCGCCCCAGTCGGGCCTATAGCGGTTTGCTCGCTCCTTAGAGGAACCGTTGGAGACAATGGAGGCGAAGCCTGCGCGCGGGATATGTATGGAGAACGCGTCTACCGGCACCGCTGAGATTCGGTCGGCCGGGCCGCAAGCTGGCTCGCTGTTTGTTTCTCCAGAATGCCTGTAGCCGTGCCGCGATCGGTCTCGGTGGCGCGAGCGAAATAACCGCTGGCCGTCGGCATGGGTGCGAAGGCCAGCGGCTGCCCACAGTGTAGGCGCAAACTATTTTCGTGAAGCGCCGCGCCGTTGTCGTCATTCATATACGCCCATTGCGGCACTGGGCAGATCGATAACGCCGCCCCATTTCCCTGTCGTCGCGCCATGGTGTTTGCGTGTCGCTTTCTTGCAGGTGGTTCAGAGGATGGCCGGCGCATTTTCGTTTGCCCGGTTCGTATCTCATGTTTTTTTTAATTGTGTCAGCAGGAGTTTGTGTCTCTCCCTCTTTGTCTTTCTGTGAGCAGAGTGCAAAGCCTCGCTTTTTCCGTGCCTACAAGCAGACTCAGGCTCATTCCGTGAACAAAAAATGATGGGGGAAGTAGGCTCCGGGCAGTCTACATATTGGTCCGTCGCCATTTATCAATTTGCAGAGCACGCGCCCCCGCCCCGTGCGTGGTATGGGTAGCCACATAACGCCCAGCGTAGCGCTATGCTAGCTTTGGATTGCGCGCGCGCGCCATCATGTAGCGCCGCGTGTCTACGTAGTTAGTATGCTATGCCACAAGCGTTATATTATCTACACCCTGGTGGCTGCCACGAGCGCTCTATCCATCCCTGCGGCGAAAAACGGCAGGAAGCGTTTGGGCGGCCAGAAATAGTAGCGCCGCACACAAAAAACAAATCCCGTCCCCTGTCTATCAGCGGGTCGGGCCTTGCCTTCGAAGAGGCAGGCTCGGGCCGGCGGTAGTTTTGTTGCCTAGCCGCGGCGCACCGTGGCAGAAATTGAAGAAAGCCGCCCGCGTTTTGTGTGCGCACTCCTTGCGACGTTCCGGGAGAATAGGCCCACAGCCTCTGGCGATTCCGCTCGAGGCGTTGCAGGCCTGCGAACCACACCGGGCCGCCCCGGAGGCGGTGGTCTTCTTTGTGCTTGAACTTGTTGTACTAGTTCCGACATTATTTCATCAAGAATGAGAAAAAAGGTCGCCCTGGTTGTGGGTAGCCGGGCCGCAAGGGCGTTGCGAGGTTCCGGAGCGGCCGGTCCAGTTTGTGGAACTCCCACGCGCAGGCCCGAAGGCCTGCGAAGAAAGAGAACACGTCGCCCCTGACCTCCGCTGGTGTTTTTTTCGCCGCTGCGGACATTATAAACTAACAAAAGGAAAGGCCGCGCACTTCGTGTGCGAGCGTTCGTTCGTAGCTTCCTTTCGAAGCCCCGCAGGGCCCAGCGCAGCTTTTGGCGATTCCGCACGAAGCCCGTGCTGGGGCGTGTGACGCTCGCCGAAGTCCCGTTTTCTTGTCGCCTCTTCGGTGGGGCCGGCTTTTTTCTTGTCGCACACCTCCGCGCGCAGCTTCTGTGGCTTCTGGAACCTACGCGGCCCCTGTTTCTGGCTTTCCAGCGGAGTTCCCCCAGGCTCCGTGGGGCTCGGCCTAGGTTATTGCGCCCCCCCCCCCGCGCGATGCCCCTCAGACACCAAATGTGGAAAACGCACACAGAAAACCTCCGGCGACTTGTTCGAAGCTGCAAAAACTAGAAAACGCGAGCCGCTTGGTTTGGGCCCGACCGACTCCGGAATCCTTTTGAGGGTCCCGGGGGGCTGACCCAGCTTCTTGCGGTTCCGCGCGAAGCCGCAAGGACGCTGCAGTTCTGGCCCGCGCTCTTTCGTGGTCGATCCAGATCCCGCCCCCGCGCAGGCTTTTCTTTTTTCTCGCCTCTGAGTGGCTTCTATTGGTTGCCACTCTGCTTTGTCGCCGGGCGCCAGGGCTGAGGCTGCTGGTGCTGATCAGTACAACGAACTGGGAGCGGGAGCGAGCCCGATGTGGCCTGTCGCGGTTGCAGCGTTGCTTGGGCCTTCGCGCCGGGCTGGTTTGTAGGTGGCCTTCAGTGCCTGGCCTTGGTGGTTGCCCGCGCTTGGAAGCAGGCCGACTTTCCTGCAAAGCCTGACACGGCCCATGCCCGGCGTGTTTGTTTCTTGTTTTCTATATCTCTTTTCTTTTTGCGGGGGATGCGGCTGTGTGTTTCTTTGATGAGTTCCAGGCTCTCTTCTTTGCAAAGATAGAAATGGGCGACGCTGCGCGGCGTGGCGCCTCGGCCCCGTCAGCCCTTTCCATCACGAAAACAACGGGCGCGCGCATTTTTGCGGGCCCTTGCCTGCAATGGGATGCAGTATGTATCAGCGCAGCAAAATTACTTAAGCACTTACCCAAAAGACAAAGCTGCTTCGGGCCGCCTCTTTGAAGACTGGTGGCCAGGCGTTTTTGATGGTGTTGATAGCTGATCTGGTCGTGGCGAAGGAGCGAACATGCCACGAAAAGCGCTGCGCGGGGCGGGGCCTTTTTTCACTTGGAAAAAACGTGCCTGACCACAGCCATTTGGTGCACTTGGGCAGTCTGCAAGACGTTGCGCGAGTCGGTGTCCCAGATTTGTCGCTGCGCGGAAACGGCAGGGGTAGCGGCCCGCTCCGAGCTTCGCATCCTGGGCCGAGAGGTGAGCGGCATCGGCCGCAAGATATGGAGTCGCCCTGTGCTACCGACGCCGGAAAAATGGGCGCGCTACCGGGTTAGTCAAGGTGCCCCATTTTCGTATCTTTATGGCCATCGCACAAAAAAAACCATGGCCGTCGCAAAAACAACAAAGGTCGGCAAATTTTCCACCAAGAAACTTCATGCGCTAACTAAGTAGCTACAGCTACTTCGCCGAAGTTTACAAAGTTCGCACTAGCTGCATGACCATCATCGTCGAAGTAAAGGCAGCTAGCAATCGAAGTGCTACCACTTCTAGCTAGCTACAGCATCAGCATCGTCTTCGCATGATCATCTACTTCGTCGGCGCGTAGTCCCCTGCGGACCTGGGGCCAGGCGCGTAGCTCCCGGCGGATTAGGCCCCGGCTGAAAGTTGTCTCTCCGGCTGAGAGGGAGGTTGTTTTTTGTTTTGTTTTTTAAATTGTGGAGATGGGTGCCGAAGATACGCAAGAAAAAAAAGCGTCCCTCCCAGCCGGAAAAACAGCCTGCAGCCGGAGCCTAATCCGCAGGGGACTACAACGCGCCTGGGATTAGGCTCCCCCAGGCTGCCTCTACTTCCCCCAGGCTGCCTCTACTTCGCCCGCCTGCGGGGGGGGCTGCCGCTAGACGGCCTGGGCTGCCTGTAGCCTTCCTGGGCAGGCTGCCCCTAGCATGGTTCGGCTAGTACCTCTAGCCTGCCGGGGCTGCCGAGCGAAGCCTGGCTTGCTGGGCTGCCCAGCAAAGAAAGCGAAAGCCTGGCCTGCTGGGCTGCCAGCCTTACCCAGCAGAGCCCCGCTCAATGGGCTGCCAGCCTAGGCTAGTTGCTAGGGCTGCTGGCCTAGCGAGGCATAGCCTAGCTTTGCTAGGGCTGGCAGCCTAGCAAAGCCTGGGCTGCCGGCTGGCAGCCATCTCAGCTAGAGAGTCTCCATCTGAGATGCAGAGTCTCTATCTCAGATGGAGAGTCTTGTCTCTATTTCGGCTTCGCCACTGGTGGCGAAGCTGCTGAAATATAAAAAAAGCGCGCAGGTGGAAAACAGTAAGAAACAGAAAAACAAACAAAGACGCTCTATCTCTCATGGAGAATTTCTATTATCATCCGAGAGTCTCTATTTGGAATAGAGATTCTCGAAGATTTTCTATTTCGAGCGCCTCGCGAATTAAGGTAGGAAAATGAGGCACCTCGGCTAACCCAGTAGTGCGCCCATTTTTCCGGCATCGGTAGCGCAGGGGGATTCCATACAAGCCCGCAGAGTCCTCGCCAGGCACAAGCAGTAGCAGCGCCGCCGGAACGCCGGCCCAGCACCAGGCTACAGCCCCGCAAGGAACCCCGCCCGGAGAGCCGCCGCAAAACGGACCAGCCCCGCGCCTACGAGTTCCGCAAAACTACGACCATGGTCGGAACTTTGGTCGTATCGCGCTGAAAAAAATGATCACGCTCATACTTTCGCCGTTTTTGGCCCGAATAGGAGCACCCTTATGCATGATCACTTTTTCCCTGGCGTGGGCCACATGCGGCCCATGCCGTCGCATTTGAAAAAAGTGATCCCGGCGCCCTAATTAAAAGCGGGGCGCTCATATTTTTTTCAACTCTTCTTCTACAAAAAAACGCGACAAAAAGTCGCATGGTCACTTTTTTTAGCGTGGCGCCATTCTTCCAAAACGCAGAAAAGCGCCACACTTGAAAGAACGCAAATCACGAGCGGACCAGGCTGGTTCTGAAAAAGCACCAGACCCGCGAGAGCGTGCTGGCTAAAAAAAATGGCCATACGCTAAAAGGTGGACTGTTTTGCCTCGACTCAGATTGATTGGATTTTGGCCAAAAGTGGCGAGGATATGAGTATGGTCATTTTTTTTTGCGCGATAGGTCTCCTCGCGGAAGGCGAAGCAAACATCGGCGAAAACACTCAGCGTGACTGGGGCCTCCGCGACTGAAGGGGGCCGCCGCGACCTCGTTTATATATTTACTCACACAATGCCGCTCTGTGGTAGTCGTGGGGCAGTTCGGTTTTTACACTTTACACGGCTCACGCAACCAAGGCGTCGTGATGATAGTAGGAAACAGCCACGACACCAGACAGCTGATCGACTGGAGCAGGTTTCTTCTTGATCGCCTAGAGCGCAGATCCAATTCTAAACCGCCGATCAAGACAAAAGCAATGAGCTTCATGCTGATAAAATGGCATGAGTGTTGTACTTAGCAGGCTTCCTAGGGGAGTGACAACATCGACACTTGAGCAGTTTGAAAGCCAATTTGTGATCAGCTTGGGGACTGAATTGCGCTGGAGGTGACTTTCACTACTTGCGCTTTATAGATACGCACCGGGGTGGTAGTGCTCGTCTATTTCTATTCTGAGGACCAGAATATTTACACCGAATAGCGGGGACGCAAATCCACCTAAGACGCCACCACGCAGAAGGGGGCAGTCCCGCTACCTCGTGTAGCAATGGAAATCGAAGCAATTGCGTAAAGGGAAAATGTTTTTTTGCCAGCGGCGGCCCTGCACCATCTGTTGCAATTGCATTGACATTGAATATAAGCCCGCAGGCTCGCAGGCTCCCGCTCTCCCTCCCTGTATATGAAAGCACTTTTTTTTTAGGCAAAAGGCTGCAAATATGTAGGAGTTATATGAGTATGTCCAGCAGGTGTTTTACCTTGAATCATGTGAATCCAAAGTACGAACCGCCGACCAAGTGGTCCAGCAGCAAAAATATCCAATGCAAAAGCATCGCACTCGTACTAGTTGGAGTTGCAAACGTGCATCACAAATTTTTTTTCGCCTCTAAGCCTAAGGAAAAACAGCATATACAAATCCCACTTTTCTGTTTGCCAAAATTTGCAGTGCAGTCGACGCTAGTGCGATGCTTTTGCAATGCATAAAAAATGGGTTTCGACAACATTTCTTCGACGCTTGATCCCGTGGCCCGCGAGGGTGACTGGCAAGTCCGTGACTTCGTTCTGACCCTGATCTGGATCGGCTCCCTTGTCCTCTGCACACACGACCTTTTTTCTAAACCTGTCCTGGGCAATGTTTTTCGTCGAATTCTGACTGAACTTGAGGGGCCGCTGGGAGTTGTCGATGGGTGGTCGAGCAAGCTGAAGACCTGCGCAGCTAGTTGTACATGGGACGCGAGTTTTTCCAAGTTGGCTGCGGCGACAGGGTATCGGAACAGGCTTGCGGCCCAAGTCGACGCTGCAGCAACCGGGCCGAGCGAAGGTGCGGTGCCGGAAAGTTTATGCGTTGCGAAAAAAAAGCATGTCTTGAGATGCAGCAAGCGACACAATAAAACGAAAACTAAACCACAACACCAGAGCACATAATCCTAATCGCCACGAATTCGCTGAGTGACTCAGCGCACCACGGCTCTTTCATTCTGTTATATGATAAAGATATTCAAGCGCGCGAGTGCTCGGTCGTTCTCTTGTATGGCTATGGGTACTTACTGAGAACAAGAAGAAGTAAGATTCGCTCTGTTGAGTGCAAGCGACAACCTAGCATCTCGTGCTAGCGACTTGCACACATCGTTGCCTACAAGTGATGATGCGCAGTGAAGCATCAGAACAAACATCAACAAGCATATTTATCCACCTCTTACTCGAGCATCAAGTTGCAGCACTGATTCCAACGCAAACGCATACAACGCTACGACCCCTGTTGGAAGTCCAACATGGTTACCTGGTGGTGCGGAAGCTGGGACCATAGCCTCCGTGTCGACTAGGCAGCCTCAGCCACCAGCTGGGACGCCTCCGCCGCCGATCCCAGACAGACAAGTCGGGTCTGTGCTTGGTGTGGATATGCGCGGACAACATGACCAACTGCACGCAGGCGGCCTCCGGCTTCGTCGCGGCGTTCCGCACGATTCTGCACAGAATGAACACCACGACACGCAGCTCCACCAGGGAATGCAACTACCCGCGACCGGCACAAAGAACGCGACTATGAATATCTCGGACACTGATTACTACCATCGCGAAGAGGTGCCAACCCAGCGTAGTACTCCCGCCGGCCCCGGCGGCGTTCCGCCGTACTACTCTAACGTGCCCCTGCTTGACACTTCGCAACCACTTGGAGCACTTGGAGCAAATAATAAGCCTGCTCCAGGACTAGGACCGCTTGCAGGAACAGTTCCCTTGGGGGGCGTCACGATGGGGGGCGACCCTGGGAATCAGTCTAGGTTGCCTGCACCTGCAGACCACGAGTTCGTGCAAGAGACGCTTACACCCCGCCGAAGCGAGGAGCGTGAAGTCATTTACGGTCCGGAGCAACCACCTGCGCTCTTCGACCCCCTAGACCGGGCAAAGACCGTGGAGCGTCTGAACGTCGACGTCCCACCAGAGAAGCATGGTGACTGGCTCTTCCAAGCTCGTCCGGATATAGATCAGCTCCTCGGACCTCGTGTGGCTACCGAGCAGGGAGCGTTCGGAAACATCTGGAAAGTCGCAGGGTACGTTGTGAAACAGAATCAAAATGATAACAGTCACATCGAGTACCAGGCACTAACGACTTTGATGCTCCAGCCGGAGGACAAAAAGGTGTCTGCGGTGATGTACCCCATCTTTCTTGACTATACACCCGGTCCTCCTCAAGTACTTGCTCACGTTTGCATGGACGGCGGCCGATCGGTGTACGAGGTGTTCTTGAACGAGAAAACGCAGCATCTGGCGGCATTTGACGACGCCGCCATCGCCGAGCTCATCGACGAAGTCTACCGCAGTTGCCGGGCGGTCTTGGAGCACCTTTGCGCACTGGAATTGGAGCACAGAGACCTGCACGCCGGCAATGTGCTCATCGAAGTCAACGAGAAGTCCGGCGCGAGGGTCAAGGTGATCGACTTCGGGTTCTGTAAGCGTTTCCAGCCAGGCCCAGCGGACGCTAATGGAAAAGTCAAACGACCGCGGGATGGGGCTATATCCGACTGAAGCAAAATCAAAACGCACACAGCTGGCGGCGTCGCTCATTCTATGAACTGCCCAGGGCCAGGTGTTAAAACAGTGTCAGAGTCAGTCTCATTTGTTCTACTCAAGTTTTCAACTATACAGACCTGACGAGCTTGGTCTTGCATGACAAGCACTAGCACGACGAGGATTTTCAGAACAAATGCAGTACCTTGATGTGCATGTGGTTTTTGTATTATATGCAAATTCTGCCGGGTTTTAGTGGTATTGGTGGTTTCGGCACACGTCATGCGTATTTCTGAAAGAGCAGGCCACACCCACAGCCAGATCTTGCATTGTATTTCAAAGTCGAGGGCCTCAAAAGTTTCTTCCCCACCAGACTTTCGATAACCGCGCAGCAGTAGTGTCACTCCTGCGCGCAATTAATGGCCATGCTGCGGTGCTTTTTCTTTCCATATGAAGCAGGCAAGCTGAGTATCAAGCCGCCGAGCTTTTTTCGATACAGAGAGTATGTGCCACGAGCGTATGCACCGAAAACAGAGACACGCACGCGCATCGCATTTGGGCCTAGCCAAAGTTTTGCCGTACATGGGCCATGTACTAGCCAAGCCTTTGCCTAACGTGATGGCTTGGATTGTGCACTGGCCAGGGCTGGGCATCGTCGCCGCGCCTTGCGCAGCCGCTGGGCTTCCTTGTGTTTTCTCCGGACATACGCGCACTCCATTAGCGCAGCTGTGCAAGCCGGCCCGAGTGCGTGCCTGGGCTCGGTGCTGTAGCTGGAGGCGGTTCGCGCTATGCAGTGGGTGCCGCGAAGGATGGCGCAGCTAGCTTCTGCCCAGCGCGCACCCACCCCGCCCCCGGCCTTCTCGGCTGAGTTTTATTTTTTTTTCAGCCACCAGGGGCCAGTGGGCGTGTGCTGATGCTGTGGCGGCGTTTCCCTGGATTGGGTTCCGGCTGTCGCTCCTTTTCAGGGCCTGGCCCCTCTCTGGACAGGTTGGTGGGCTGCCTCCCCGAGTAGATTCGACGCACACCGGGACGACGTTGCTCGCGCATCTGGGGATAGCTATTGCAGCGCCCCTCTCTTGCCAAACCTGCCCGCATGCACGCCGCTACCCCTTTGGGCCCCGTCAGGGCAGGGCCGCCTGGAGTTGTTTGTGTATCCACACCGGAGGCAGCGGCGCTGGGTTGCCACGGCTGCGTACGAAAGGCAAGGGGGACAAAGACTGCAGTCCTCGTCGCAATAACAAACAGAAACAGCACAAGACAAACAGCGCCGCCACTCGGGCGCGTCGAGGGCGCAGGCCCCCATACCAAAGTTAATACTTGTCGACGCAAACAAAGCCGCCCCCTCCGCAAAGCTTTGCGCCGCCCTTGCTCATGCGTTGGTGGTGTGTGTCTTCCCTCTGTCATAAAGTGGTGGCGATGAGTATGGGGCGCACAGGTCAAGTTCAGCTTCAGCACGATTATGACGTCGCTTTTCTACTGGGAGAAGTAGTTGCTCTCGCTCTGGCAGGTCGGTCGCGGTGTGCGTGAGGCTCTCTCACGGGCGCTCTCGGCGCCTCGTTTATTTGTATTGGTGTTGAGCAGGGTCGGATGAATCCTCGCGATTTGTATTGGTGCGTGAGCACGTATCACGTATATGCCAGGAGAAAAGCCTTGCAATTTGGTTTCTTTTTCATTGTGAAAGCAGGAGCCGAACGGATTGCGCGCTCCATAATCAACCGCGATCTTTTTGCGTTGGGAGTGCTGATATTGCAAATATCTGCTCGAGACCGTCACCAGCAGTTTTGGCCGCCAAACGTCATCCAAGAAGGTGATGGCGACGCAACCAATGCGCGCATGTTGTCTTACATAGGAAAATGAACCCTCACATCAACCAGCGAGCACTGCCACTGCGGCATATTGATTCAATTACACACACTCCTCCAACATATTTGCTTTTGCATTTGGTCTAACAAAATTCGAATTCTCCAGTGCAAAAAAATAAGAACTAGTTGGCACGAGAATGCGCACGCATCGCCAAGGTGCGCATGGCCTTCTTATTTTGGGACCCGATTACCGTGCCGCGATAGCGGTATACTCCAACCCCGGCCGACGAACGTGCTTCCTGCTTCAGCTAGATTTTGCATTTATTTGCGTTGGAGTTTACTGTTCCGTGTTGGGCTCGAAGCCCTTGCACCTCACCAAGCCGGCAGTCGTTACGTCGACATTTTTTTTGCAGCGCCGGCTGCGATAAAGCTGGTTGATTTTCAATGCCATACAGTGTCGCGCAAAATGACAGGGAGAACCCAACCTGGGTGCGGGATCGAATCAGATCAGTAACGAGCGAGCACGATCAGCGCCAAAACAGTGGTCGGGTTCCTGGCGGCGCCGTCATTGAGGAGCTTCTCACTGATGTTTCCCACGTACAGTCGCGATCTTCGTCATTTTGTAATGCTGCGCTGAGATGTGATGACTATTCCTTTTATTTTTCTTTGTATGTAACCGAAACTGCAGCTGCGCGAGCAGATGCAGTAGGGTTCCACCTTCAAACAGAAACGATTAACATTTGAATTACACTACAACGCATGAAAATTTGACGAAGATGACGACTTTGCACAGGATGAGACGGGGGTGAAGACTAGTTGCGTAGCGTGGACGACTACCGCTCTTTTTTCTTCATCGATTCTGGCTACAGCTACTCCGACAGGGCATCTGTGTCCGTTCTAACGACGCAGGCGGCTTTTGGTTTTAAATCTTAACCTCGCAAACGCTAGCCAAAAGGCACGACTTATATGCTTGCAAAAGTTTGGGCTTTGGCTTTTCCGAATCCGATTAATTCGCTGGCTCACTTCAGCGTGAGCATACTTACAACACTGAAGTGCTTCTCATCTACCTTCAATCAAAGACAAAACCGAGTACGATTTAGATGCTTCGCGCCAGAGTTAATACTACAGTTTTGAAACCAATGTCGACGCTGACACTTGAGGTTCGAAAATCATTGTCGCGCTGCTGATCCTGGTGCTACGCTTTGGCATCATTGAGGAGAAACAATCGCGGTAGATCATTTAGATTAGCCCTAATGTAAATCAGAGTGCTCCGGAGCCCGCAGATGCGCTTTTGCGCCGTAGTATATATTTTCTTATCAGCAAATACCAATTTGAAGTATTTTGTTTTTACACTATCATATATACAAAAGCGCTGGAAAAATTGGCCATAACGAATAAAATGTAGGGACTTTTTCTGGCCAGCGACGTACAACTCATGGCTCTGGCGCTGGACTAGATCCGGTGCCAAAAGCCGCGCTTTTCCTTGTTCCATCGGTGCACATTTGCGCCGCAACAACTTGAACTTAAAGCTATACAATACTATGACAAAAGGACGAGGCGCCCACAGTTGCAAGCAAAAGCGCTGCATCTGCGAGATCCGATTGCGCCAATAATGATGCTGTGTCGCTTCTCCAGCTTTGAATTCTAAATCCAATTCTTTATTTATAATGTGTTTTTAGCACGTGTAGTTTGTTCGAGGCAGTCGTTGGTTTTTGGTGGTGCCGTTCCCAGATACAAGTCGCGGCCCCCTTTGCGAAAAGGCTTTAAGTGCGAACGCAATGCGTTGTGACAAAAATGGGGTTCCAAGATCACGACAAGCTGTGCAGCCGCACCCTTTCTTCTTTCGCCACTGACTATGCACACCACAGGACACCCGAAGAACAGGGAGGCCCATGAAGCGCCGGCGCGCGTCGGTGGGGAACTCGCGGTGGGGCGGCAGCTGTATGCTTGTGCAAAAATTATATCATAGATATTGATCAACATTCCGCCTACCACTTTTTTCATGCAATCTTGCAAGGGCTCCAAGCGGGGTGAGCGTGAGCAATATATAAAGAATTTTGGTTTTCTGTTCTTGCATGCTGATTGCTAGGCTTTGCAGTTCTGAACAAGACCAGCATTTCGATTCGTATTGGGCCCCCGGGCAGATGGACGACACTGCGACGTTGATTGTGCTTCGTTGTGACTATCGGTCTTGCACAGCAAGGGGGCCGTCCAGAAGTGACTCAACACAGACAAATCAAATACCAGCTGTGCCTGTGACGGTAGGCCGTGGCACAATGAAAAATCGCAGCTGTGCGTATTCTTGCTGGTCTGCGCTTTTCTTCTGGTACTGTGCCACGAGGCTAAAAGTGGCAGGGTGAATGAATGATAAACGCGATAAGGCCCCCGACGCAGCTGTTACCGTTACGCACGAGAAATCGCATGGAAAGACTCCAATCGGTTGCCAAAGTTACGAGGCAAGTAACGTGGGCCGCATAGAAGAAGCTGCACCCGGGGCGCGCGACGTCTGTGATCTGCTAGAGCAATGGAAAGGATTGCCGCTTTCAGCGAAAATTTCTGCGAACAGTTCAGCCTCGAATTTCGCCGCAAGAAATGATGCCGTTCTCGCAGTGGCAGTGCGGCATACGAGCTGTGGAACTCCTGCAGGTGTTGTTCCGAAGGGTCGAGAATGTCATCAACAGGTGCCGCACCAGTGTGAGCCTAGCCATCCGCTCGAAGAGTCCGGCAGCGCAACCGGTGGGATCTCCCGACGACGCAGCTTGAACCAATCTTCTAGCGCACGTCATAGCAGTAGCAGGTCCGACGATAGCGACCGGCGGCTGTCGGCGGCCACCGACGTCGCAACCGCGAACCGAACAAGGCCGCGCCCATCAGAAAGCGGCTCTGCAAATGAGAACGGACAATCGGGCAGCCTTGCCACCACAATGGAAAACCTTCGAAAAGCTTCGCTACGGCAGCTTCTCGAGTACGTCTCTCGCTGTGTAGCGGAGCTCATGCAGCATCGAAAACACGACATGCACGTCAGCGAAGCTACGGCTGGCAAACGGAACCAGTCGTGGAACCAGATCTCGCTCGTCAGGGTGCTAGCGACCCTGGCCGAACTACTACGCGAAGCAGCCAGTGCATCACCCTTACCGAACTGGACGAACGAACTTTCCACGTACAAGGAGATGCTGGAGGAGTTATTTCAAACATGCGTGGAGTCGGTCGGCTTGTGGATGGCGCAGTATTCGAAGAAGAATATCGTGTGTCAAAACATCCCCAAATCCTCCCCAGAAACAGCTCTAGAGCACAGATTTGCACTTCCGAAAATAGTTGTGAAGTAGTTTACTAGACGTTTGCGTCGCAGCTTTCCTTGAAAAGCAAGCTCAGATAGTATTTGGCACTAATTAACCGGGATAGGTGCTGGGGCAATGGGTTTGTGATGCTATTACGGTATGCGGACCCAAAGTTGTATACTGGCACTTGCAATTGCAACGCTGCATGTGCGAGCTATTATTTTAAACCAGAACATACATCTTGACTATTCTGGGGTGGGTAGGGGTACGCTTTTACACAGGATAAAGAAACGTGCGAGGCTATGTTCGGCCCCGAACCGAATCGGAGGGTTCCAGCCAGTCCAAATGCTGGCTCTTTTCGAAGCGATGGATACCGCTGGACGTGCAATTCCAGACGGCAAAGGGTACCCGTTGGCCCACATGTTGTACCTGCTGCAGAAAGCTGGATGGGTCGGCTTTTCCGCACTAGGACTTGCGAACTCCGCTCGAGCGCTAAAGAAGATCACCTCCGCAGACACGCATGCAAAAACGCTGGAGAGCATGTGCGCGAGTCGCGTCACAACCGTATCCAGCGAAACTCGGATGAAGCACGTACCTGTCGAACAAGAATTGTGGGGCGATATCCGCTTGCTGCATGCTGTGCTGCTGCACCTCAGCGAAGAGAACGACCAGTGGCGGGACCAGTCTAACCTAACGGGAAAAGCCGCGGCATTCGGCTTCAAGATACTCAGGGCATGCGCCAATCCCGGATCGCTAGAATCCGTGGCTAATCTTCATTGCCGCGAAGTCGTTTTGCGGCTTCTCGTCTGGTCCGTGGCGCGGGTCTTCCGACTCACCCCCTTCGAGGTTTCAGGAGCAGCCGGACCGATCCGCACAACAGCAGAGAAGCGGTGTTGGCAGGTCGGCGACCTTGACCCAACTTTCACCGCAGGCGCCCGTGCAATTTTACGGCTTGCGGAAAAAGCCGCATCGCAGCAAAGGATTGGCGTCGAGCTCGGCTTTTCCATCGTGCATCTGCTCCGCGGCATGAAAGCGACATGCTGGAGATCGGGACGCATTCTCATGGCCTTATTGTTGGAGAACTTGAACTCGAAGACGCTGGACAGCCACTCGAACTCCAACAAGTGCAGCAAGCTTATCGAAATTCTGCAGCATTGCGCGCACTACGGCACCCATCTCGACCTCGTGCCGGAAATGAGAACTCTTCTCCGGCGCGCGTTGTTGTCAGGAGGGTGTCACCTCAGCTTGACTGCAGTTCAGGAGGTGGAGGTGCTGTGGAGTGCAGTCGTCATCGCCAGTTCTCGCCAGCAGAAGAACACCGGCATCCTGGGACCTACTTCGTGTGGCGTCCTTGTCAACGGCCAACTCCACCAAAGCGCGTCTCTTCCCGGAAATACCACGCAAGAAACTGGGCGGCTATCCATAGTATCAGGAGATGCGCATGTGTCTGGGTCTGCAGAATTATCTTTATCTTCATTCTAAGTACTACTTAGTCGACAAAAAAACACTGCAATTCGGAAGCAACAAAGATGACCAGCTTTATTTGCTATTGGACACTGGCGGGGGCCACGCGTCTCTCTCTCTACTTATGTGACTGAGCCGCATGACGATGACAAAGACAAGTTCGAGTTGCCTTGGCATTATATTTGAAGAATAAGAATAAGTAGAAAAATAGAAAATCAAAAACGACATCGTAGCGCAACGACAGTGAAAGAATTTCTTTTCCGTCAGCCAGAGCTGCAACTGGTACTAACCATGAAGCATAACACGCCTGCTTTGCTCCAGACACAAACATGTTTGTGTGTCATCTAGGTTGGCGAGCGCCACCGACTGTCCCGAACACACAAAACTCCTCCACGACGCCAGACGCGCATATGATTTGTGTGCTGGGAAGCTAACTAAAACGGTTCTTCCGGTGGAACAGCGATCGAAACTGGTGCTCGTGGCACTCGTTCTGGGCAGGACAGTGCCGGAGAGTCTTCGCCGTATCGCGGCAGGTGACGTCAGGGCAGTTTCGCATGTGTCGAACACCCAAATGCGGGTGCACTCGAAGATTTCGGCCGCGTTGCACCACTTCTCGCAGCCCATGATCGCGGTGCAGGAGGTGCCGTGCCTCGATGGGCTACTTGCTCCGGTTGACATCCTGATAAAGCCGCGGCCGCCCAGCAACCAGAATGGAATCGCGCATGACAGATCTGTCGTCGTTGAAGTGGACGGGCCTCACCACTTTTACGAGATTTTGGACGCGGAAGACCACGGAGCCGGAATGCCAATGACATTCTACACAGGGCCAAGCGTATTGCGGCACGAGGTCCTACGACTGCACGTCTCTCCAGTTGTTCACCGCGTGCGGCACTTCGCGGAAAAAGCTGACGTAGATAGCACCATGGACACATTACGCGACATCTTATCTTCGCAGCAGGGTTGTGAAGATGTGCAGGGAGTAAATGGCAGCGGCTTTGTGCCTATGAACATGCAAGAGCATGATGCCTAATAGGCTTCCAAGCTGTCTTAAGTTTCAGCAACAGACCGAAAACACATGCGGTCCTAGCTACAGTCACAATAAGAGCTTTTTTTGTTACTTACAGATGTTGATGCTGATCCAAGATCGTCCACTGCCTAATTCTCTAGGGATACAATTGCAACTTTGCACTCGTAGCAAACTCTTTACACAATTTAGAGCTTTTTTTGAAATCAATGCACCGCGAACCCGGGGTCCAAATGGCGCCCGGCATTTTTTTTTCTTTTAGAAAGTCAGATAAGTTTTAGAAAGTCGAGCGCGGCGCAACACTGCATATATCAACAGCCTCTTGTTACTTGTCCACCCAGTTCCCAGCGTGATGGTTCGGCTGGACGCTGGCCAGCCACAAAAGCACCTGTAGTTACAGAGACCCCACAGAAAATTGTTTCAGGCACCTGCAAGAAGTGTAAAAATTTGTCCGGAGCGCAACTGCAGAAGTTGCAGATAGGTCAATTGATTACTGGGAAAATTATTTTTGCAGGGTAACGGAAGCTCGTCCCGCGACATCATTTTTTTAGAGAATTAGATGCGCCGGACGTCCGCTATGAATTTTTTACTTTTGAAGCAAGAATTTTTTCCAAGAAAACACGAACGGAAACGAATGCCAGAAAGAAATCTAAAATAAAAACTCGAATCATCTACTGAAAACGTGGATATTATCTCTAGCAGTCACACCTTTCTTGACCTCAGCAGCTCTTTCAACATTTGTCGGCACGCATGTTCTTGCGCGACCAGCCGCAAAACCAATACGCTTGGAGAAAGAGCAGCCGCGCTTTCCTAGGAGTGACTAGTCGCTCTCCTGCTCTTGGGGTCAGAAAGTGATTTGCGAATCGATGCAGAGACTTTTTTGAATACGCGGGCGCGCCGTGACTCCATCCATGCGTAAGTCCACAAAAGCGTGGCTATGCAGGAGTCCGAGAAAATATTTTTTCGCACCCCTTTCTACCATCTGGTTTGCAAGTAGCACAAATTGAAGCTTTATCGAGCTATGCAACTTTATCAGAACTGTTTTTCTTTTTGCTGCAGCGCAGTTTTTCAATTTTCAATAGAGAAAGTTAGTAATGAAAAGCCGCTATATAATTTATAGAAGGACTGACGTAGATGCATTTGCTTTTTTCGTGGCGGGCCTGAAGCGCAATCGCTTCCAAGGGCAGGCGCAATGGAGGGCATACAAGTTCGAGTTTTCAAAACAAAATCACGAAAGTCAAGAACAGAACAAAAACAAAAATTTAGTGCATGCGGTAGCGCGTTTTGAAAAGGCAGCCAAAGGGGGAACGGAGGCCCAATCGTAAACGGAGAGTGTTCACATTGGTTTGTGTTCGCAACGACTACAGCCAGAGGCGCAAGCTTTTGCACCCAAAACTCACAAAAAGCTGAGAAACATTTTATCCGCGCTTTCTTTCTAGCCGTGGGTGGTGGAATCTCGAGTTGTACCAGGCAAATTGAATTGATTTGATTTGGCGTGCCTTCGATTTTTGGAAAAGGAGGCCCAAAGCCTCCGCTGCCACCCCGTTTTCGGCATCGACACTGATCTTAGCATGCGGAGTAAATACCGTCTCAGCTTTTTTAATATCACAGTGAGAGTGAACAAGGCCGAGGACTAAATGAAAATAAGAACTTTCCACATGATATGTCGCATTTTGTAAAGCCAGCCGGAGGGGTGGCGGAGGCCCAATCGTAAGCAGAAAGCGTTCGCGATAGGTCGTGCTTGCAAGTCCAAGCAGAAATACAAACTTTGGCTCTCATCGTTGACAAAAAGCACATTGACACTTTTTCCGCATGCTCCTGGGGTTTTTGTAGGGCACTTCGAAACCTCCGCTACCCCTCCGTAGTTGGCTTCGATATTGCCCATAGCATGCGGAAGAGATAGCGTTTGAGTTTTGGTAGGAAAGTAAGCAACGCCAAGGACTGAACGCAAACAAAAACTTGCTGCATGGTATGGCGCATTTTGTAAATCCTGGCGGAGGGCTAGCGGAGGCCCAATCTTAAGGAGGAAGCGTTCGCTTTGGGTCGTGCTTGCAAAAACAAGTAGAAAAGCAAGCTTTCCCTTTCAGCATTGACAAAAAGCGCATGGACACTGTTTCCGCATGCTCCTGCGGTTTTTGTGGGGCACTTCAAAACCTCCGCTACCCCTCCGTGGTCGGCCTCAATGTTGGCCATAGCATGCGGAAAAGATAGCGTTTGAGTTTTGGTAGGAAAGTAAGCAACGCCAAGGACTGAACGCAAACAAAAACTTGCTGCATGGTATGGCGCATTTTGTAAATCCGAGCGGAGGGGTAGCGGAGGCCCAATCTTAAGGAGAAAGCGTTCGCTTTGGGTCGTGCTTGCAAAAACAAGTAGAAAAGCAAGCTTCTCCTCTCAACATTGACAAAAAGCGCATGGACACTGTTTCCGCATGCTCCTGCGGTTTTTGTGGGGCACTTCGAAACCTCCGCTACCCCTCCGTAGTTGGCTTCGATATTGCCCATAGCATGCGGAAGAGATAGCGTTTGAGTTTTGGTAGGAAAGTAGGCAGCGCCAGTGACTGAATCCCAGCAAACGTTTGCTGCGTGTTGATATGGCGCATTTTGTAAAAGCGAGCGGAGGGATAGCGGAGGCGCAATCGCAATCGTAAGCGGAAAGCGTTCGCGCTGGATCGTGCAAGTAGAAGCAGAGAAGCAGCCTCTTGCCTTCAAAGTTTAGAAGATAGAAATAGACAGACATCTTTACCGCGCGCCCCTGCGGTTTTTATAGTCCACCCCCAGGCCTCCGGCATCCCTCTGTAGCCGGCCGGCATCGAGATCTATCACAGCAAGCACAGAGCACATCACTTCGATTGTGGTTTGGAAGTTCAAGTTGGCAAACGAAATCAAAAGCGCAATTTGATTTGCCGTGCGGCGCGCTTCTTTTGGTACACCCGGCGGGGGATAAGTAGCAGAGGCCAAAGAATGGCAAAGTAGTGGCTTTCAAAAGCTTACTCGTTTGCAACCTTTGAAACCACGCAGAAGTGGAAAAATGCATGCCCGCACGTTGCAACCTTTTGCGCTTTCAGTTACGTCGCCGAAAGTTAAAAACCAAGTCCAGGACAAGCTTACCGACAAGAAGTCAAGTGCCGGGAACGCATATTAAAATGCGATAATATACCTGACATCAAATGCAAATATGTCTGGGTCTGGAAGAGTGCCAGACCTGTCATGCAGGTTTTTCATGATCATGACCCATGAGGAGGTCTGGTATGGACGACATAGCATGACAGATTCTGTGAGAGCTCTATCATACCTATCCTGAGTGAGAAACTGCCTCTCGATTAAGTCAAAAGTGGACAGCTTTTGGTAATCACGCACCGAAAATATACATGATAATGATTCAGATTTCGCATGACAATTTGCTTTGTTCCAGACCCAGACACTTTTGCATTTGACACCTGAAGCCCATGATCGCCTTCGATTGAAAAAAAGGAAAGCCGGTGAGAAACTTAAAGACATCGATATCTGGTGCGGATGGTGTGGCTCCTCCACCTTGCCTTGTTCTTCGGAAAGCGAAAGCGAACTGCCTGTCCGGAATTTTCACAAGTGATCACCTATTGCACACAGTTGTATGCGGGCGAAAGACAAAGATTTCATCTTTAGGTTTCTTTGATTGAGATGAGGCCAACTACTACTCAAGGATCATCTGCTGTCTTTGCTTTCCCCGGGCCCCACTAAGTAACGCCAAGCAGTTTTTACTTTCCTAGGTGACTTGATTCCGCCCCTGTTCCTTCGGCTTTCCCGGCTGCACAATTTCGGAGGACATGCAGAATTTAGATCTCGGGTTTTCAGGGTATTGGCTGATATCCACTTTGCAGTTCATAGGCAGAGCCACATTAAGGCACGGGGGTCAGCAGCGAAGCGATACTTGGTGAACGACGCAGCAAACGCAAATCCACATCCAACCCGGTGTAATACGAAACTGAGTTTCCGGCCGCTCACGGAAGACGATTTGGACGGTGCGCTTTTCAGTGGTTCTTCAGCTGCTTTTACTAAGTAATGCTTCCTCTGAAGAATATGGTTGTCTTCACTATCAGTCTTTCATTTGTCGTCGTAATTCTATTTCACCGTAGCTGAGCTGTTTTTGATCGCTGGCCACCGTCTAGGCTTATAAATCGCATTTAGATGATAATTCTGCACAGTCCGGAAGAAGAGATCCAATACTCGATGAGCACACTGAAAAAGATGTATACAGAGAGAAGGGCGTTTGTATTTCTGTGTATCTTTGTATTTCTTGGCATTCCTGTCGCGTCGTGCTACACTCATCGTTGCAGCTTTGGGTCGTCGATCGCTCGTTTTTCGTTTGAAAAGGGTATTTCATTTTCGTACAACTTTGCGTGTTTCTTCCTCACCACGTATACGTCTCTTTTCCATCGGCAGGATAATGATGATCGCCATCGTGCAAAGACCAACATGACTATACGATCTTGGACGAAGCAGAGCAGAACTGGATGATGTTGAAGTTGATGCGAAGCCAGACACCAACCCTACAATTTCAATTATATCTAGGCAGCAGTACCACAGCCCACTCTGCTGCTGTAGGTTTTTTGTTTTTCTGGAGGTGGTCGTAAAGACAACAATAAGACGACTTTCCTTGCAACATGATTGTAGTTTCGGAGGAACGAAAGATTCGCCGTAGTCTGATTTTTCTGGGGGTGTTGAGCACTAGCACTTCTACCAAATGAATTTATAGAACGGCTATGTCGTCGTTACTTCCCGTTCTGGAGATTCTGTAGTGCCAGAAGTTTTTGATTAAAGGACCTTCAAGCATGCTGATGCTAAAGCTAAAGTAGCTAGAGGAAGTATTAGGTGCGTCACGAATTCTTCCGAAGTTCGTTTGGCATCATCCCATAAATACCCGAAGCTACTGCCTCCCTGATATGAGCACTACAGATAGTATTCTTGTCGCTGTAGTACACTTTATACTTTCTTGATTATCAGTGTTGAAACCCGAACCGCAGTAGCACAGAATCAGCATATCCCTCCGACGAAAGAAATATCAAGATGCTCGCACAAGTATTTTTGTTGGCTGATGATCTCCTCGGCTCGACAAGTGGGAATGCAAATCGGGAGGCGCAAGCAGGGATACTGTATTATCTGGGTTCCGCGGTCTGGGTTGCACTCTGCGTGATTTGGCTCGCGCTTTTGATGAAATTCGCCGAGGATCTGAACAGGCGGAGAGCTGCTCACCAGCTGCGACAATCTATAAGTAGAGGCGGCACAGCAACGCCGATCGCTTTTGGGACGGAGTTGGACTTCCCTCAAGACGGCTCCGAGAATCAAAATGCTGCTCCTCGGCATGCCAGATACTTCCTGGCCCGCGACCGCGATCGTCAAGTAGCGGCTGCTCGTGAAGGTAGCGAGCCACCGGCGCCTCACGAAGACGTAAACTCGCCTACGGGAGCAGTGCCTGCTTCCAACAAGAATATGAGCATGGTCCTGGCAGTTGGAGATGAAATCCTTCCCAGTCCGCAGGACAGCACAAGCGGGAACACGCAGAGCCGCCTCCAGCACGGCGCCTCGGCTGTCCTCCATCGACTGACAGCTATTGCTACTGTGAGGATGCAGTTTGTCATCGGTGCGTCGGCTTTGATGCATGCGAGCCTTCTGAGCTACGACCTCTTGATTCTCCACTACTTGTGCACCCCGTTCATCGACAATCCATGTGTGTACCTGTGCATCGGACGCTGCCTTTTGGTGCTGCTCCACGCTGTGGCGAAGTCCGGCGCTTTTGAAGCTTTCCTCCGACAATGGGTCTTTCATCCGCGTATTCACGTGATCTTCGATTTCCGCCAGGCCTGGATGATATTCCTTGTTTACGCCGATCGCGTGCGCGACATCGGCAAGTACCTTGCTGCCGAAGATCCGGGTCGAATTGAAACGGAAAAAGTTTTCGTTCGCTTCAGTGACATGAATGGCCAGACCGTTGCCGACGGCCAAAGCGACGCGGATTTGCTATCCACAGCGGATGGGAGAAAAGCGGAGTTCTACCGACTTGCAACCAACGTACTAAACGACCTGTCCCTGCGCGCGGATCTCGAGTCTGCCCTCGAAAAAGTCGACAGCCCGTTTCTGCATGTGGATCTCAGCATGCCGCAGATCGAAGGCTGGCGCGTCGGCCGGCGGTACCGTGTGATCTTTCGAAGAGAGGTCATGGAGCAATCGTCGAAAACAGGCGGTGGATTAGTCGGACCAAAAACCATGGAGATCCGCGTCTACTCCAGCGGCAGGGCAATGATCACTGTGGACGGGAAAAAGCACGGCGACGCAGGAAGCATTGCAGCCTGGCACGCCGTCCACGACCTGCGTCGTAACAACAAGGGGCGGTCCGCGCCTGCGTATTTGCTGGTTACGTGTTTCGGAAACAACTTTGCGATGCGCTGTGACAATCATACATGTTCTTGCCCCTGTAAACGAGAGATATGCTTGGAACGCGTTATGTTATTGAACAACGGGAGAAACGCTTGCAGCGCTGAGAATTGTTGTGAATCAAAACTTAAACAGGTTTAAATGGCTGCGGGAAAGCATGCGCCGTTCATCTTACAGCGATTTTCTAACAGCAGTTGACCGACCCGAGTGGACAGCTCCTCGTATCTCCTACACCATCGAGGAACAGCGGTCCGGTGAGCCACAGCCACCGTCTGCTCCGCATGAAATTGACGATAACTCGCTTTCCGACACGAACTACATCGCGACCTTGTATGTTCTACCGCGCTTCCAGCTCGGCGCTAGTGGCTTGCACGACGACACGGCCGCACGGCCAGACGCGGCGGAGCGAGACCAGCAATACGCTGAGGCGTGTGCCTTTGTGCAGGCAGTCCAGCAGTTTACCAAGGTGTACGCTACCCACTCGACCGAGGATTTAAAATCAACCGGGCTGTTGGGCTTCGACGCGGATGATGACGAACTTGTCCGACACTACTACAACGCAATAGCGTCCTCCGACGCAGCCGTCTTCAAAAACTTCGAGCACCCCTGCGTTGTCATCCCGAGAAGGACCCGAAACGGAGGCTCACGACTCCGACAGTACGCCGCTTTTCAATGGTACTACCACGGAAATTGGGACTTCACCTCCCCCGCCGGAACCACCGCAGCACACCTCTCGTACGAGCACTACAGGGCAAAGCTCTTTGATGAGAGCCAATGGATTCGGGCAGCGCACTACATGCGATTTCGGCGGAGCGACGAAATGCGACCGCAACGACAACGGGACACGAATACCCAGCACGATGATCGCACGGGGCAGACCGGAGATGAAGGCTACAGCTTGGCTTTCTACTCCGAAGACGAACTTGCCGCGGAAGTGGGAGAGGAAGAGCAGGTCGGGGAGGCAGCAGGTGGAACCCAGAAGTTGGCAACGGTGGAAATGAAGGTCCTGACGAAGTTTGACGCCGCAAAAGCATCTACATCACGCGAGCCACCGACCCGGGCCCAGATGCTGCGCGGGTACGAGCGCCATTTCGTCAAGTATCTGTCGTAAAAGATCGCGGATGACACACGACAACACAGGGTCGCACTCACACCTTTGCATTTTTATATCTCTTCGCTCTACTACAACAAATATTGGTTTTGAATTTTCCGAATTATAGGAATAGCCGTCATTCGAAAAGTGAAAAAGTGTGTTTTTGCGTGAAACCACACCAAAATCGTAGATCATGTTTTTTGTACAATTGATACCGTATCAAAGTTGGCTGATTCTAGTAGTGCGCGAAAAAGGTAAGTAGGTTCGTACTGTATGATTGTATTTGCCTCGGTTTGAAGTGCTGCGCCGAAAACGTAACTTTACTCTGTTTCTTTCCGATCTCGATCATCTAGTTTTTTATTAATTTAAGCGACAAACGAATCTTCGCGCTCATTTGATGTGCCGCGACAAACTGTGCGAAAAAATGTATCCAAATCTGTTTCGATCATCTCTGTAGTGGCACACTAAAATAACCGATTTTCTTGCCCATTCTCGAATAAGCCCCTGCAGCGCCAGCGGGAAACCAAAAAACTATAGAAGCTTGACCGGGCGAGTTGCCAAAAATGAACATCAGCAGCAAAGAGTGCGCAGCAAAGAGATTGTCGTGCTGCGTCTGGAGAATAATCGCAGGTAGGCAGAAAAGACTCACACCTTCACGTAATGGGTTGGCTGCCTGCTCTACCTGTTGCGTTGTTCTGTTGTTGATGAGGATCGCCGTTCGTTGTGTTGTTTGCCTTCCTGACACTACTTGGTCTTGGACCTCGCGGGAACATGAGTGGCAGACTTGTCACTCACGACTAGTTCAGTTCCTCAAAACTGCACTGCATTGTTCCGCTTAACAAGTCTGTATCACGTGTTTTTGTGTTACTGTGTGTTTTAATTTCGTCAAAGAAAAGCCAACTCCTTCAGCCGGAGTCAGAGCGTTCGCGATTTCCATTTAAGTATGTTATTTCGGCAGTGCTAAAATTGGCATCATAACAAAAGTCGTAATTTTCTGCATCTTGTCGTGCCTTTGGTACCTACCACCGGGGATGAAGGAGCGGAGGCAAAGTGGCTGATAGGGAAAGTCCAAGCTAGGCCCTGTAAACAAGTACGTTTGCAAATGTTTTTTTTGCTCCAGAAGTAGCCGGAAAACAAGGAAACATCTTTTCCGCGACGTGCTACTCTGCTTCCAGTGGACTTGCTCAAAGATTCCACTGCCCTCCGTATATTCTTCTCCAATGTCTACCACAGCATGCGGAGATGTGTTGTATAGTTTCGCTTTCGAAATGTTGAAAATCAAGCCACAAACCAAAGACAACACCTGTCGCATGTCATGGCGCGTGTCTTCGAGCCCGGCGGAGGGGTAGCGGAGACCAAATCGCAAACAGCAATAGTCTAATGTAGGTCGTGCGAGAAAATGTTCTCGCGAATTTTGATTTTTTGTTTCAAAATCCGCACCCACAGATAACATATGTTTCCCGCATGGTGCTCTGATCCCGGTTGACCTTCTCAAGGCCTCCGCTGCCCCTCCGTAGTGTGGGCCAATATTTACCCCAGCATGCGGAATAGATGTTTTTTTGATCTCGGTTTGAAAATGTTGAAAATCATACACCAAACCTAAAAGAACTTTCGCCGCCTGGTATGGCGCGTTTGGTAGATCCCGCCGGAGGGGTAGCGGAGGCCAAGTGGCTACCAGTAGTAGTCCAATTTAGGTCGTGCGAGAAAATGTTCTCGCGAGTTGTGACTTTTTGGTCCAAAATCCGCACCAACCTAAAATATATGCTTTCCGCATGCTGCTCTGGTTTTGTTGGACCTCCTCGAGGCCTCCGCTGCCCCTCCGTAGTCTTGACCAATGTCTACCATAGCATGCCGATTCAAGGCGTTTTTGATTTCGGCCTCAAAATGTTGAAAAGCTATGCCCAAATCAAAAACAACATTCGCCGCATGATACGGCGCGTTTGGTCGAGCCCGCCGGAGGGGTAGCGGAGGCCAAGTGGCGAGCAGTGGTAGTCCAATTTAGGCCGTGCGAGAAAATATTATCGCGACGTGCATTTTTTTGGTCAAAAAGCCGCATCAACGCAAAATATATGTTTTCCGCACAGTACTCTGATCCCGACTGATCTCCTCGTAGCCTCCGCTGCCCCTCCGTAGTGTGGGCCAATATTTACCCCAGCATGCGGAATAGATGTTTTTTTGATCTCGGTTTGAAAATGTTGAAAATCATACACCAAACCTAAAAGAACTTTCGCCGCCTGGTATGGCGCGTTTGGTAGATCCCGCCGGAGGGGTAGCGGAGGCCAAGTGGCTACCAGTAGTAGTCCAATTTAGGTCGTGCGAGAAAATGTTCTCGCGAGTTGTGATTTTTTGGTCCAAAATCCGCACCAACATAAAATATATGCTTTCCGCATGCTGCTCTGGTTTTGTTGGACCTCCTCGAGGCCTCCGCTGCCCCTCCGTAGTCTTGACCAATGTCTACCATAGCATGCCGATTCAAGGCGTTTTTGATTTCGGCCTCAAAATGTTGAAAAGCTATGCCCAAATCAAAAACAACATTCGCCGCATGATACGGCGCGTTTGGTCGAGCCCGCCGGAGGGGTAGCGGAGGCCAAGTGGCGAGCAGTGGTAGTCCAATTTAGGCCGTGCGAGAAAATATTATCGCGACGTGCATTTTTTTGGTCAAAAAGCCGCATCAACGCAAAATATATGTTTTCCGCACAGTACTCTGATCCCGACTGATCTCCTCGTAGCCTCCGCTGCCCCTCCGTAGTGTGGGCCAATATTTACCCCAGCATGCGGAATAGATGTTTTTTTGATTTCGGTTTGAAAATGTTGAAAATCATGCACCAAACCTAAAAGAACTTTCGCCGCATGGTATCGCGCGTTTGGTAGATCCCGCCGGAGGGGTAGCGGAGGCCAAGTGGCTACCAGTAGTAGTCCAATTTAGGTCGTGCGAGAAAATGTTCTCGCGAGTTGTGATTTTTTGGTCCAAAATCCGCACCAACGTAAAATATATGTTTTCCGCATGCTGCTCTGGTTTCGTTAGACCTCCTCGAGGCCTCCGCTGCCCCTCCGTAGTCTGGACCAATGTCTGCCGAAGCATGCGAAATAGATGTCCTAGTCTTTTTGGCTTTGATTATTTCAAAATGCTGGAATTCAGTCTCCAAACCAAGAACAACACTCGCCGTATGGCATGGCGCATGTAGTGCGGCTCAACGTCGCTGGACATCAAAGTTGAATGAAATGGCGCAACGGCATGACGACCCACGAAACCAAGACTATCGCAAAAGAAAGCGGCGTTTGCTGAGCCTGAAGCTGAGCAGCAGCTTCCTTGTGTTGCTACTTATATTTCCGCTGCGAACCGTCGGAATATGCGAATTGGGTTGCAGTCTTCCGTAGGGATTGCAGCAAATGTATTTGTATCGCCATCGCGTTAGTAGTAAAAATGCATCGCCGCGACAGATAAATTTTTTCAAAAGCAAAAATGAAATCTTCATCTGTAATGCTGATATATGAATAAATAGCCTCAGGCGGCAAGGAGGTATCGCAATCAGTACGGGCGCGATACTTTTGCACAGGATATTCCACTCCAGAGCCCGTGCGACGGGACTTTCGTTTCCCTACGAACACACGGAAGAGGCGTTCGCATTCGCGATGATCTCCAGGTGCCGGCAGCTCAAGGTGAAGCGGTTCAGGTTTTCAGAAATGACAGAATTTCCGCCGCTCGACGTCCTGGTGACCACGACAAAGAAAAAGAAGCCCTAAGTGGTACTGGTCCCGCAGCTGCTTCTGAAGATGAAAATACATCTGAACTTTTCTACTTCGAGATCGTCTGTCGTGGTTACGACTCGATTGCCGAAACTGCCCATGAAAGCGCAAGCGGGTACGTGTTCTTCAGCCTGTGCAATGGGTCCCCGTTTTACTACCGGAGATTTTGCGAGCCCGGGCTGCTGTCGTGGTTGGATGTGTACAGTCCCCTCGGGTTTATGTTCGTGATGTTTTCGGATTTGCAAAACACGTGGCTTTTCCGTCCCGTGCGAAACGTGGTCGCGCCAAAGTTAGAAAATGGACCACGACCAGGCCACGTCGGTCCAGACGAAGCTCTGAGTATGACTCAGAGGACAAGCCGCGACCTGATGACCGCAACTTCCGCCTCCATCCGCAGAAAAAATACGAATAATGTGCGGCTCTTTCGCTTCGTCAAGCATGGGGATGTTGCGACCAGTGACAACGCCGCCACACAGAGGTATAACGGCAAGTACAACGGCGGATTGTTCTACGAACGCTTGAGACACTTCGTGACCGTGCGCGGACGCTGGCAGCGAGAAAATAAACTTGTCGCGCAAGAGGACCAAGACAAAGGCTACTTTCTCCTAGATGCCGACTGCCTGCACGTGCGAAGCCAGATTCCGCTCTACGGCTCGAGGAACGACGCGGAAGACGCTTTTGACGTCGCACTCGGCGTCTACGCAAGAGACCAGCAAGTGCCTTGGATCCGACGACCAGGGGAAGACGAGCCACCTAGCGGGCCGACTTCTAGGGAAACACTACAAGGACAACTTCTATTGGATTCACCACCTCCGCGAAATGTTGCAACAGGCAGGAGCGACTCGAAGTCGTCGGCAGTGGGTACTAGTCGGAGGCACGATGTTGACGAGGACGGCTGTCCCCTTTTCACGACAAACAATCTGCTCCGACAGATGCGGGCACTGGAGTTCGAGGAAAAGGCTTTCGGGTGGTCGTCCTCCTTTTCAAGGGGTAGATCAGCGTGGTGGAGCGGGGCGAACGCCAAATCTTCCGAGCAGACAAAGGCGAGCGGTGAAGCAGACAGCATCGACAAAGACAGAGCTCCGCCGCATTGTCTATGATTTGCGAACATGGCTGGGTCTGGAACAGTGCAAACTTGTCGTGACGGTGGCTCGTCTGAATCATGACGAAAATCTGTACTGCATGAGCAACGGAAGCAGTCTCATTCTCAGACAGCTTCCGTTGCTACTCGGAGGAGAGGACATTTCTCATTCAGGATAGGCAAGAAGAACTCCTCGTGAAGAGACCCAGACATAGTTGCCATACATACTTTCTGTTGCGACTCAACGGCGGATTTCTCTTCGTGAAAGCAAACGCAAAGGGCAAGCAGTACCTGCAGCTCGTGCAGGAATTAAGCGCCTACTTCATGCGGGTTGGCGATTGCAATCCAGGCGCGGCAGTGACCCTCGAGACGCACAGAAGCCTATGAGGGTGCACAACTACCTCCTACTTCCTCTCATTTGTGATGCAGATGCACGTCCATGAACATCAATTATACAGGTGTTGGCAAGAATCAGAGTACACGCTCCGCATGACAACTGGATGCGGTATGTTGCCTGACAAATGAGGAGAAGGGGGAGTGGCAGTTGCGCACTCTCATCAAACTTGTTGAGAATGCAGAAGGAATTTCAAGAAAGAGAGGAGCCTGCAAGTATCCTGAGGAAAGACGTTCCCACCCCGTAGGAATGATGAGGAGGGCGTGGATTTTGCTACAAAGATCAACGTGCTACTGCTATTCTGGACCTGGACGTGGACGTTGCGCATGACAACTTTGAATTCGCATCGTCATAGGGAGTACCTAGCTAGTCAGTACGGCTACACCACGAATCGATCTTGACATGCTGATTACTTACAGCAGGAGAACTTCCAAAAAACAACGTAGGGGTAGAGCGATATTTTTCCACTGAAAAGCAGGTTCTACTTTCCCGCTGATGCGAAAGTATTTTCCCGAATTTTTTGAGGACCCGGCGTACGGCTTGCTCGTAAATCGCGCGTTCCGTGGACCGGACCAAGCGGCCTTTGCGCATCTTCTCTTGCCCCCAACACAAGGTAGAAACAGCGTCACTGGTGTCGCGGCTGCAAAAAATGCGACAACAAACAACGCCGAGCGCCGAAAGCTGCGTGTTGACCTCTTGCAAAGGCTGATGGAGTTTCTGAACGCGGAGACAAACGCTTGGCCGCTGTTGGACTTTTTCAACACTGACAGAAACGTAAAGACTTCGCCCGATACGTTTTTGGCGCTTCAACACAACGACCACTTCTTCCCAGACTCTGTAAAAACGAGTAACCCAGAGATCGCGAGAGCGCGACTACTTCCTATCGATCGAGTGCTACACTCGGACTCGCTCTCCGATTCCGGCGCCCTCGCACCCTACACCTACGCCGTGCATCTGAAGGGCAAGCGCTTTTTCGAGAGTTCATTGAAGATGGACGCTTTGATAAAATGCTACGCAGTGTTTGCGCACGACTTTCACGAGCGGCGCAAGCGAATAGTAGACAAGCCACCATCGCCTACTTTTTCAGCTAGCTCCGACGAGGAGGGGGAAGAAAGTCGGTTCTTGATTGCTCCCCCCACCACTTTTTCCGGATTGATGCAGGCTGCGGTGAGGTTCGTGACAAGTACAAGATCGACACGGGGAAAAATGCAATTGACTGCACCGCACGGACAAGAGCCAGGGGTTGCTTCTGCGGCTGGCCCCCGCGGACTACAGAGAAGTCGTCGCGAAGACATGCGATTTGCGGAGAAGCTGCAGCGGTTTCGGAACGCAACGAGAATAAATCCCAAAACTTTCTTTCCACCGGAAAGCAAGAGAAGCAACAAGCTAGAGCTTTGGGACGATAGCCGGGGCACGGTGGTGGAAGTATTTGCAAAGAACAGCGCGCAAAACAACTCGTCTGCTGAAGCGATAGGATCTTCGCCCAAGTCTCCGTCTAGAGATAAATCATCATCTTGGGGCACGTGGTATCCATTGGAGGAAAGGTATCGTGCTAGTACACGTCACATGTCGATAAATTTTCCAAGAAGGAAAGGTGAAATGCTTGCTGCTGAGTTAAGCAGTGGGAAACCAGATCTGTCATGCTTATGCTGTACTGGAACTGATAACTACTACATCTACAATTGGTACGGGCACGATACTTGTTTTGCCTTGGACACGTGGCAAATGCGGCGCGCTTCCTGTGCTCGGTTTGCCCAAATGGTGGCATCAACAGAACTATGACTTGCAAAAGCATCGCACTCGTATAAATGCGTATACAAATTTTCTCAGCGTGAGAAATAAAATTTGTGATGCGGATTTACCTTGACACAAAAATTTGTAAACCATGATTGCAATTACTACGAGTACTATATTTTTGCACAGGATAGGAACGCAGAGTCACATGGAACTGGCAGAGTCTCGCGCTTTGGCTCAAGTACGCAATGTCTGCAGAAATGCTCGCTGTAGGACAGTGGAGATAGTACGGCGAGGCCGGGTCAGATATCAATTTTTTCACACCGAGAGCACAGAGCAATATGGGATCAACCGCAAAGGACATCGAAAAAAGGTTGTAAAAAATTGATGCACCTTGCGCGATAAACTAATACCCAGGGCTTCAGTGATCTAAATCAAAATCATCCGAGACGCACTTCCATTCATCTTGTCGAACAGTAATAACTATAGCCTAATTTTGTTCGAGCGAGAAAATATTTTCGACAGGTGCGATTTTTTGGTCCAAAATCTTCAACAAAGAAAAAACCAACCACTTGCCGCACAGTATGACGCGTTTCGTCGATGCCGCCGGAGGGGTAGCGGAGGCCAAGTGGCGACCAGTAGTAGTCCAATTTACGTCGTGCGAGAAAATGTTCTCGCGAGTTGTGATTTTTTGGTCCAAAATCCGCACCAGCGCAAAACATATGCTTTCCGCATGCTGCTCTGGTTTAGTTGGACCTCCTCGAGGCCTCCGCTGCCCCTCCGTAGTCTGGACCAATGTCTACCATAGCATGCCGATTCAATGCGTTTTTGATTTCGGCCTCAAAATGATGAAAAGCTATGCCCAAATCAACAACAACATTCGCCGCATGGTACGGCGAGTTTGGTCGAGGCCGCCGGAGGGGTAGCGGAGGCCAAGTGGCGAGCAGTAGTAGTCCAATTTAGGTCGTGCGATAAAGTATTATCGCGAGGTGCAATTTTTTGGTCAAAAAGCCGCATCAACGCAAAATATATGTTTTCCGCACAGTACTCTGATCCCGACTGATCTCCTCGTAGCCTCCGCTGCCCCTCCGTCGCCTGGGCCAAAGTTTATCGTAGCATGCGGAAGACATGTTTTTCCAATTTCGGTTTGAAGATATTGAAAATCGAGCCCCAAAACAAAAAGAACCTTTGCCGCATGGTACGGCGCGTTTGGTCGAGCCCGCCGGAGGGGTAGCGGAGGCCAAGTGGCGACCAGTAGTAGTCCAATTTAGGTCGTGCGAGAAAATGTTCCCGCGAGTTGTCATTTTTTGGTCCAAAATCCGCAACAACACAAAATAACCATTTTCCCCACGCTTCGCTGATTTCGCCGGACCTTCCCAACCCCTCCGCTGCCCCTCCGCAGTCTAGGCCAATGTCTACCACAGCATGCGGGATACGGGTTTTTTTGATTTTGATTTCAAATTGTTGAAAATCGACCCTGAAATCAAAAACAACATTCGCCGCATGGTACGGTGCCAGTGGTCGAGCCCGGCGGAGGGGTAGCGGAGGCCACATGGCAGAAAGTAATTGTCCAATTTAGGTCGTGCAAAAAAATACTTTCGCGCATTGTGATTCTTTGGGCCAAAATCCGCAACAAAACAAAATAGTCATTTTCCCCACGCTACGCTGATTTCGCCGGACCTCCCCGACCCCTCCGCTGCCCCTCCGTAGTCTAGGCCAATGTCTACCACAGCATGCGGAATAGTGGTTTTTTTGATTTTGATTTTAATTTGTTGAAAATCAACCCTGAAATCAAAAACAACATTCGCCGCATGGTACGGCGCCAGTGGTCGAGCCCGGCGGAGGGGTAGCGGAGGCCACATGGCAGAAAGTAATTGTCCAATTTAGGTCGTGCAAAAAAATACTTTCGCGCATTGTGATTCTTTGGGCCAAAATCCGCAACAAAACAAAATAGTCATTTTCCCCACGCTACGCTGATTTCGCCGGACCTCCCCGACCCCTCCGCTGCCCCTCCGTAGTCTAGGCCAATGTCTACCACAGCATGCGGAATAGTGGTTTTTTTGATTTTGATTTTAATTTGTTGAAAATCAACCCTGAAATCAAAAACAACATTCGCCGCATGGTACGGCGCCAGTGGTCGAGCCCGGCGGAGGGGTAGCGGAGGCCACATGGCAGAAAGTAATAGTCCAATTTAGGTCGTGCAAAAAAATACTTTCGCGCATTGTGATTCTTTGGGCCAAAATCCGCAACAAAACAAAATAGTCATTTTCCCCACGCTACGCTGATTTCGCCGGACCTCCCCGACCCCTCCGCTGCCCCTCCGTAGTCTAGGCCAATGTCTACCACAGCATGCCGATTAGTGTTTTTTTTGATTTTGATTTCAAATTGTTGAAAATCGACCCTGAAATCAAAAACAAGATTCGCCGCATGGTACGGCGCCCGTGGTCGAGCCCGGCGGAGGGGTAGCGGAGGCCACATGGCAGAAAGTAGTAGTCCAATTTAGGTCGTGCAGAAAAATACTTTCGCGCATTATGATTTTTTGGGCCAAAATCCGCAACAAAACAAAATAGTCATTTTCCCCACGCTACGCTGATTTCGCCGGACCTCCCCAACCCCTCCGCTGCCCCTCCGCAGTCTAGGCCGATGTCTACCACAGCATGCGAAATAGTGGTTTTTTTGATTTCGGTTTGAAAATATTTAAAGTCGATGCCCAAACCACAAACAACATTTGCCGCATACTATGGCGTGTTTGGTCGAGCCCGCCGGAGGGGTAGCGGAGGCCAAATGGCAACCAGTAATATGCAGAATTTAGGTCGTCATAAGAAATACTTTCGCGAGTTGTAATTTTTTGCACCAAAATCCGCAACAAAGCAAAGTAGTGACTTTCCCCACGCTGCTCTGGTTTTGGCGGACCTCCTCGGAGCCTCCGCTGCCCTTCACTGCCTAGTCCGGACCAATGTCTACTACAACGTTCTCGTGAGATCGTATCGACTTTATTTCAGCAAAAAGTAGGAAGACTGAGGCTGTCGCAGGGATTTGTTATATTCTCGATTCGTGGTGGTCTAGAGTAGCGCACGAGTTGTGTCTTTGTCCTTTCGTGCTCGATCGACTCGTCTTTTGAATCCAGTCGCACTACCAGTCGTCAGTTTGTAACCCCGTCAGTTGGGTATGGGTAAGTCATTCACTCACTCAGTCATGATACCACTTCCATTCCTGCGATCTGTACATGCATCGTTGCTTCGACATCGAGTCGTTTTGCGTGGGTGTCCTCGCGGTTTCGTTTTCTTGTGAAAAGTTTATTCTGGTTTTCTTTCTGCAGACACGAAAAAATTTGAAAGCCATAGATGACATCATAGCTTCCGCTTCGAAGAGCAAAAGTACCTAGGAGTTCTTGTGCTTCAAATACTAATGTTGCTGTGATAATTCCATCGAGTTTAAGTTTTTCGTTTTTTTCCAGCAGTGGTGCAAAGTATAACGGCAAGAGAATCAGAATGTCTTTCGCCCCTCCTTTCGGGATACACCACCTTGCATTCGTGGCGGTCTCGGTGTTGCATGTGACACATTCTCTCGGGCGAGCATTGCCGAGCATGTTGCGGGAACTGCAGTTGCAGTTGGAGGCTTCTCGTAACGACCCCACTCCCAACAACCTGTCGTCTCACCTGGCTCGTTTCGTGCGGAACGTGCCACAGGTCGTAGCCTACGACGCACTCTACGCGGACGGTGCGCTCCGCACCGGAGTACACACGGGAGCAGTGGAGCTGTGTTGCCATTTCTTGGTCGACCTCTACGTGGTTACCTACCTGACCGGAAAATTTCTGGGCCTTTTTGGTGCGGATCCACAGTGGCACGTTCCGGTCTGGCGTCTCGCGTCCGCCGACGAGGTGTGGCTTGTCTGCCTGCCGTTCGTTGCGCTGCAAATAACCGCGAATACCATTCCCGGTGAGATGTACGTTGCACTGACGGTCTTGGCTGCTTGGCAGATTGCAATGATTGTCTTGCTGCTTTTGATCATGTATCGAGAGCAGTACGAACAACGAATCGCACTTGCGCCTTCAGCGGAGGAGCCAACAGCAAGCCACTGCAATCGTGAGCACGGCGCGGCTGGTGACGCTGGTCAAGTGCAAGAGCGAGTTGATCAGCGCGATGAGTCGGATGCTGCGCTTGCGAGTCAAGCACAAGATGAACGTGTCCATCATTGTCCTGGCCGGAAAATAAGCGTGCCGCGCATCATCATGCTGCCATACCTCGCTCATCCATTTACTTCTAGGCAGGCTCTTGTCTTGGCACTGGTCGCGGTAATTTGGTGCTGCCTTTTCAGCGTCAGGACGAAGCCGACGAGCTCATTTTGCTGTGGCCGTTCGTCTCCGCTGGTACCACTCTGCTTCCTGCACTTGCAGCCTCTTTACAAAGAAACCTGAACTTCGATCTGCTGCTGTTGGTTCTGTGCTACACGGTCACGAGTGTTTTTTCGGGTCACCATGCGGACTTTTGGTATTGCCTGCAACGCGCCCTTCTGCCGTTTGCGATCGACATCCACGCTAGCAGCTGCGAAGTTGCGGGTGTTATTTCCGCATCGCGATTGCTTCTGGCGCGGATTGAAAGGCGTGTGGGACGCTTTTTCGGCGAAGCGCGCAAGACCTTTTTGCTTGCCAAGGACAGCCGCCGGACGCCAATGGCTTTCGTACGCTTCAGCGACCTTGCGGACCGCACCATCGTCGAAGGCCATTGTCAAGCTGATCGCCTGGCTGCGCCGGGCGGGAACGAAGCTGAATTGTTGCGACTGGCAGCCGAGGTTCTCGGCTGCCTGACTGCCCGCGCGGATCTCGTGCGCGACCTTGACGCAGAAAATAGTCCGTTCCTGCATGTCGATCCGAATCCCCCAAGGATAGATGGCTGGAACATCGGCAACCGTTACCGGGTAGTTTTTCGGCTAGAGGTGCTAATGGCCAAGCCGCGCGGCCGACACGCGCAGGAAGGCTCCGGTGAGACAAAAGCGCTAGAGATACGAATCTACTCTAGCGGCAGAGCCGTGGTTACTCTGGATGGCGAAAAACACGGGTGCGCCGGGACAATAGCGATGTGGACGCCATCACATTTGCGTCTTTGTGAAAAAGGCGAGCGCAAGTACATAGAATCTTTTTGCTGTGATGCAGTTTCGACGAGAGGCATTGTACTTTTTAATCTTGGAGTTCTTCCGCTTCTTGTTAAAACGCAATCATGAAAATAAAAAGGATTGATGCAACAATACGACCCACTTCAAATTTATTCTTGACAAAACTGATCCACCAGGTGGTTGCATTTCTGGGGGGTCCCCAACAATGCGGAAGAGTACGAGCGTGGACTTGACAAGCCAATCAAGATGTGTCTCGCATATGCTGCTGAGCACGTGGGCTTGGGCACACCCGCTTCTGCAGGCAGCACCAACGAAATCGCACGGTGCGACGAGACGAACGCTATTGAGTTGTACATCCTACCGCCTTTCCGTCCCCGAGAATACGACGACATCAGCAGCGCGCCGATGGAAAGAGACATGCAAGTTTTTGGAGCACGATCTCGGCAATGCAGAGAACTTCTCTGCTTTCGCGATGCTGTTGCGCGTTTCCGACGACGATACTCCTGCTCTATGAACTCCTCGATGGATTCGGACGCAAACGGCTTTCAAGGCTTCGACGCGGCGAACCCCGTCCTTCTTCAGTACTACTACGACACAGTACTTTCAGAAGACCCCCCCTTCGACTACGACAGGACATTGAGAAGCTACCTTTTTCCATACCGAAGGTACCACGACTACCCGCCGTACCACGAGTACAAACGAGAGCCAGACCCGCGCTATTACCGTTCGCCCGTCTCCGCAGATGATCAAGCACGATCCGTTTCGCTGGCACGCGAGCTCCGCAGCAAGAGTGCTTGGCTCACGGCTGCCTACTACGTGCTGGCAAGCGAACACCGCAGGCTGCTGTTCTTCCCCGAAGACCAAGGTGAAAGTTTTCCAGGTCTCGAGCAAACCTCCGACGGCCCGGAAGTGGCGGAGAGGGAGAAGCCGGACGGAACAGACTTCGAAGCGCCGGAAGAGGACGACGACAGCATTATGAGCGACACGGAGGAATTCGGGCACGACGCGAGCGAAGAGGAGGCGGAATCCGAGCTGGTGGAAGCCCATCAAGCATCGGACCGCGAGCAGCACACGGTTGATTTCGAGGTCAAGGTCATTATTCGTGCGGAAGACGCGGCCGGGGGCTCCAGCAAAATCGAGCCTACAAAAGGGACTAGTGGACGGGTTCCACTACAAAAATTACTACAAGTACACGTAGTACAACTACGTGCCACGACGAACGTAGGACGTCACCGACCGAGGTTGGAGCTCCTGAAGTTTCTCTGAAGAACTAAATCACAACTACTTATCCCAGGAGACGCATTGAAGACGTCATTATAACTGAGGCAGAATCTGGTTCTTGAGCCGAGAAATAGCAGAAGAAAAAAAGATCCCAGCAGAATGTTGCGAATCCTCGGTCTCGCTTCCTTTCTATAGCTTCAGGACTGGTGAAAGAAATTAAAAAACTCAAATGCAGCGCTACGGCAACAAAACCTCTTTCATTCTTCCGTCACTGTGTCTGGGCGTGGCGTCAAATATCCAACGCCCCAAATAGGCGATCCTTTGCAATTTCATCACTATAAATCTATCTTCGGGTATTGTGGACATATGATCCGGAAAAGAAGGAAATTAGCAACGCATGACGTGCTGATGAGCGAGCAAGGATCAAGTGAAGAGATCACGTTCTAGTACTTGTACTACGCCAAGAATGACAACACTATAACAACATGAATCACGAAAATGATGCCGCTGGTTATCCTAGTGATCAACGTCGCAATAGTCAAGGCCTGAGCTAGCCAAATAGGGCGAAATCACGCACAACAGTGCCGGCATTCCGAGCGCGAGCAGATCACAGGCATTGATTACTACTTCGCGCTGCAAGAACAACAAGAATAAACAGCCTCAACCTCTTACAAAAATTGACTCTGAACAGATTACGACTAGTTTGACTCGTCAAAGCCGAGTAAACCTACGTCCTCCTATTTCTCGGTCTAACTTTATCGGCTATAAAGCCTCTCTCGACACGGACACGGATACAAACATCAAGCAAGTGTGCGTATCTACATCAAAATTTTGAATCGATTTGAATTTTACAGCTACATTCACAGTCGATTTAGTTGACGTCAGTTTTTTCCATGGATACTCCAGAAAACATGCCTTTTCGCAAAGGAGTCCTCCCGCAGGACCGGGCGCTGGCGAAAACAAGAGCCAATTTCATGCTGGTCCTGGGTCTGCTTGTGTGTATGCTTCCGACGTCGCACGGTCTACTCGCGGCGCCAGGTCAACATGGAGGTCGAGGACGTGCCTTAGCTTCATTGTCCTCTGACGCATCACACGAGGACCATGCAGGACGATCCCGCAGCCGCAGCCGCACGCCGCCACGTGGATTGCGGCCGCAGGAAGACCACCCCGCAGCCGCACGACAGCAGGTGCAGGCTCTTGTGATTGGTGAACACCACGATATGCCGCTCGCAGACCCTCTTCGTTGGATGTTGCGAAAACTCGCGGAGGAAAAGCAAATCGAGTTATTCGAGGGAGGTACACTGGTGGCTGAGGATGACCCGGACGGCGAATTACATTCGTTTCAGATGGAAACCGCGTCGTTTTCTATTGTAGCCCTTGGTGGGAGGCCCGACGGCCCTTGGGACCCAAAGATACCTTCAGCGCTCGCAGAAGCTGCAAGAAGAAGCTCCGTGCTCGAAAGGTTCCTACAGGGCCTCCGAGATGGCAAAACAAACGCGGAAAAAAAAGACCTCTTGCAACTTGCAAATCAGGCGATGTTGCGGAAAATTAAAAATCTCCCCGGGGGGAACGATAACGATAACGAAGGTGGGCAGCAGCACGGGGTCCTCAGCGGCGGTTCCGCTAGTAGCGGGGAAGACCCTTCTTCACGCTGGACATTCGTCTCTGGCTCAGGCTTCACAAACATGGACGAACCAGGCTCCGGCTTCACGGAGAATGATTATCATTTGGTAAGACGCCCCGACCCCAGAGTTGTAATGCAAGTCTGCATGCTGAGAATGTTTCTCATGCGAAGACCCATGAGAAGCAGTTTCTAATCGTGTTTTGGGATTTGTGATGCTAGAATCAGCACGTTATGCTAGATCTGTGATGCTGCTGAACAAGCTAAACCGGATTACACTACGATGCCAAACTTGTCATGCGCAACAGCAAAAGCTGACAGATCTGTCTAGCAGATTTCGCATCTCCACTCTGGTGTGGGGACGTTTTTACTCAGAATAATGATGTGCAGTTGCTCATGGAGGAGTTAAGGTTCAGCGTCGGTGTAGTACCATCCGTGGTCCACCCCGGAGAAGATGTTGCCGATAGCGGACGACCCAAATCGACGCAGCTAAAACCACGCAGTGACGCCGATATTTATTTACTATCGCAAGGGCGCCGGACCTTCAGGGAGCTGATTGACGGGTTCATCTCGGAGATGAACCTCCACACGAGTAGAGCCTCACCGCTGAATCGCGAGCAGCATGGGCTTGAAGATTTTGTCGGAATATTGAATAGGTGCCTCGGACTCGAACAGCGCGGATTGCTTGAAAGCGATCCAGCAGAACGGGAACGGCAACTTGCCCAGCTCGTCTCGGAGAGACTTGCCGAGGGACCTGATTTGATGGAATGTTTGTCCAAAGACCTCAAAGAAGTGCCCGGCCGCGTGGCGCTGCTGATGGCGGGACTACAGGCTATCCGGGAGAAATATGGCATTGTTCTCAACTGTTACATTCTCAACTGTAGTTACACGGATTTGTCATGCAAAATTGCCATCGCCCTCGACTTGATCAAGGTGCTTAGCATGACAAAAAATTTTCGAAGGGCTAAGCAGCATGATATTAATCGGTGGAAAATCTGTAATGCGAGAGCTACGAAAATCTTGCCACTTTCACTGTTGCTGTAGTTCCTGCATATACAAAAATCCATGTAAAAACCGTTGAGAGTGTAAAAACATTTGAGAACGCCATGAGAAGCTGGCAGAAGAGGTTTGCGAGAAATATTTTTCAGACCAGAAGACAGACGGCCGCGGGGGCTCTCGCTCTGCCTCAGCATCCGCGGCCGGAACCTCGTCGCGTTATAATTCCTGGCCACAAAACTGGCCTGCGCAAGACCGGCTCTCCGAAGGGGAGCAGCTCCAGATTCGGTTGCTGTGCAGAAAAGGCATTTACAAAGAAGAGCTCACTCTTGGCAAAGACGATAGCAACAGGGGTGGGAAAGGTCTTTTTACGAAGACGAGAAACCTCGTTTGGATTCTGCGCGTGCTGGACAAGTGGGCCAAGCAGGGCGAGCTTCACCAAGTAGAACGTCGGGGTGCTTGGTATCCTGAGTAAAAACGTACCCATACCAGAGTTGTAATGCAGATTTGCAAAGACAGGAAGACTTGTAATGCGCATCCCCATGAGAGCCATTTCCAGTCGTGTTTTGGAATTTGTGATGCTGTGAACAGGGTGAGCAGATGAATCTGTGGCGCGGCTGCACTTGCTAACCTGCACTGCGCTGCATAGTGCAACTTGTCACGCGTGACTCACCCTTGTCATGCGTGACTAATGTCCCGCCCGCAGGAGCGCAGTCTGTTTATGTCATGCGTGACTCACAAAACTCCTAGGTTTGTGCTGCAAAATCCCCATCCTGACTCTGGTGTGGGTACGCTTTTACTCAGGACACTTGGTCGCGGTTCCTTAGTACGGGTCGACGGTCGTCCCACGCGAAACTCGTCCTTCCGAAGGTCTTTGTCATGGGCAAAACGCACGTATCGCACTTCAAGCGCCGGCTACAGGAAGCGCGCCCCGACTTGCAAATCCAGGTTGCGGAGCTGAGCAGCGAGCGTGTCTGTCTGTCGGACATGTCGGACGTGTCGAACGAATTCATCAGATCAATTTACTTGACCTCGGGCCCTTTCTACAAACAGTGGTCCGAGCTTGGGCGCGAGCTTGATTCATCTCAAAAAGGCCTTGCAACAATATCAAATGTAAAAATGTCTGGGTCTGGAAGCATGCAACTTGTGACGCTGCGTCTGGATTCTACAAAAATCTTTATTGTATGAAAAGCAAAAGAGGTTCAGTCTTTGCCACGCCGAGAGGGTATTTCTCATGCGCTATAGGCATCAGGAGGCCCTCACAAAATCTGTGATGCTAGGGCATGCATCAGCATCACAAACATCAGAACTCATGCAAAATGTGCACGACAAACCTTGCATCCTTCCAGACCCAGACACTTCTGCATTTGATAAACAGAACTGTTGGACGAAATCCGAGAGAATATCCGGACACAACAAGAAGATGAAGATGAATCCGACGATAAATTCGAACATGAAGAATCCAGACATGAATCCGTTGTCGCTTCGAGTTTGAAAAGTAAATTCTTGGAATTTGTTCGCGAGACGAAAACAAGTGCTAGTGCAGAAGATGAGCTAGAAGGTGTGCTGAACTGGAGCCGGTGGGAGTATGTTAAGGACGGCAGGCTTGTGCACTGGTCAAACGCCGAGGGATTGATAGCGGTTCTCCGATTCCTGGCGACTAACGTCAAGACAAAAAATCCAGGCTGCAGCAACTGCGCCGTGATGTGAGTTTTGACGAATTTGAGTCGTGGAGGTCTACCTGGCGTGGCTGCGAAGATTGATGATTATTTGAAAGAAGTCCTTGTGAACTACGCGCCATTGGCAAAGAACTCGAATAATAGGAGAAGTGGAGGTGGTGGAAGAGGCGGCGTGCGCAATCGACGAATGGAGAAGATTTCAAAAGAAGAACTACGTGTACAATAATGTCAACCAGACGGAAAAACCGACGAAGATTCTGTAAAAAAATGAATTTTGGATTGCAAAAAATAAAATTTTGAATTTTGAGCTCGATGCACAAGCACAACTTTATTTCAACCAAGCGCGAGCAGTTTCTAGCACGAGGAAAATAGATATTGATTTATCGGACAAAACAAGGAGGGCGGACGATGGGATGATGAGAAATTATGTGGATGCAAATGTATTACTATTAGCGCGAGCAGCAGTTATCACGCAAATAAATATTGGATAAAATAAGGAGGGTGGACGATGGGATGATGAGAAATGTGGATGCAGAATAAAATTTGATTGGGGATGAAATGGTGGTGAAGGTGATGATGTGGTGGAAGAAAGAGGATTTGGCATTCTAGGACTAGAGGCTGACATCACTACACGCGCATCATGGTAGTTCTGTGTGCGACGAGAAAGTCAGTCGCATGCTGCGGAGATGTTTCCGTCTGTTTGTGCGTTTTGCAAAGAAGCTGGGTGCAGCTGCGGGTTGTCGAGGGCTATTCGCTCCCATTCGCAACCACGCTGACCCAGCTTGAGATCTCACACATCTCACACTGTGGTCCACCACAGCACTGTGGAAGTAGATGATGACGGCGAAAACTAGTCTTTAACCAGGGATGATGAATGGGAACTATTTCCATTCGATGTTGACTAGTGCTAGAAGAATCTGTATGATTTGTAAGATTATTTTCGCGTTATGTTTCGTTTCTGTTTCATCTGATTGCAGAAGAAGGTGGATGTTTCTCTCCTTGAGGAGAAAGACGCCGGACTGGACAGGAAGACTAGAATGCCAGGCCATCTATACGAAACTACACCTAATATTCTTGAATAACAAGCACGATTTTTGGTATGACGAAAAATTATGGTTGAATAGCTCAAGGCCAGACTCGTGACGTCCACAGACTAACAAGTTCTTTGCTGCGTTTGTTTACGCCGCGCTGCAGTGTTCGAGGCAAGATGCAATGGTTTCTTTGAACAAAATGAAAACGTTGGTCGCCACTCACCCTCACGCTTTTCTCGTGGGTAGTTTGCGTATATGTTATTGGAGGTGCAGCTCTGTCTTTGCCAGAGATCTCAGTTACTATTTTCAGGTCAACCACACTCTTCCAAAGGCAAAGCTCGAAGGTCATAAAAATCAAATTTTTCTACGTGCGTTGTGGCGGTCAACAATTTGCACTTCGTCGGATCCTGTTGCAGTTTTTATGCAGCTCTTCGATCGATCCGGCGCCGATCTAAATCACTGATATGGTATGGTAAGTCAGTAAGTAGTTGGAATAAACTCGGTGTTTTTGCACGACCGGATCATGTCCATCTCCGCTAAACGGAGATCCAAGTTGTTGTAGCTTCATCTCTACTTCTGTGTTTAAGCATTGATTGGTCCGCTTTTGATCGGACGATCTGATCCCCTTTTATAATTTTGACAACCTGTTTCCTCGTAGGTGCGTGTGTTGTTTCGTTGTTCGGAGGTTGTGTAGTTAAGACGCAGTTGCAGAGGAAAAATTGAAAATGAAGATAGAGCGCAAAAAACAAGCGTTCCAATCGACATGTTCGAGAAGAAGGACAACCTCATCCGAGAGAGGCCTCAGTCGACATCCAGCTCGGCGACACGAGGAGGAGAAAGTCCGGCCTTCATCATGTTCGACCTGCATGCTTCGCAAGTAGAAGTGAACTACTGCTCAGGGTATGATTTAATAAAGCCGGTAGTAAGTAGTTGTTTGCAGTTTGATTGTTTTCGTTGTTGAGTAGCCATTAGTTTAGATGTTCTCTCATCCTGGAAGGGGACCGCAGAAGATCTGCGCATCTAAAGAGCCAGTAATTTGTCCTTGAAAGAATCTATATTCATGGGAAATACCGCAACTTGCACGACTCAATCTCCATCGACACAAAAATATATCATCTACTACAGGTACAGGTCGCCACGCGCAGTCCAACGTGTTCTTGGAGCAGGAAGCAAATTCCTGATTCTGCACGAGTTGTGGCATCACCCCACCGGCATCATGATGCAGGCGTTTTCATTTCCCGTCAATTCACGCGGCGCGACATGAGGATCTTCACTTTGACGCAGCTAGTCTTCGCAACAAGATACTAGCCCTTCAAGGCCTGTGGTGCGTCTTGTTTGACAACTACCTCCTCGGCCGTACTGTAAAAGTTCTGCCTCGCCGCGAAGCATCTTCTCCGCGTTGATGTCCATCATGCAAAGCACCTGCCCCCCACAAGATGGCCGAGGGCATCAACAACGTGTCATCTTCGCGAGATCGAGACCGTCGCGGCCTCCCGCCTAGGCTAACAAGAAGCTCAAGCCCATATCAACTGCAAAAATGTCTGGGTCTGGAAGATTCTGACACTTGTCATGCGCGTTTTGCATGAGCTGCGTTTTGCATGAGCCCTGATGCCTGTGATGCATGCCCTAGCAATACAGATTTTTTGAGTGCTTCTTGATGCCTATGCCGCATGACAAATGCCTTCTCAGCGTAGCAAAAATTGCATTCCCTTTGGTACTCATGCAATACAGATTTTTTTGGAAAACAAACGCAGCATCACAAGTTGCATTCTTCCAGACCTAGACATTTTTACATTTGATAGTCCAGGAATGAAGCACATCTTCCACGTCGACAACGAGCACGAGACGGACACCGCACGACGCATAAACATATTCATATGCATGGCAAAAATATCGTACTACTAGTGAAAATTGCATGACAAAATTTGCCAAGAAGAAGAAAAGTGGGATGTGTATTGCTGATTTCCCAGAAGATAGGCGCTTTCGATTTGTCATTCCTACCGGCAAAATTCCTAGTACTACGACTACGAGTGCGATACTTTTGCACCGTATAATTCATATTTCGCATAGAAGCAACCTTTTTGCAGCTGGGGATGGAGCTTGGCTGCTGGAGCACCAGTGCCGGTTTTGTGAGTTACGTACTTGTTTAAAGATGGACTAAGTCCGTGAAGATCATGAGACCACTACGTTTATCTCATCAGAAGCTTTTCAACATATCACGCATCCACCTAATGGACTATACGGATTGCCTACTTTCGCAGACAAAGTAGAGCATGTGCACAAAGAAAGGAGAAGAAGAGAAACCACCAGGACCGATGAAAATACAATCAGATATGAAAAACCTCTTGGTTGATCTTTTGGCGACAACAATCAGCTTTTATCATGGCAATGTCTTATTTTCATACATCATGCGTGTCAAACATACATCCTACATGATCTACTAAAAGGATGACACACAAGAACTGCCACCTACATTATTGGTTTTGCTTTTCGTTTTTTTTTCGAATGAGGCTGAAAGGAATATCATGTAGGGAAATAGCTCTTGCACGCCGAACGGTGAAGGTGAACACAGTCACAATGCTTTAAAATTCTTTTGTGTCCCCTCACACGGAGACGACATTTTTTAGGTTGAAAATCGACGTTAGGGTCGTGCAAAAATCTCAATAATCTAGACGAGTCAGGTCCGTCTCGGGCAGAAAGTTGATTGTAATGTGGCAGCGCATGTTGCACCACTACCACAAGCACATCAGCCTCACCTTTCCTTCGCGAGCCAAAAAAGGATGAACTTACTCATTACTTGTTTTTCGAAAAAATAGAAAAGTCTGAAGCTCATCAACCTCTCAACTTCAAGTAGAATTCTTTTGTGTCCCTTCAAACCACGACGACATAGCTTGTTGCATATTCTTCCGTAGCCATTTTGGCTCAAGAAGCGTCGGGTAAAAAGATTTGTTTTGCTTTGATAAGTTACGGCATTTTTATCATGGATGAATGGCGGTCGTTATGGACCAAGACTGACAATGAAGTCATCGTGTGAAGGCTCGACTTCTTTTCTCTGGCTGCGTACATCTGAATTTTAGTACCAGTCCCTAGTCATTGACATCATCTGTACGGTGGAGAAACTTGGTCGTCTTGATCCGAGATCCCCTCCCTCCATCTTAAGCACTTCTTCAACGCACGACTGAAGTCTACGTTCGATTCCACCTTTCTACGGGACATCTACTCATCCCCTTGATTAATTGATCGTCTTGCAGTTGCGCGCCAGTCTGCTTGTTTTCCCCGAAGAACAAAAAGAAAAAAGTGCGGACACACGACGAAGGAGGTACCCCCTCCTGGAGCAGAATCAGCAGAATTTTGTCCCCTCACACGACGAGGACATTTAGGATCAGAGGTTGCTGCAAATTTTTCTTCTGTGGTCTGTTGAAAGCATATTCTTCTGTGGTCTGTTGAAAGTATAAATTATTCTGTGGTCTGTTCAAAGAACGAAAGCTCTGTCAATCCATTTTCTGTACCTCCGCTGAAACGAAAACTGCAAGAGAAGTTTTGAAGAACGAAAAGCGAAGTATCTTTCCACGTTAGTTTGAGACCTGGCTACGTGCTGACCCAATTGCGTTGTGTGTGTTCTGCGCTGATGAGCATTCAAAATGGAGTGGAACACGCCGGTTACTGTCCCGGTCTGCTAGATGATACGAAGTTCTAAGGCACAGGACCACGACGTATGTGTCGCTGAAACCAGGGTATTTGAGTCTATTTCATCGCTATTCCAGTAGCGCTGGGTACTTGATCGTGCAGAAGGCACGGCAGATGAGAGATGACGAAAAATAACACCTCGGAAACGTCGGTTCATCATTGAAATAGTGCGTATTCATTGCTAGAAACGATGGGCTACTCGTACTCATTGCAGAAGCCTCACCTCCCAAAGATATAACTCGATCGTCTGCGTTTTCACGTGCATTCTCTCGTCCAGAAACATTCTTTCACAGAACCCACTAAGTAAATCGCCCGAATGTTCTTTTTTGTACTCCCACACGAATAGACTTAGACGAAAAAATCACGTATAGAAGTAGTGTGGGTGTTCACGTTGTAGTATGCGTGGTCTTCCGCTCCTTCCCCGTAGTATTGACAGTCGCATGATGTTGGATCGATCAGTTATTAGTAGCTCGTTTCGTTTTGACCAAGGGAAGAGAGATCATCGATTGCGCTCGAGAAGTCGGGAGGCAGTTACGTACTTGGCATCACCACTGAAAGGAAGCCGACGTTCTTTTGAAGATCGGAAGCGTAATATGAATCTCATCTAGGAGTGGATCAGGCCCTTTCGACCGACTTTCAAAACAATGAAAATAGACTTCTTTTTTTGGTCTGCACCCGGGTTGGCGGTTGATGTGGTGTGGAGAGAGTTCGTTCATCGATAATTGAGCTGTACTTAGAAAGATGCGACAACAGAAGTACAGTCTGACTCTGGTACAGCTCTTCTAGCGACGCGGTTCTCCTTTACGTGGCACAGGTTATTCGTTGCGGCCCGACAAGAATACCAGGACCGCCACTTCGACGTGGTTCCTCCAGTGTTGCTGAGCCAGTGGAGGCCGAGCATCAACCGCGTTGTGAGCTACTCTCTCATCGGGCTCCTGCAGCGAAGCTCCGGTTCCCCACCCCGCAGGGTGACTTCGTTTTCCGCGTTCCCTCATTATTTAACTCCGTGGTCGTTGAGGAGAGCGTCTTTATTTCGCGATCTCGAGTGGACTTTCAGCTGCCGCGTCGTTGCCAGTAGAGGACCGCGACTCCAGCGCTGCAACACGAAAAACCGCAAGAGCAGCGCGACGAAGGACCACACGGAAGCAGGAGGCGACGTGCTCGCCCTCGTGATTTTTGCGGCAGCTTGTTGCTCCTACGGCTGGTACGAGGCAGTCGGACTACCTCCACGTGAACGAAGGACCGACTGGCCGAACTTTGCCTTCGCCGCCCCAGCCGACGATCTTCTTCTACCCTCGGACAAGAAGCACTTGATCCCACCCGCACTACCCCCACCACCACCGACCCACCATGGCGACCGCCGGTACGCGGAAGACCCGCAAGACGGGCATGATGGCGATGTCCGAGGAGGAGAAAAGGAGAAACAGCATGGAATTGCTGGAAGAGGAGAAAAAAGCCACCGACTTGAGTATGAATCTGTCAGGATTGAAATCGTCAAAGTTGAAATGGTTTGTCATGCATAAAATGCAAGGCATGAAGTGCCTGTCCTGCTGGGATGGCAAGTGAGGCAGATTGTGAGCCTATTCAGGGTTCGGGATAGAGTTGCCAAAGGAGCATGACAAAAGCACTTCTCTGTGCCCAAACAGCATGACAAATTGGATTTTGGTGCTCCGAAAATTTGTATCCATTTTATGCATGACAAATTATTTCAACTTTGTCGATTTCAAACCTGACGCTTCCATATTGATTTTCGACCTCGTGCGGTCCGGCACGCTTTTAGAAGAGCTCGACCAGGTTGATGTCACCCTCCTGCCAAAAATCAAGGACGTCTTCCAGAACACGCCGTTCCTCTGCGCCGCCGAATGCAAGAAAACGGACATCATGGCGTTTTTACTCGGGATATGAACTGCAAAAGTTAAAGTATCGTACTCGTATAAATGCATGACAAATTCTCTCAGCGTGAGAAATGAAATTTGCAATGCGGATTTACGTTGCGAAAAAAACTTGCGGTGCGTGACTGCAATACGAGTGCGATGCTTTTGCACTTGATACGGGAAGCAGGTATCCGAAGTCGGAGAAGTGTGTGCGAATACGGGCAACACCGCGTTGCATCTGTCCGTTTTGAACGGAAATTTTGCCGGTGTGGAGCTGCTGTTGGGAAAGAAAGCCGAGCTGAACATCGCAAATAACGTCGGGTGGACACCGGTAATTATGATTTTGAAATTCAATCTCAAACAGCAGCTGAAAATGCAAAATTTAAAGTTTTTGGAAGGCTTACATTCTGTACCTGTGCCATGGTGTGAATTTCGTTTCTCTGCTACTAGAAAGACTTGCTCAACATTGCTCGCTGAAAAGAGATCTATTCCGTTTTCCGAAAAAAAACAGCACCAAACATCAAAACCAAGGTTTTCCTCGCAGTTGCGCACAACCAGCCACAGTTGCTCACCTCGTTGATCCAGGCCAAGGCCGACTATGCAATGCAAAAGTATCGTACTCGTATAAATGCATTACAAATTAGTCCAGCACTACAAATTCAAATTTGTAATGCTGATTTACCTTGAGGAAAAGATTTGTAATGCATAAATGCAATTACTACGAGTGCGATACTTTTGCACTGGATACCGACATCGCCAACGCCATCGACCAGGACGGCAATACACCCTTGCACCTCGTATCAAACGCAAATATGTCTGGGTCTGGAAGATTGATTCCGAGGTCTGTCATGCAGTTTGTCCAAGCTCCACCAAGTCTGGAATGCAGGGCCTAGCATCACAGGATCTGCAGCCCCTCTGTGATGCCTGTTTCGCATGAGAAATGCCCTTTCAGCATGGCGTGAAATGTTGCGCACCTTTTGCAAGTCACGCAACACAGATTTTTGCATGATCCGGAACATGCATCGCAAGTTGCATCCTTGCAGAGGCCCCAGACATATTTGCAATGCATAGCTCGCTTGCCAGTATAACAACGTCGATTTGACGTCCCAACTAGTCCTCAACCAAGCGAACCCGGACGCAAGGAATTTCGACGGCCTCACCCCCCTAGACAACGCGCAGGAGCACGAGATCTGCAAGGCTTTTCTCCGGGAGGTGCTGGCGCAGAACCAGCAGTTGATCTACGCGGCGCGGGACGGTGACACCACGAAAATCACGGAGATACTAGAAGACAACCCGTTACTGGTCAGGTTAGACAAGCGGGTAGACGGGATGTCCGCTTTGGAGTGGGCGGTGATGATATGCAACGAAAAAACTTAAACTGTTTCCCTGTGGTGATTTTGCACAATCTGCATCACAAGTTTGTTACGCATGACACGGAAAATCTTTAATGCGGGGTTCCAAAGGAAAAACACAGCTAGAAATCAATTGTCTTGCATGTGTGGCATGACACACACTTGTGCGATCCATTTTCTGCATCACAAGTTCACAGTGAGGCATTTTCTTCTTGCGATAGATGAACGGGCACTATGAAGCCGTGCAAGAACTGGTGTCCAGTGGCGCGTACTGCAACATCCCAAGTCTGCAGAACTTTTTGAAGGTATAAAGTACTTATCAGATTTCAGAAGTTTGTCATGCCCATGCGCTGCGTCCTGCATGAAATTTTTGTGTCATGCTAGGTATCCTAACACTTCTAAAGATACGCTTTTCAATTTCACATCTAAACAAAAAATAGGTAAACGTCGACGACAATGAGACGCAGGATATGGTTCTCGAGGCCCTTTCCTGGAACGAAAATCTCCAGCTGGCCCTGAAGCAGGCCAACTGGGATGTGGCGTACACGTTAGTCGACAAGTCTGCCTGTGTTACTTCCCAGGAACCCTTTACCGGCCGCACGCCCCTGCACATCGCGTGCTCCCACCTGCAGGAGGAGTGTCCGTTCGACCTCGTGTCGCTGTTAATCACGAAAAAATCGGACCTGACCGCCCGCGATGTGAACGGATGGACGCCGCTGCTCTGCGCGGCCAACGAGTATCAAATGCAAAAATGTCTGGGTCTGGAGGGATCCAACTTGTGATGCATGTGGCGGATCATACAAAAATCTGTGATGCGCGACTTGCAAAAGGTGCCAATTTTTGGTCATGCTGAGAGGGTATTTCTCATGCAGAACAGGCATCACCAATGGGCTGCAGATCCTGTCATGCTAGGTCCTGCATTCCAGACTTGGCGGAGCTTGGAAAAACAGCATGACAAACTCCTGGACTCATCGAGACCCAGACATGTTTGCATTTGATAACGAGGGCCACTACACCACCTGCGCGTGATATCCAAGAAAAAAACGTTGTTAGTGTAAATTTGTGATGCGTAGTAACATGCAAGATGATTGCGTCGTAAGGCTCATTAAAGGACGTTTTCGCGTACTATCTGCGCATGACAAGTTTTTGCTGTCATGCCAGACAAATTTGTAATGCTGGTCCTCCAAAAAAGTTACACCTACCACGTTTTTTTCTTGGATACGTGTATTCTGAAGCACGCGACCATGCAGACCCCGGCGCCACCACCGGGGCAGACGCAGGAGAAAGTCACGGTCGCGAACTCGGTGCTGCAGCCAATATTGAGAGCAAAATCCCCCGTCCCCATGTCGAAAGGGTATGTTTCCGAAAATTTGTGATGCTGATTTGAGAGCACAAATCACGTCTGTCTTGCAAGAAGACAAGCGCAGAGGCTTCCGCGCCATTATGGAAGCGATTATTTGGCATGCTGTTGGCCCTAGGGGGCAGCCGTTTGAAATGCTAAACAACTAGACCCAAACGCCCCTACCTAGGCTGAGGGTCTGGATGCGCTGCCTTATTACAAGACAGCGCGCATTTACGTACGGAAATCCAGCATCAGAAACTTCGTCTCGATATGTGGAGGGGGGATTTTTCCTCACGATAGCCAAACTTCGAAAACGTGTCGCCAATATCAACGGCCATCATGCGGGACGATGTGGTTCTAATCCGGATATGCATTGCAAAAGTATCGTACTCGTGTAGTACTTGCAGTTCTGCATATACAAATCTAAATTGTTAAGCTGAATCCGCATTGCAAATTCAATTTGTAATGCTGAGCAAATTTGTATTGCAATTTGTACCAGTACGAGGCTCTTGCAATCCATACCGGATCTTCGCCGATCACGTGGAAATGAACAAGGACTCTTTTGCGCGGATGGAGCTCGCACCCTGGACCGATTTGGCAGGAGAAGGGGGGAAGCCGGCAGTGGCCTTTTTGCTCTTTCACACCATGAGCTTCCAGTTCAAGTGCGAGGTAACTATGATACGTAGACTGAATGGCTCGATTTGTTCAGCGTGTAATTGCGGTCTTGAAACCTGTTCATCCGCCGTGAATACTTGATTTTGGATGCACATGCAGAAAAGTGCATCACAGATCGTGTGTTGTACCTAAGTAGCAATACACATTTTTCTGTAAATACAAATCAGGTAAAGCAAATTACGCCGTACGTGATGAAGTGCGCCACTAACGCGTTGCAGAGGTCACACCTATCCCACGGGAAAATTTAACACCTAGGTTGTCTACTAGGAATGTCGCTTGTTGTGTTGCAGTTTTTGCAAAGCCAAACAGGTGGCTATAACAATTGTGCCTTCTGCAGCACAAACAGGCGATCCTTTGCAAATTGTAGAAGGAATCGTGATCTCTGAGCATAGGTTTTATTTAAGTTGATTGTCGAGCAAGAGCAAGATTGGTAAAATTTTCCCTGGCACATTTTCGCAAAAGAGAACACTTCCGAACAGCAAAAGCCATCTTGGAGGCCACTGCACCGGCAGACGAATACGAGAAAGTCAATTGGGAGAGGGTATAAACTGAATAAATTTAAATCCTGCTGCTTGAAACAATTTTTTTGTCATGCGGAACTGGGTACGGGAACAATGAATTCGACTACATGCGGGCTTGTGCATGTGAATGTTGTACCACTAGCAATATTCTTATAGAGGCCGTGCGATTAATGGACCCCCTTTTCGGTACCGAAAAGGGGGGGGTAGGTGCGGTCGGTCATCTGGCCGCATCCAAAAATGGTCGCGTCCCTCCGGACCCGACCGATTTTCGGAATTTAAAAATCGAAAACGCAAATGCGTAACTCCCCCAACCCGGCGAAATAAGTTCTGTTTTGTTTTCAGCGGTTTCTCAGCGGTTATAATCTCTGCTGCTGCGGTTCCTGCAGCGGCGTGGCTGGAAGTAGAACAGAACGAAACAGAACAACATAAGTTTCGTGGGGCGCACACAGCGCGCGCGTGGATTGGCTTATGTTTGCAACAACGCAAGAAGCATCAGGCGCACGCCGTGCGCGCGCAAACTGAAAAAAAAAAAATGCCGCGCGCGCCGCGTGCGCGCGGCGAAGAGCATGCGTCGTGCATGGCTATGTCAGGACGCTGCGAAGCATTTGCACACAGCTGGAGCTGGCTTCGTGCAGTTCGATGCACTTCTACTTCAGCAGGCCCACTGCGAATACGAGAAAGTCAATTGGGAGAGGGTATAAATTGAATAAATCCTGCTGCTTCATCAGTTTCATTGCATAAACGAAAAAAACAAACTTTTTGTCATGCGGAACTGGGTAGGGAAACAAATTGTTTCCCTACCCAGCCCGCATATTTATAGTCGAGTTCATTGTTTAACAATGAACTCGACTATAAATATGCGGGCTTGTGAATCATGCGAACGTACCACGAGCAATATTTTCAAGTAGAATCGCCACCAGAATTTCATGTGATATATGTGATCGTTCGCACGTTTTCAAAATAAAAGTGCTGTACAAACTCCATCTCTGTCAGGTATTCAGCCAAGCCCCGGACAAATTTAAAGAGCTGTTGGAGTTCGAGCTGGAGGTGGCCGTGCGTGACAGCCGACCGAAGGCAAAAGCAAAGGGCAAAGCGACCGGAAACAGCAGCACAACGTCACCCGCCAAAGCTGCGCCGGCGGTTACGAAACAAGAGACGGAGAAGAAGACAAACCGGAAAGGAAGTCTCACGGGTGACATATCGAATGCAAAAATGGCTGGGTCTGGAAAAGTGCAACTTGTGTTGCTTGTCTAGCATTCCTGAAAAACCTGTCTTGCATGAGCAGCAAAAGAACAGCTTCCTCGGTCAGGCAAAAACGCAATTTGTAATGCGTGCTAGGCATCAGAGAGCGTCCCATAAACTTGTCATGCTTGGCTGCGATTGCTAGCGCTACTTCAATCATCCGCAATTCAGCATCACAGGTTTATTCCAGACCCAAACATGTTTGCATTTGATACGACAAGAAGGGTGACAAAAAACGAAAAACAGGTGAAGAGGAAGACATCATGGCCGGTTTTTTCGGCAGCATGCAGAAACTCAGGTGTCACACCTTACCGACAATCTGCAAAATCGACGCGGAATATTACAAGCTGGGCAAGGTATGAAAATGAAAACGTGGTTTGGTTGCTGTTTTGTCATGCAGGAATCATTCCCATTCACACCTAAAGTACTGGAAAACAAGAGGCTCATCATGATGCTGAAGGAAATCGCGAAATTACAGTTCGAAAAAATATTACTGATCCACCCACGCCCTATTAAACACACCACAACAGAAAGAGCAAACCCAGTTGCTGATGAGTCCGAAGATCTGCACGTCGGTGGCCATTATGAACTGCAAAAGTATCGTACTCGTACAATAAATGCATGACAAATTTCCTCAGCATGAGAAGTAAAATTTGTAAATGCGGGTTTGCCTTTAAAAAAAGATTTGTAATGCATGATCGCAATACGAGTACGATGCTTTTGCAGTTGATAGCCATCGAGCTCCTCCTAGAGCGCCGCGCGGACCCGAACATGTTCGACGTGGTCGGGCAAACACCGTTATCCAATGCAAATATGTCTGCGTCAGGAAGAATGCAAGTTTGTCATGCTTGTGTCACATGGCTCTTGAACCTGTAATGCGTGAGCAGGAAAATAAAAGCCTCTTACCTGTCATTGGTAAATGTAGTTTGTCATGCGTGGCTGCTTATTGCAATGCTCCAACAATTCATATCAAATTACCATCACAAGTTTCCAGACCCAGACACATTTCTTTGCACTGCATAGCCGTTATTTTTCCACGCAGGAAAGGATTTGGGCTTGGACAAGTTTGACTCGCAGAACTCCCGATCCGCGTTCTTTTCCGACTCCAACTCTCAACCCGGATCGCCAACCGCAGGAGGGGGATCGTCCCCACGAAGCCCGAAATCCCCGAAGATGCTGCGCGGAACCGTTTTCGGCGAGCTGCAATTACGGCACGCCGCGGCGAACGAGAAGCGCGGGCAGTACCAGACGGAGTTACGGAAGAAGGACTACGCGACGGCCTTGGACAACGCCAGGGAGGCGCGCATGATCGTGAAGCAGCTGCTGATCAGCGGCGCGGACTGTAATCTGAAGGACAACGCGGGGCGGAGGGCAATTGACTTCGCGAAGTATCCTGAGTAAAAATGTCCCCAACCCAGCAGAGTTGTGATGCAAAGCTGCATGCCAAAATAAAAAGTTTCTCATGCGGAGCCCCATGAGAACCATTTTGTAAGCCTGTTTTGGAATTTGTGATGCTAGAATCAGCATGATATGCTACATCTATGATGCTTCGGAACTAGCTAAACAGGATTACACAACGAGGAGAAACTTGTCATGCGAAACAACCAGAGGTGGCTGATTTGTGTAGCCGATTTTTCATCTTGACTCTGGTGTGGGGACATTTTTACTCAGGATACGAAGGACCCGGTGATCAAGCAGATGCTGCGGGTGGCGCAGGTCGAGAAGACGAAACTGTACGCTTTGGAGAGCATGAATCTGCAGATTTTGGAGCTGCGGGTCGAGGGGTTGCCGATGAACAAAGAGTATCAACTGCAAATACGTCTGGTCCTGGAAACTTGCAATGCTGGGCCGGGATGAATAGTGAATCCTCTGTAATGCACAGCCAAGCATGAGAAATATGTGCGCTGCTTAGTGTTGCGCTTTCCGCAAGACAAGCTGCGTCGTTGCGAGACAAGTAAAAGGGTTTCTTCTTGGATACGCATCACAAACTCTTCAGTCATACTGGACAAGCATGACAAACCTTGCATCCTTTCAGACCCAGACATTTTTGCACTGCATAAAGGGCCGAAGTTTCTCATCGCACGGCTGGAGGATCTATCCACAGTAAGTTTCCCGTACACGTACAAATGCGGTTTCCGCATGACAAAACTTGGTTTCAATCCTAGTCCAGCATGACAAGTTGGGCTCTGCAAAGTTGGGCTCTGCAAGGTAGCGAAATTTGTCATGCATTTCGTACATGCACAGGAAATTTACATTGCATATGATCTGTTTCGAAAAATCGGGTTGTCGGTCATAAACAGGGATGATATGAAACTGCACAATAAACTCTTCTTCCTTTCATTTGTACGGCATGAACAGCAACACAAACTGCAGCACATGTGGATTCTGTACATGAGAAATTCATGCGCCTAGAAGTGTCGTTTTGTTTATTAAGCCGCTTCCGGAATCCGAGTCTGTCATGCAAACTGTGCCTTGACGAGGGAAGAGGAAGTGGTCAGCCTCAGCGCTATAGCCTTGGACTTTTGCATGACAAACGATGGGGGACGAGGGGTTGTGCAATCTCATAAATGATGACGACGACCCAGACGTGACCGACATTAGAATCCCGGTCGGCAGCGTGGACCAGAAGCCGCTTGGGTAAGAACTTACTTACCATTTTATAAGCGAAATACGCATGAGAAAAGAGTGCACTGTAGTTCATCCAGCATGACAAATGAATCGACTTTTTTAAAATTACAAAAACGCAGGTACGCCATTGTGCGGCTGCAGAATCAGACTCCGAAGATATCCTGTGCAAGAAAAGTATCGTACTCGTACAAATGCTAATGCAAGTCTTGCATTACAAATCTTGTTTCCAAGGAAAATCTGCATTACAAATTTTATTTCTCATGCTGAGGAAATTTGTAATGCATTTGTACGAGTTGCGACACTTGTTTTGCAGTTCATAGAAGAACCGCTTCAACGAGATTCAGGATGTGCTTGACCACTGCATGTTGTACAACGAAAAGACGTATCAAATGCAAACATGTCTGGGTCTGGAAACTTGTAATGCTGAGTTGTGAATAGTGAATTCTCTGTAATGCACAGCCAGGCATGGGAAATATTTGCGCTGCTTAGTGTTGCGCTTTCCGCATGACAAACTGCGTTTTGCATAACAAGCAAAAGGGTCTCTTCTTGAGCACGCATCACAAACTCTTCAGTCATGCCAGAAAAGCATGACAAACCTTGCAGCATTCCAAATCCAGACATATTTGCAATGCATAAGACGCTCACTTACCGCACGCGGGACAAGTTCCTCGAGGACATCACGCTCACCGAGGATCTGAGTCTGTCGCACCTCTCCAAAAATGGTATGCAATGCAAAAGCATCGTGCAACTCGTAGTTGTAATGGCAGGCATGCATTACAAATCCAGATTTCAAGGTAAATCCGCATTACAAATGACATTTGTAATGCTGAGCAAATTTGTAATGCAATCCATACTAAGTAGTACGAGACTTTTGCAATGCATAACCGGCAACGCGCAGCAAAATGAAGTCGCCCCCGGCTGGAAGCTGGTCCTGCTGAACGGGCGACAAATCTCGCACCTCCCCCTCAGCGAAATTATGGCGGAATTAGGGCGGATGAAGGAGAAGCAGAAGGTTTTCATCGAGGTCAGAAACCCCAAGCCGCTCGGCAGAATGCGGATCTTCGTCGAGACGCACTTCGAGTGAAGCAGTTGCTGTACCCTCGACAACTGATAGGTAAAGTAGGGTCTTTTAATTCGACGAAAGAAAACGAAAGCCAAGAATTTAGTACTACTCCGTGTACAATGTAGTTCTTTCGTGAAGAAGATAGGCGAGCCTGATACCTTCAGGCTAGGAAGAATTTATTGACACTCGAAAAAATTGTACGATACTTGCTTAGCACAAGTGTGGAGATATAGTAGCACTACCTGACGTCGGATCACTCCAAAATGTACAACCTGACTCTGCGTTTTACTTTTTGTGTCTCTTAACTACATTTGAATTGCCGTATTGTTTCCATAATCTAACCGTGTTTCTAGTAGCCTGTGAATTCGATTTTAGCTATTAAACTTCGTATAGTAAAAGCGTCTGTAGTCACATCAACCCGCACGTTGATGATATGGCTTGGACCTGTCCGTGGTGTTATCTATCATTTGACTCCGACCGTTTGAATTATTCGACAAAATATTTCTGACAAAAGTATCAAAAGCTACAAGTAGGTACTATCGATTGCCAATTTTTTTCTGCCGAATTTGAAACAAAGTAGTGTTTTGTGTTGCCAATTATCATGTAAAAGTGCGAAGAAAAGTCCGCATGCGCAGCGGACCGCTTTTGGTGCAGGTCATGCACAAAAAGCTGACAAATATTTATCCGTCCTATTCTAACGTTTCTTAACAACAACTATAGGTAGCAACTCTTTTGTCTTGATTGAATTTCGACTCTTCTTGTATTTATTACCGTGCTTAGCTCGATATTGGAGCCAGTTGTGATCTCTTTTGGAAACTATTTCGCGAACCTGTATAGTATGACGACATCGATGGCAAGTTGAGCTCTCGTTTCAAAGAGCATTGTACATATTGCATTGATAAAAAGAAAAATGAAACCTAGTCGACCTGTTATTCTGATGTCGAACAGGCCTCATAAAGTTGTCAGTGGCTTCCGAAACAAAAACTATCGTTCCTGTTCGCCTCTCACCACAGCATTGCGATCTCATGAAATTACGTGTTTCGATTTTTTTGCTTTGTCCCTTCGTTGTCATGCTGGTAGTTTCCTGATCCGCCTGATGTCGCTTTTGATATTTTTACAGAGATTGATGGTTCATTTGGTTTTGGAAGATCCTTTTAGTACATTTTTCACAAAGAAGGCGAAACGCAAACGGATCAGAATCCTTTAGTGTGCAGATCAAAAGAATTATGGGTGGTCCTCCGGCGAATTAAACGCGTAGGATAGATTTCCGTCCTTCCGCTGGTGTTAAGCACGTACCAGCAGATCATGCACAGTTTTTCTTTTTGTTTTTTCGTCAATCACGATAAAAATGATTTTCCTCTAGGCTTGCGCTTGTGAAGTAAGACATACAAAAGTGAGCAAGTGTCTGAGCTTGTGGGTACTTCGTTTTGAGTTTTTTCTGCGAAAAATCTAAAGATGCGACAAGAACTCTTCTCCGCTGTGACAGCGCCTGTATAAGGCCGTCAGAAATAAACGCAGTGTACGACGGGGCCGCTGACGCGTCTAGGCGGCATCCTGTTGTGAAAGAAGCCAGAAGTAAATGAATTTGGGCAGCTCTTCCTGTGCCTTTTTGCCGTAATCGTCGAGCCGTGAAAATTGAAAGGCATTACATTATGTGTAGTTAAAGATGCCAAGAAAAAACCGGTCCGGCAAAAATGTTGATCACGACCAATCGCTGCGACCAGAGATTATCCCAAATTGGGGTGCTTCACGACGACTAGCGTGAAGATGATGAGCGGTCACGAGCATCATAGAGCGATGTCTATTGAAAAATGCTCGAGTGTATGCACATCGCCTCCGCGGGCCGTCCGGACGAACACGGGCAACGAAGGTGGTGGTACGGCGGCGACCTCCCCGGCGGCGGTTACCGCGGTGGACAAGGTCGGTTTGGCCGTGGCCCCCACTTGCACTTTTATTGCGCCGAATAAAAGCAGCGGAGGTCTAGGTCGTGTTGGCGGACGCGCTACCGTGGACGAGGAGATGAGGATAGAAAACGCAGAGATGATGCCCGAATCGATGAAGGGCATGATGAAGAAGAGATGGAAAGCCAGAAGATTATCGCTTCTGCCCTGTGGTACCATGAAGGTCATCAAGGTGGTCGACTACTTCGAGGATTCCGCCTCCGTTACCAGGACCAGCACAACCAACGAGAGTTCATTGCGTCTACCTGCTTTTCATCGTGCATACCAACCGCGAGGCATTTCAGCAGAAGAGCAAGAGCGCGTTAGCCAAGTTCTTCGAGATGGCGGAGGTGGCCCACACCACTGCCCCGCCAGGCCAAGAGCATGTCGCAGGAGCTGTTGCAGTGCCACGACTCGAGCAGGACAACGTTTCGGTGCGGCAGCGGCGACTGCTTCATCTTTGCCACGCAGGGCGTGTAGCTCGTCGTCACGGGGAGGTGGAATTCCGCGGTGTCAACAACATCCTGGGAGCTGGAGTATCAAATACCGAAAACTGATCGCGCAAGAACGCGTTACAAAGTACGCGTGCGTAGCGTCGTCTACATTCTTAAAGCATGACGAGAAAAAGAAAACACAGTGCGACGACATGGGCTTTGTGTATGGGTGTGTGGTCGCCGACGTGGCGGTTTTTCATTCGTTAAGTGTAAGAACCAGAGGTGGCATGTTCTTTGACATTTTCTGCTCGTCCACCAGCAAGTTTTCGATTCCATATCACCACTGCATAGATGTTTGCTGCTCTTGCTCACCGTGCAGTGGTACGACATCACAGACTTCTTGTTCTGCCCTTTTGCACCACCATCGCGGGGGCCGTGGGGAGATGAGGACATGAGCTGCACTTCATCGAGACCTTCGACTGCTGCGTCGACACGACCCGCAACTACAAGGCACGACCAGGGCGAAGATGATCATCTCCAAGGAGAGTTGTGCGTAGTTGGTCGTGCTAGAACTACAACTACGAAACTCCTCCCGCGGAGGAATACCGACATCACACGACCACCTTCGACAACGACATCAGCCTGCTCGTATAGTAACACCTTCGGTGCAGCAGGAGCACACGCTATAACGCTCACTCGCCTCGGACACCGGGTGCAGATGAAGACCAAGCTTCAGCCACGCGGCGTGGGAGCTGCGCGTGCCGCAGCTGCGAAGAGCAGCAGAGAAGGAAGTGCTACAGGTGGTCGTGGTGGAGGCACGACGATGAGGACGGCCGCAGGAGCATCAAATTCAGGGTCACCCGGGCGGAGGAAGGACAAGGACTCGTCGTCGTCGTCCGACAAGGCCAAAAATCCAGCGCCCTCGAAAAATAAAACGAACCCGGCTGCTGTAGTGCCCATGGAGGTCGTCGACGATCAGCTGCTATCCCGTGAAAAATTTCACAAATTTAATGCAAAATAAAGGATGATCGCAGACATGCATGACAGATTTGGATCTCGTGTTTTGCATTCTGGTTTTTATTTGGTATCAGTACGTAGCAAAATAACACGCGAGTTTACGATTTTATTCTGGAGGAAGGTAGTTTTTTCAGCTCCAGTGAATTTTTCCTCCTGTACCTCTTCGAATCTCGAGCTTGTTAAAACAAACTTTTTGCGATGCATAGCGGCAGGACACCAGTAAATCTTCTTCGTTGACAAGCACCACACCCTCTTCCAGCTTCAAAAGCCCCAGCATCGTGCCGACTGCTGTAGCCGTGGCAGCTCCTGTTGGGCGAGAGGAGCTACCGCAGAAAACCTCGCAGCAACCGAACCTATTGGCGGCCAACAACAACGGCGTCAAAGGCCGCGAGTCATCTGGCGGGTCTACTGCTGCTGTTTCCTCCTCCTGTGACGCATCTTGCAAGTCGGACGAGAGCGGCAGTCGACATCATCTACCAGGCGGAGGTATGATCCAAAAAAGAGACGTGTGATCATGTCGGTGCAGCTTTTTAGGTATTGAGATTGACTTTAGAGGAGCATATTAAGCGTAAGATAAATAAAGTAGTGCTGCTGTTTCTTGGCATCAAGACAAAAAGCTGTCATGCGCATCACAACAGCGGTGTGGTTGGCATTGGCCTATGTTGTTGGCATATAATGATGAGTACGAGTAAATAGATTGACAGTGACACACGTTCCTTTTGCCATACGGGGCCCTGCCACCAACGTGGGCTGTGCTGGTGGAAACAGAAGCGCAGACGGCAGCTGCTCGTCGCTGTCCAAGTTGGCCTCGAGCTTTTGCCGGTGTTTTCGCAAGAAGAGCTCCGGGCTGTCGAGTGGTGATCAACATGTGTCGCCCTCTCCAGCTGCAGTCGATAATTATGAGCAGCACGTGGAGGAAGCAAACGTCGTCTCCCCCCCGCGGGCCTCTGGTCATCGTCCACCAAGCCGCGGGCTACAAGGCGCCCCCGAGGATGGTGCTGCAGCAACCGGTGGAGCCGCCGTTGTGCCAGATGGAGAAACGACTAGTACGGCACGAGGACCTGGAGGTGCAGCAGCAGGGCCAGGGGACCTGCAAGCAGGAGGAATTGCAGGACGAGCAGCAGGATCCTCTCCGAAAGCAGGACGTCGGGATGAAAGCATGAAATATCAAATGCAAAAATGTCTGGGTCTGGAAACTTGTGATGCTGTGTGGCGTATCATGAGGAGGCCACAATTGCGGGCTCAGCATGACAAGTTCCTGAGCCTCTAGGTGTTGCCTATTCCGCATGACAAACTACTTCTGTGCATGACAGAAAAGTTGGGCTCTTTGGTAATGTGCATGACAGATTTAAGAATCATGCCAGACAAGCATGACAAACTTGCATTCTTCCAGACCCAGACATTTTTACATTTGATATGAAAAGCGCCAGCGCAATCGTCGAGGAAGAGATGAACCCTTTTCACGAGGTATCAAATGTAAAAATGTCTGGGTCTGGAAGAATGCAACTTGTGATGCTGCATTTGGATTCCAAAAAAAACTGTATTGCATGAGTACCAAAGGGAATGTAATTTTTGCTACGCGGAAAGGGCATTTGTCATGCGGAATAGGCATCAAGAAGCTCTCCAAAAATCTGTGATGCTAGGGCATGCATCACAGACATCAGGGCTCATGCAAAACGTGCATGACAAGTGTCAGAATCTTCCAGACCCAGACATTTTTGCATTTGTTACGAGGTGGAGGCCACGGCAATCACGAAATCTGCGACCGCTGGTCAAACGCTAGGGGATAAAGAACATCCCACGGAACAGGACGACGCTGCTGTTGCAATGTCGGTGACGGAGGAAAGTCGAGTCTCGCAAGATATGATGTGAACAAAAATGTGCCTGCTCGTAACTTTGACTTTTTCTACTTCAATAACCGGAATTCTAGAACAAAATGAGGATTTGTAACTGCTAATCTGCATGGTATGATGAGTTTCCAGATTGAAAAAATTGACAAACATGTGCGGCTGTGAGCCTGGTGTCTCATGTCTCATGTCTTGGACCCGTGTCATGACATGAGGACACGAACATGGACATGACACGGCCGATTTGATGTCCATGTCTTCGTGTCCCGACATCCCAAGCCAGGACATGAGACATGAGACATGGCCAATGTTCATGCTCATGTCCCATGTCCGCGACACGAGACACGAGACATGAGACATGGGCATCCGCGGCTGACTCTGGTCCAGACCAGAAGACATGAGACATGGGACATGGCGTTCTCATGTCTCATGTCTCGGGTCCCAAGACATGAGACATGAGACATGGCCATCCGCGGCCGACTCTGGTCCAGACCGGAAGACATGAGACATGAGACATGGGACGTGGCGTTCTCATGTCTCATGTCTCATGTCTGGGGTCTCAAGTAAGACATGAGACATGGCCATCTGCGGCCGACTCTGATCCAGACCGGAAGACATGAGACATGAGACATGGCGTCCCCATGTCTCATGTCTCATGTCTCGTGTCCCAAGACATGAGACATGAGACATGAGACATGAGACATGGCCATCTGCGGCCGACTCTGGTCCAGACCGGAAGAC